ACACCAAACACCCAAGCTGTGATACCAATTACCCTGCCACAGATACCCAACATGAGCTTGGGATTAATTAAGATTCCCCCGCTTTGAAGGTGTTAATTAATAGCCACTGGCCAGAATGTGTGAAGTCAGGATGCCAGGTGTGTTCAGTAGACTGAAAAATTCACTGCACTTCGAGATAAGCCAGGTAAAAGTAAGGCTTTGGACTTTGAATATACTTCGACATAAGCGGGGTATTCGAGATTACCGTGTTCAAGATATCAGGTGTTTTTTAAATCATATATATAGAGAAAACGGCCGGGACTGGCGATCGACTTTGACATAAGCGGGGTATTCGAGATATCCCATGTTCGAGATACTGATATTTACCTGTAGTTTGAACTTTATTGGGTACTTCCCTGGAATTGAAGAGTTCCACTGAATGACCTGTGTGCAATACTTTAAATGTCTATATATGGATTTGTACACCTCTTCTAAAACAAATTTTGAAGGGGAAAAAATCTGGAATTTATGTTTTGTAGTTTTGTACACTTTTCTTTGAATAATGCAAAAATTTTCATACTTTTATATCTTTTCAAAATCCCTGAAGAACATGTAATGGCATTATAAGTTTATACATCTAGAATATCTTGAAAAATTATCAGTAGGTAAGGTACCTTGCATATCTCCTTAAATAAAGTCTTGTATTATTTTTTATATCAAATCTGCAAGAAAAATTTATTTTGCCAACTTGAGATCAATCAACTTTGAAAATACTCGTAGTTATATTCAAATTATGACAATTTTATTTAACATCATTACCTATTTGTGTGACTTCAAAACATAAAATTTATTGCCAAAGACAAAAGTTAAGGTTCATTGATATTTTGATAAGAAAGATAACTCTTATTGTGATGAAGACTTGTTATTCCTTAATAAAATTGTCAAGTTAAGGCCAGGTAAAATTAATCTTTAGATTCTCATCCTAATTTGCTAAAAAATTGGGGCGGGTATTTTAAAATACAGGTTTTATTTTTTATAACTGTTAAATTGTAAGTATCAACAAAACATGGACTCTTCGTACACATTTTTTCATTATGTTAATGCCAATATAAATAGATTTTATTTTTTCGTATTCTTTTAAATATTTAAAGAAAATTCTTGCTTAAATAATTAGATATTTATTGTTAATTAACAAATTATCAAACACAAAAACGGCACACGAACACAAAATGAGGTGGGGTTCTGATACCAATAAATTTTGTATGCATGACTTCTCATCGGCCTTTTCCTATATACCCTTTAGTTTTACCTACAAATCCCTCTGTTTTCTGTAAAATATCATAGATTTCCACCTTCCTCAAAAATTGGATTGTTCTAGAGACTTAACATGTTTGACAATAAAATAGGTCATATTTACAAAATCTATAAAATATTCTAATATTAAATATCCTTCCGAAAAAACCTAGGCCTGAACAGTTTTAAGATTTAACATTTTCTTAGCACTAAACATTCTCTAAAGTCTACCTACGATGTTTTATTTTTTTTTTCAAATCAAAATCACACACAGTTGGAGATCGTTAAAACTTGACGAGGTGTCATTTTCCATGTCTATTTTTTATACTTAGTCTTAAAAAATCTTAAAAACCTTGCTCTTGCCAGTGATGGTATCTAGATCTGTTTATGCTATTATTTTTTCTCTGCCTTCTCTATACTGACAAGTAATCTTTTCCTTACATATTTAAACTGCTTTTATTGCCGATTTTTCTCCATTCTTCACATGGCTCCTTTGCTATAAATAGCGACACGCGACTTTTAATACAGACGGGAGATAACTCTTAAACTTCACCCAAATTCTTACTGAATAAAAATAGTTGAAAATGCCTTTATTTACACCCAAAAATCAAAATAAAAAATGCCGGGGCGGGACACTTTGAGAGGGGCGGGCGGGGATGAGAATCTAAAGATTAATTTTATCTGGCCTAAAAGAAAGTTTTTGTCAAATTCCAAAATTGCATATAATAAATTAGATTTCTTAATGAAAATCAATGATGTTAAATAAGTACATATAGAATATATCAATAAAGGACATAAAGGGTCAAATGTCAGAAAAAGACTGTGATATTGTCTTTTTAGCTCACCTCAACGAAGTTGGGGGGAGCTTATGTGATACCCTCGGCGTCGGTATCGGCGTCCTGGGTTAAGGTTAAGTTTTTTGGAGCAGTTTTCTTTTTAAGTACTTATGTCCTATATTGATTAGACATGCATGAAAGATGTTTCTAATGTGTTTCATTGTACCAGTCAAAGTTTCAGATGCTGCAATTTCAGCAAAGGAATGACCAGGTCAATGTTTTTGGTGCAGGTTAACATTTTTGGTGCAGTTTTTGGTGTAGGTCTCATTTCCGAGTAACTATAAGCCCTATGTTGACCAAACTTACATGGATGGTACATCTTAGGATGCATACTACCAGACTTGCTTCGGATGCTGAATCTGACCTACATTTTCCGGTTGAGTGAACAGGTTAAAGTTTTTGGTGCAGGTTTCATTTCGAAGATAATATGAGCCCTATAATGACCAAACTTGCATGGATGGTACATCTTAGGATGCATTCTACTAGACTTGCTTCGGATACTGAATCTGACCTACATTTTCCGGTTGAGTGAACAGGTTAAAGTTTTTGATGCAGGTTTCATTTCCAAGTTTCTATGAGACATATAATGACCAAACTTGCCTGGATGGTACATCTTAGGATGCATACTACCAGTCTTGCTTCGGATGCTGAATCTGACCTACATTTTCTGGTTGAGTGAACAGGTTAAAGTTTTTGGTGCAGTTTTCATTTCCAAGTTACTATGAACCCTATAATGACCAAACTTGCATGGATGGTACATCTTAGGATGCATATTACAAGACTTGCTTCGGATGCTGAATCTGACCTACATTTTCCGGTTGAGTGAACAGGTTAAAATTTTTGGTGCAGGTTTCATTTCCAAGGTACTATGAACCCTATAATGACTAAACTTGCCTGGATGGTACATCTTAGGATGCATACTACCAGACTTGCTTCGGATGCTGAATCTGACCTACATTTTCTGGATGAGTAAACAGGTTAAAGTTTATGGTGCAGGATTCATTTCCAAGTGACTTTGAGCCCTATAATGACCAAACTTGCATGGATGGTACATCTAAGGGTGCATTCTACTAGGCTGGCTTCAGAAGCTGAATCTGACCTACATTTTCCGGATTAGTGAAAATGTTAGTTTTTTATACAGGTTTCATTTCCAAGTAACTTTGAGCTCTGTGTTGAGCAAACTTGCATGGATGATACATCTTAGGATGCACACTAATGGACTTGCTTCAGATGCTGAATTCGACATACATTTTCCAGATAACAGACCTCGTAAAAGTTATGGGTGCAGGTCTATCACCAAGAAACTATAAGGCTTATATAAACCAAAGTTGCAAAAATGATGCATCAAGGGATGAAAACTCTCAATCTTACTTCAGATGCTGGATTTTAATTACATTTTCATGATGAAGAACTAGTTTTAAGTTTTTATATAGGTCTATTCCAAAGTATCAAAATTGCATAAATTTTGCATTTTTGGATGTACACTTTTTGTTGGTTAATTGTGTGACTTAATTTGCCTTACTTAAAGACAACATTCGTTGAGGTGAGCTCTGTAATCTCTGATTACCTATGTTTTAGAAAGAAAGACAACTCTTTTTAGATTAGACATTGCTTTATTTATTTGATCGTGATAGAGAATGTGTATTCATTATAAGAAGTCTGTTAAAAACTACCGGTAAATCAAGTATGACTACTGTTCAGTTTATAATAAGTACATTTATAAACATTTAATTTGATATTCCCTTGTGCTTTTTAGTGACTTTTAAAATTTGTTTTCAGCTCACCTGAGCCGAAGGCTCAAGTAAGCTTTTCTGATCAAAATTTGTCCGTTGTCTGTCGTTGTCGTTGTTGTCGTCGTAAACTTTTCACATTTTCATCTTCTTCTCAAGAACCACTGGGCCAATTTCAACCAAACTTGCTGCAAAGTATCCTTGGGTAAAGGGGATTCAAGTTTGTTCAAATGAAGGGCCACGCCCTTTTCCAAGGGGAGATAATTATGAATTTGAGAAAAATTAATGCCATTTTTAAAAAATCTTCTTCTCAAGAACGACTGGACCAGGAAAGATGAAACTCATGTGGAATCATCCTCAGGTAGTGTAGATTCAAATTTGTTCATATCATGACCCCCGGGGTAGGGTGGGGCCAAGATGGCTGATCAAAGTTTTACATAGGAAATATAGGAAAAATCTTTTAAAATCTTCTTCTCAAGAACCACTGGGCCAGGAAAGATGAAACTCATGTGGAATCATCCTCAGATAGTGTAGATTCAAGTTTGTTCAAATTATGACCCCCGGGGCTAGGATGGGGCCAAAATGGCTGATCAAAGTTTTACCTAGGAGTATATAGGAAAAATCTTTTTAAAACTTCTTCTCAAGAACCATTGAGACAGGAAAAATGAAACTCATGTGAAATTATCCTCAGGTAGTGTAGATTCAAGTTTGTTCAAATCATGACCCCCGGGGGTAGGATGGGGCCAAAATGGCCGACCAAAAATTAATTCTCATAGAAATATAAAGGGAAATCTTTTAAAATCTTCTTTTCAAGTACTTCAAAGCCATGATTAGTAATATTTATGTAGAATTATCCTCAGGTAGTGTAGATTCTAGTTCGTCCTAATCATGATACGTGGTTTTTCCTAGCTGATGTGCTCAGGTGAGCGCTGTGGCCCCTTGGCCGCTTGTTTTTGGTGCATTGCATGATGGTTTTTGCGACTGATGGTATGGGCTTCATATTTTAACAAGAAGCAAATCAAAAGTGATAACTATAGGATATGAACTAGGAATTCCAAAGCAGGAACCTAATCTTAATTATTTCTCTTAAAACGGCAGTATTCAACATTAGTCAGAAATCAACTAAGCATAATTGAAAATTAGAACAAACTTATATTTACAGAACTAGGGAGCGTGAAGTTGTGGTGCCATCAAGCTGTAATGGGACAGAGTGTCCTCCTAAAACAGAACTTTTCGAATCAGAGGAATGTGAAATCTCAAACACGATTGATTGCCAGCTCTCGGACTGGACGCAGTGGTCAGCGTGTAGTGAGAATTGTGGCTCGGGGATGGCGATACGGTCCAGGCGTCTGCTGACTCCGGCCTACTGTGGGGGCTCTCTCTGCCATAACGAGACATTGATGGAGTCAATAGAATGTGAATCATACACAGCCTCTACAGATTGTGTTGTAAGGAAAATTGTTTTGCTATATGTTTTAAAACCTAAGGGGGAAAAAAACTTATTGAAATAAAATAAAATAAAAAAGAAATCAGGTTCTGAAGGACAGAAACTTATTATTGTAGCATTTATGGAGAAATTACGGCCTGGAGGTCTTATTTTTTTAGGGTTGAACGTTTTCAAGACTAGAAATTCTTTATGCTGAAATAGAGTACAAACATATAAAGCTAATTGTAATGCACCATGGGTAGCCTGAAGCGTTAACTTCTGGTACAGACAACCATGGCTACTAATTGATATTTGAATGTTTGTGGGTTATCTTCTCCTTAATTGGTTAGTTGATGTTGAGCAGCTTGGCAAAATACAAAAATTATCCAAAGTAGCTGCCAGCTAAATTGTCAGCTTAATGAGATGTTTGTTTGGCAGTGGACTGTGTTCTAAAGCCGTACTTTGCTCCAAATGATAGCGAGATAAATTATGTCCCTTGGCAAGGTTCTATTGGAATATCTTAGCTGATGAAGTGAAAAACACATATTCTTGTCATGTGTTAGAACTCTGGTATAACTTTTGCCTCTAATTAATGTGTTTAGATTATAATTTTTACGTTATATGATAGCTCTATGATTAAAAAAAAAAGATGGGTGCATATAATAGACAATATAATGATGTAATGATATTTTCTACTTCCATTACTTATATTTATATACAATTCATACCATAATTATCTTTGATATAGTTTTGTGATGTGCTTTGTAGTTGTACTTAATTATGGGTTTTAAAGAACAAGTATAGAGTTCCAGATTAGGGCAGATTTTTTTTCCAATTTATTTTGTCTGTGGATAAGTATGTAGGCAAATTTGAGAGATAAGATTACACAGGTAGATGTGAGGAGGATGGGAATGGCTATTAATGAGTAGACAGGTTTCAGACACCAGGAGGACATGTTTTCTAAAGATAACTGGCTTAGAAGCTCACTCTATCACGCAAGTCTGTGATGCATGATCATAGCTATTCTCTTTGTAAATAATATCCCTTTCTAGAATTTACAGTTGATGTTAGTAATTTTTTATTGCAAAAAAAGCCATTCCATTGCGAGATGAATAAGTCTGTGGTTTAGTTTTCTCTCTCCACTCCTAAGAAACTAGGTCAGATTACTTTTATCAGCGGTGCTGACATTTCAGAAAATTGTCTTAGTGTGTCAGTATGTTACATAAAATATCTAATTCTAGCAGAATATCGCAGGAGACTGATTTTTTTGTCTGTTTTTTTTTAATATGTTATTTTTTTGTCACTGACATATTTACAAGTCTGGGTCAGCTAAAACTTTGGACTTGATTGCTTTGTTGCAAGGTTTTTTGCAAACAGATTATTTTAAACCATATATAAATATAAAATTTTAATGGAGAAAACTTGCTGTGTTCAATTTTAGAATTCAATTGAATATATATTAATTAATCCAATTCAGTAGTTTTTTTTTCTTTTGTTTTGTAAAGATTTTTGCATCAATTAGCAACAGCTGTAAACCAATTTCTTTTAAAACGTTCACAATGAATTATAGCTTGAATATAAAATTAAATCAATTGTATCTTCAATTAATACTACTACAAAACAACGATAGTATGTTTAATTTTTACGCAAGGAAAACGTTATGGTTGTTGCGGATGAATTTCTACAGAGAGGGTGCGTCGAATGACATGAATCACATTTTGGGACCGATTATTGTAATACAAACAATCTTAAAGACGTTAAAATAATTACAAAATAAACACGAATACAACAAAACTATAAAGATTGAATTTCTTAATCTTAGCTTTACTTTTTTATAAATCCAATTTTATCCGAACAACCGAGATTTAACCAGTAATGCCAGTATTACTGTATTTATCCATTTCCTCCATTTGTTTTTCGTAAGTCAGAGAAAACATTAGAGTCATGGTTGTAGTTAAGATGCAATCACTATACAACATAAAAAATTAATTTTTATGAAACCATGGTCTTCGATTGACTGAAAAAAATTAGATCTATAGATGCTGGACATTTCTTTCAATTCGAACCCTGACTCATTTGGACCAGGACATAAGGCTATAAGGCCCTATACTGTATTTGTGTTAAGACTATATTTTTTTAAAATTTTATTATTATGTTACCGGAGTCACTCACTTGACCTATCTGCAGATCTTTTGAAATTGTTTTTCTTGTTTGACGCCATTGAAGCCTTTCAGGCTTTTGATTTTTCTTTTGTTTTGTAAAGATTTTTGCACATTTGACAGCTGTATAATACAATAGGAAATATTAAGCTAATATTAAGTAACTCGATATTTGTTCAAATAGACTTTTGCAAGAAACATTGCTGAATGAATGTTTTTTATAAAAACATCAGAGTTGGCAATTGAATAGAAGGATATATTGTTATCTTTTCTAATCAGAGAAATGCAATAATAAAGTGTCTGAAAAAAGTTTTTGCAAAAAAAAATTTCTAAATGCTACATCTCTTTCAGTTTTGGTCTGATTGCAATAAACCTTGCCACAAAAGACATTTAACTTAGGATCTTTATTCTATTCTTTGCTAAAAAAAATTAATGCTAAGTTTTAAGTCCAAGTGCCTCTTTTCTTTTCCTTTGTTCTAAGTACAAACCAGTAGAGCTATAGTTTTTGTATGGCAAATCAAATTAACGATGCACAAATTTCTATTATATTTCTAAAAAAAACTTCTGATCAGTATAATTATATTTAGCATTTTTTTTTTAGAATTGAAAATTGAGGAATGCATTAAAAAAATTAGAATGGAGTTACATGTCTAAAATAAAACAGGAATATAAATTAGTGCAAAATGTTCCCACTGAAAGTCACCTTTGAACTAACTGTACTTACATGATGTGATTTATTTTTACCTGAAAGTTAGCTAGAGAATTTGTTTCCTATTTTGTCTCAGTCAATCTATGATTATTCAGTGCTTTTAAGTTTACCTTGTGTTCTATATAAACTTTGGATTTTGCTGGAATGGATCATCAAGGGATATGAAAGGCATGATTTCAAAAGAAATCATGCCTTTCAATAATTTTTTTTTTCTAATTTTGTCTGAGATGAAGTGAAAAACTAGTATGGCAAATCAAATTAACAATGCACAAATTTCTTGTACTAATCTGCAGAAAGTAAATGATGCATTAAATGTATTGTAGATGACGGAATGGGGAGAATGGACAGAATGTGAGAGGAATTGTAATGGAGGAAAACAGACTCGGTCCAGGGAGATTTTACTAGCTCAGCAGTGCAAAGGGGCAGCTTGTCCACACAAAGAGGTGACTATCTCGGTACCTTACATATCAAGAAAACAAACCGCCAGCTCATATATTAGTTGGCATTTACACAGTATAATAGCACTCGGACTCTAACCTGGAGTAACCGCTTTAAAACGTTTTTTTTTTTAAAAGAAAGGTTTTTTACCCAAATAAAAAATGATAAAGAAATAGCACAGAGTTAGTAGTATTGCTATGAAATGTATCTAAATTAGGGGTGTGCAATATTACCGGTATATCGGTATATTGCGATATTCTCCACCACGATAATATATCGCGATATGAAAATCAGATACCGGTATTTCACGATATATATAAAAATATATAAAAACCTCCTTCATTGTAGAAACTGCTGAAATAATACTTGTAACTGCCTCAGGCTTTTTCAATCTCGTTAAAACAATACTTCGTCAGCTTTCCTATGAAAGGGGTATGAGTCACAGAGAAAGATAGAGAAAAGAGAGAGAGAGCGCGCGTTTAATTTACTGTTGCAATTTTAAATATCTTAAATATGATTTATAATTAATTATAAGACTTTAAAATAAAACTAATAAGAAAGATATGTTAAACATTTCTACAGGGTGTATACCAAGTGTATTGTGGTTCTCAAAATCTCGCATCGAATCTACATGAATGACATCGCGATGAAATGTCAAGTTCAATATACATGTTCATATTACAAGTAAATGGTCATCCGTGTTTTAACTTGAAGATGTGTTGCTCTAATTATTTTTTTATAACTTTCAAATTTTAAACACCTTCATGCTATACCAGGAGCATATTTATTAAATCACTAGATACAGGCCATTTCCTGATTTGAAATTAGGTCGGGTTAGTAAAACACCAAAACACTCAAAAAATAAGTCAAAATTTCTTTCTGGCTTTAATTTTATTCTGTAAATACAATAATTTTTTTCCCATATAGTATGTATTGTTTTAATCTTGAATAGCATTTCATGCTACTTCATTACCCTCCCCCCCCCAAAAAAAAATTATAATAATAATAAAAAGACAAAAGTTTATATATTCTGTATAAACTTTTTTTTTAATTTGAAAATTCTCCATGGGGGTTTATTTTGTTATTATTTTACCTGGTATTTGATTAAAAGTAAAGTGTTATAATTATGTGTGCAATTAATGTATTATCCCTCCCCCCTTTACAACTTAAAGATAAATTCAAATATATAGTCTTTGAATTTGACAGTATTTCAAACATTCTGTAAAGGGGTTTATGATAATTAAAATCTACAATATATTGCAATATATTGCAATATTCAAAGTAAAATATTGCAATATATCGCAATATGGTTTTCACTCGCAATACCCAACTCTAATCTAAATGTAGGAATGCTCAATTTTTCGATGACAGGATGTGAGAACCCATTGTCACTCAATATGTGACCACCCTGAGATGTGTAACCAGGGGGTCTGTGGATGTCGGGAGGGATACAGGATGTCAGACAATGGCTACACTTGTCTCCCCGTAAAGTGTGCCTTTCCCTCCATTAAATATTGCCCTCCTTCCAGAACAGAGTTCTTCAGCTGTAGACATCCTAGCAGCATCTTATGTAAAGGGGTATGTAGTCACATGACAAATCTGTAGACATCCTAGCAGCATCCTATGTAACGGGGTATGTAGTCAGAGGACAAATCTGTAGACATCCTAACAGCATCCTATGTAACGGGGTATGTAGTCACATGACAAATCTGTAGACATCCTAGCAGCATCCTATGTAACGGGGTATGTAGTCACATGACAAATCTGTAGACATCCTAGCAGCATCCTATGTAAAGGGGTATGTAGTCACATGACAAATCTGTAGACATCCTAGCAGCATCCTATGTAAAGGGGTATGTAGTCAGATGACAAATCTGTAGACATCCTAACAGCATCCTATGTAACGGGGTATGTAGTCAGAGGACAAATCTGTAGACATCCTAGCAGCATCCTATGTAACGGGGTATGTAGTCACATGACAAATCTGTAGACATCCTAGCAGCATCCTATGTAAAGGGGTATGTAGTCACATGGCAAATCTGTAGACATCCTAGCAGCATCTTCTGAAATGAGGTATGTACCAGGTAGTCAGAGGACACAGCTGTAGACATTCTAGCAGCATCATATGATGAAAAATTGCAAAACATGCTTACAAGAAAAGTAATGTTTATTTGCTTTAAAATATATTGTATTATTAGAATAAGAAAGATAAGAAATTTTTTTGGAACTATCTAAAGAAATGAAGTGATTTACTTTAGAATAATTTTTTTTATAAACAATGGTTTTGCAATGAGTGTTGGATGTAACCACTTTGTTACATGTATTACCTTTATGCATTATAATATAAGACATTTGAATTTTTTGCAGTATGACTACCTAGATACCTGTACTGTCTCCTGTATCACAGACTGGTTCCTGAAAGGTCCCACTAACACCATAACCTGTCTGGCTAATGGGACCTGGAGCTACCCACAGCTCTTCTGTGCCCCTCCCAACAACCCCCCATATTCTGTAGGAACCTATCTTTTCTGTATTTATTTAAGTATTTATAATTAACTTTAAGTTCTGTTTTGAAAATGCAATTTATTTTAGAAAAAAACCTTTACTCATTACTTAACTGAAATTCTAACCTTTAACCATCTTCAGTTCAAGTTTGGGCAAGTATTTTAGTTAATTTGTTTGGCTACAATTAGATTAGCAGTTGTGGCTCCTGGGATGTCCTCGTTAAATTTGTTCTTATTTTGAAGATGAAAGTGGACAATACAAATATCAAGGAAAATAGAGAAGATGTTTGTGTGTACCTCAGCACGGTGGATGATTCCTACGATGCCCAGACTTACTCCATCCTTGCCGATCCCAAAAATATCTTCCAAGTTTCTGGCTCTAAGCTCTGTCTCAAAAGAAAGGCAGACTATGAGGAAAAACCTACCAAGTATATTGTGTTACATTATTTCTAAAAAGAATGTGAATAATGTGACATATATATATATATATATATACACATTTAACTTATGTAGAACATACTGCATTGATAACTGTTAAATTTAAGACACGAGAAACTGAAGCACACTAATTATAAAATTTTTACTTAATTTGAAAGATGAAAAATTTCAGCATTTATTTTTCATTGAATGATGAGAAAACACTAATGTATTTCTAATGATGAAAAGTTTTCTTTGCTAGATGGAATGTGACAGTGAGATGTACAGACATGGAGGGGGCATATGTGGATAACACTTTTCAATTCCAAATCCTTAATGAAAATGATCCACCAAAGTCTGCAAGGGTATAAAATTTACTTTATGCCTCCAGGATCAAAATGATAAGGAAATTTGTTTTTAATTTGTTTGCAACTAACTGTGCTCAAACTTTTTTTAATGAAACATTTCTTATATTGTCAAGTAGTAGCTATTGATCTGGAAGGGTATCATGACCTTGTACCAAAGTCATTCAATTGAGGTCAAAATTACAGGGATTGAAAGTGCTAATTTTTTGTCTTGGCTGCATTATTTTCATCACAAAAACTGTAAGACTAAAATTTTATTTGAATTTTTTAAGCTGTCACCAAACACAATACCCGAGAATAGTATGGCTGGCACACATGTTGGATGTTTTAGTGCACAGGATGATGATCCTGGTCAGAACGTTTCTCTGCTGCTGGTCGACTCGGAGCACGGAATGTTCACCTCTTACTTCAACGGATCACAGCTATGTCTCAAGGTCTGATAACAAATGTACTTAAAAACCTGCCAGTGGTTTTCCTTCCTAAATGTTAATCCTTTGAGATCTGTAGATGCATTTTCAAGTTGGCTTTAATACTTTTTTACGAGAAAGTTGTGATTAGCTGAAGATTATATTTCAAGAATGCTGCAATAATTAATGGATTAAAGGAAGTAATCTAAGAATTAAATGAAGATTGAGACTAAGAGTTCACACATTGTAAATGGTCTCTCTGCATCAATTATCTTGAGTCTTTATCATTTGACTGGGTATTTTTGATGGTGTAAAACGTTTGTATGAATTTGTTGTAGGTATTAAAGCAGTCAGACCACATGTGTTTGTCGGAGGGAGGTAAATATTGTGTGTTGAACAGAGAAGAGCAGAGAGTCCATTCTGTCACTGTGATGGTGCAGGATGACTACAGTCCCCCAGGCATTTCTTACTTTAACCTCCCTGTGACCTTGAAGGATGTCAGTGACAAACCAGAGTCTGTGACCCTTGACCCAAGTGTCATACCTGAAGAAGTTAAACCTGGTTAGTTTGTAAATGATATTTTACATGTAGATACTGAAATTTATAAAATTATTTACACTAATTATGATAAAATAACTAATGTACCCAGAAGCATAAATGTCATAAATCTATGTCATGGCTGAGCTATAGTTTATGTATGTTTATTCATGAATAAGCTTGATTGTAAGCAAGAACATGCAGCAAAAGGAAATATAATGCATTATATCAATGTTTAAAATTTTTATGAAAGTTATTGGATCCTTTATCTGACTTTTGATGAAATAATTTTCAAGACCAGCCTACATATATTGTAAGAAATCTTGTCATTACAAGTTTCTGTATGATTTCCACTTTGAATTTTATACCTTCAATTCCTTTATCCTATGATCATTCTTATTCTGAAATTTAAAGATTATGTTGTAAAGTGATGATGATTAGTTTTACTCACAGGCTTTTTTCTCCGCTACTTATCAATATTTCCTGGAGATTCTCAGGTTTTATTTTTTGTAGGAGATCCATTAACAGCTCTGAGAACCATTGACGAGGATGAACATCAGCTTTATCTGTATGAACTAATGGAAGATGACACAGGCCTGTTTTCTATTGTCAATGGGAGTCTGGTCTCATCAGTAAAATTCAATTTTGAAAAAAGTGACAGCAAAGAATTTCATATCAAAGTTAGATCATCGGATAATGGCTCTCCAAGTTACAGTGTAAGTGCAGAAATGTTATATTCATCAATAACTGCTTAATTAAGTTACTGAAAATAGCTTACACTGTTAACAGAGATTAACAGACATATTGGATTTATGTTCATATATATCAGTGTTTCTGAACATTGATTAGATCAAACAGGCACTGGAGAGGGGAAGCTATCTCTCCTCAGGCAATAATTGGGAGAGACCATGTGATATAAAATGTAGAAAATAATCATCTCCCATAAAACATGATTTATTGGAAGAAAAAATGGACTAATAAATCATTAGAGAAATTTATCATTTAGTTAATGTATTAAAAAATATTTTAAGACAATTATTCTGATTTTGATTCTGGGAGGAACTTTTTATAAACTAGTTTTATAAACTGAATTTAATCACATGAGAATGATTCATTGGAATAAAATCTAGAGTAAGTCATTTGAAAATAAAAATATTATTGTACTCACTCAATGCTCTGGGTGATTATTGCAAATATGAGAAATTGTTATAATTAAATTAGGTTTAGGTTTGCTTTATGCATAAAATGGCCCTCTAGATAAAATAATTTACTGTACATACATGGATGTAATTAAGATTTTTGATTGTCTGATATTTGTCATAAACTCAGATTTACTGGTGAGTCCATAGTATCTTATAAACAAGTCCAACAATTATCTTTAATATAAAATTGATTATATTGAGAGAGAAAAAAAAATGGAAATTTCAGTTTAATTTCCCTAAATATTTGATCACAGATCAATAAATGAGAAGACAGAGAAAATATTGCTTTCTTGTTTCTAAATTGTGAAATTTATAGCGCTTGGGTCAGGGGCTCTGAAGTTATATTAGGTTTTATTGTGAAATTGTATTCTATGAAAGGCTTAACTGTTCTGTGTTGCATTATTCTCTGGTGACTATTAATGGGGGAAAAATGAAAGTTCATACTAATCATAAATATTACTTGCAGTTGCACCATAAAGATGTGTCATGACCTTTGGTCAAGGTCATTTCTGCAAATTCAAAGTCACTGGCAGAAAGAGTTTATGTAAAAGTTGTGTCAGAATCAAATCTCCAGTCAGCTTATGTAATGTGGTCTGTTATGCAGTCATGTTATAGGGAAATTAAGTTGTCAGTTGCCAGTAGTCCGAATCAATGCAAAACATATATACCCGGAGTCAAAGGAAAACTGCAGAAGTCCACTGCTTAAGCATTAAAGATGTATTGCAGTATGATATGAACAATATCTGAGTACACAGAGAAAAAGATGAAAGGCTGGAAAATTGATCTACAGTACAGTGTAGTTACTGATATTTTTTCTTTATAATTTTTGTTGTCTTTGATTTATCAAAATTTTGTTTTCTTACACTGAAAAGTTTCATCTTTTGTAGTAGAAATTAATAATTATAAATCAATATATGCTTAGAATTACTGGGTGAATTTTTTGTTAAAAAGCTATTAAGTTGTGATTTTCAAAAAACATTTTCAATAAATGTTGCATTCGAAATCAGATGTTTAAATTAGAACAAAGTACTCTCTAAGGTCAAAGAATTATGTTACAAATATTTGAAATTTTATTGGTTATGGAGAGTGCACAGAAATTTAATTTGGATTATTGGTAAGTGATTTAGGTCATGTACACTGTGAGGTGCTGTCATCTTGATTTTCAGGTGATTTCCAACCTGACCTTTACGATAGGAGATGTTAATGAACCTCCCCACGACCTTCATCTGACCTCATTTAATGCACCAATACAGTTTCCTGAAGACAAACCAAAACTTAAGGAAAATCTCAAAGGTATAGATATATACTGTAACAGTACATTCCTAGCCAGATTACCTGTGAAGGTACTTCAACAGTATGAGTAGTTTTTTCACCTGAGCCGAAGGCTCAAGTGAGCTTTTCTGATCACATTTTGTCTGTAGTCCGTCTGTCCGTCCGTCTGTCTGTAAACTTTTCACATTTTCGACTTCTTCTCAAGAACCACTGGGCCAATTACAAAGCATCCTAAGGGGAATTTAAATTGTTAAAATGAAGGGCCAAGTCCCCTCACAAGGGGAGATAATCAAGAAAAGACAAAAATAGGGTGGGGTCATAAAAAAATCTTCTTCTTAAGAACCACTGGGTTAATAAGGCTGAAACTTATGTGGAGGCACCCTGGGATAGTGTAGATTCTAAATTGTTCAAATCATGACCCCCGGGGGTTGGGCGGGGCCACAGTGGGGATTCAAAGTTTTACATAAAAATATATAGGAAAAATCTTTAAAAATCTTCTTCTCAAGAACCACTGGGCCAGAAAAGCTGAAACTGATGTGAAAGCACCCTGGGGTAGTGTAGATTCTAAATTGTTCAAATCATGACCCCCGGGGGTAGAGCGGGTCCACAATGGGGAATCAAAGTTTTACATAGAAATATATAGGAAAAATCTTTGAAAATCTTCTTCTCAAGAACCACTGGGCTGAAACTCATTGAAAGCATTGTGGGGTAGTGTAGATTCTAAATTGTTCAAATCATGACCAAGGGGGTTGGGCGGGGCACAATGGGGAATCAAAGTTTTACATGAAATATATAGGAAAAATCTTTGAAAATCTTCTTCTCAAGAACCACTGGGCCAGAATAGCTGAAACTGATGTGGAAGCACCCTGGGGTAGTGTAGATTCTAAATTGTTCAAATCATGACCCCCGAGGGAAGGGCGGGGCCACAATGGGGCATCAAAGTTTTACATAGAAATATATAGGAAAAATCTTTGAAAATCTTCTTCTCAAGAACCACTGGGCCAGAAAAGCTGAAACTGATGTGGAAGCACCCTGGGGTAGTGTAGATTCTAAATTGTTCAAGTCATGACCCCCGGGGGTAGGGCGGGGCCACAATGGGGCATCAAAGTTTTACATAGAAATATATTGGAAAAACCTTTGAAAATCTTCTCAAGAATCACTGGGCCAGAAAAGCTGAAACTGATGTGGAAGCACCCTGGGGTAGTAAATCATGACCCCAGGGGGTAGGGCAGGGCCACAATATGTATTACAAGGGGGAAATCTGGTAAAGAACAATATGACAAAAGATTCTCAGGTGAGCGATGTGGCCCATGGGCCTCTTGTTTTAGCTAACCTGAGCTTTTCTGATCACATTTTGTCTGTAGTCCGTCTGTCCGTCCGTCCGTCTGTCTGTAAACTTTTCACATTTTCGACTTCTTCTCAAGAACCATTGGGCCAATTTTAACGAAACTTGCCACAAAGCATCCTTGGGTAATGCGGATTCAAGTTTGTTCAAATGAAGGGCCATGCCCTCTTCCAAGGGGAGATAATTATGAATTAATGAAAAATTAATGGTATCCTTTAAAAATCTTCTTCTCCAGAACCACTGGGCCAGGAAAGATGAAACTCATGTGGAAGCATCCTCAGGTAGTGTAGATTCAAATTTGTTCAAATCATGACCCCCGGGGGTAGGGCGGGGCCACAATGGCCGACCAAATTTTTACATAGAAATATATAGGAAAATTCTTTAAAAATCTTCTTCTCAAGAATGACTAAGCCATAATTGATCATATTTATATGGAAGCATCCTCAGGTAGTGTAGAATCAAGTTTGTTCAAATCATGACCCCAGGGGGTAGGGCGGGGCCAAAGTTTTACATAGAAATATATAGGAAAATTCTTTAAAAATCTTCTTCTCAAGAATGACAAAACCATAATTGATCATATTTTTTTTTAAGCATCCTCAGGAAGTGTAGATTCAAGTTTGTTCAAATCATGACCTCCGGGGCTAGGGCGGGGCCACAATGGCTGACCAAAGTTTTACATAGAAATATATAGGAAAATTCTTTAAAAATCTTCTTCTCAAGAATAGCAAAGCCATGATTAGTCATGGGACTACTTTTTGATTTAAACTTTTCAATAATAAACCAATTTCTACTTTTTCCTAGCCACAGTGCTCAGGTGAGCGATGTGGCCCATGGGCCTCTTGTTTTTCAATTATATCCATCTTGAAATTGAAAAAGATACTGTTGCATGAAATTGGAGAAATATTTATTTCAAATTGATAACGGTATAATTTCATTGGTCTAAAGAATCATTTTGCTGACCAATTTTCTTGTATTCCACAGCTTCTTACGTAGGAACCATAGTAGTCAAAGACCAGGACAAGGAAGACAATCTGGAGATGAAATTATTGGACGATTTAGGAGGTCGTCTGGCTATAATGAATGCAGACTGCTCTCAAGTCAAGGTCAGTTGTTATTCAGTTTTATCATCTGGTCATATTGATTGCAGTCCTCAAGTCAAGGTCAATGTTATCCTGTGGATATAGTGACTGATAATAGTCATTAGAAATGCATGGTTCCAGGCAAATCTTTAGAGCACAAACTTGGAAGTATAAGTTTTTTTTCTGGATACTCATCACAAGTCATGGAGTGAGGAAGACCCTTCACTGATGCTTTCACAATAAAAATTAAGTAAACACATACATATTTTTCAAAAGATAAACACCTTCTGCCTAAGCCCCTTTGTTTGCTTGTCTTACTTACTGCCTGGGTACCTTTGTTTGGTTGTCTTACTTTATTTGATTGTCTTTCAGGAGATGAACACGTATTGTCTGGGTACCCTTGTGGCCTTTGGGTCCTTTGACCATGAGGAGGAGGGGGAGGTTAATATCTCTGTATCTGTGACAGACAGCCAGGGTCTGGAGATGACTGCTGAGTGGACCATGGAGATCCTAGACGTCAACGATGCTCCCACTGTAAGTTAACTCTGATCAGAAGACATAGAACAACTTAAGATAATTCCAATCTTAATTCTATTTATTGATTCCCTGTGTTTTGATTGGACGAGAACAAATTCAAGAAAAAGTTTACACATCGATGAATTTTTCAATCAGAACTACTTTCTTGACTGTTGTAAAAACAATGAAAACAGATACTTCTACTCCGTTTTAGCTAAATTATGATTACAAGAAACTGGAAATAAAAAATGAATGAATGAAAAGGAGATAAACAGGACTGACAGACGGGAATATTATGTTTATGTCACTGTCGGCTTACGAGTGTTAATTTTAAAAAAATCGCTGATCATGATGTAATTTTTTCGACGTTCCATATCAGCTCAGTTGGTATTGTTGTGATAGGGAAAAGAAACGCACCTCAGACTCTTGCCTTTTCAGCATCAAATTCATATATTTACATCCTACAGATCCCATATTCTCCCTAAATCTTTGAACGAACCAGAGTAAATCGAGGACGTCGTCAGTCTGCAAGTTTCGCTATGACGTCGTTAGATCTAATGTCAACATAGCCATGGTCAAGGACGAATTATTCTGGAGAATACGCGTATTTACGATATTTGTTGACTTAAACAACATTCAATGAGTTTTTATAAGTTTATTTTATTGATTGTTTTGACAATTTAAGTTGGATTTTGTCGATATTCATCTTGTATACGTTTCTTTGCGGCATAAAGTATTCCTACGCCGTACAAAATAACGAATTGTATGGCGGCCTTAAAGAGAAATGATTTTAATAATTTCAAAAATTCGTAATTGGAATTATAAGAATTAAACGTTCTTTTTTCAGAATTTATCGATGTGTAAACTCTGCCTTTTAACTCACAAACATTACATAAAAGTGCTTTTATTCAGTTTGTGAGTAAAAAGGCATTACAAATTCAATTTTAAGTCACTCGTCAGAGAAAAGTTCACGCAAAACCTTTATTAAAAAATATTCATTAAAATTCAATTTTTATAGAATATTTATATTCAACAATGTAATTTTTTTAATATTCATCGAAAAAACTGCTTAAAAATCTACAAAGAAGCAAGATTTATGAGGGACTATTTCTTGTGGTGGAAGGATATTCAGCAGAAATTTCTGCAAATCTGCACATTTATTAAATTTAGTGTCTTGAAACTTTAGCCTCACATACTTTTACTCTGAGAATATTTTCTGTTATGATATTGCAGGAATATTTAATATAGGTCTTAATTTATATTTTCAGAACAAGTTTTACAGCTTCCCTCATTTGCCAGGAAATGAAGATATATTAAAGAAGTCAAGATAAAATTTACACCATTTTTGGCAAAATCACATATTTTGACCAATATTTCAAAATTAACATCACTGACCCCAACTTTTTCTTGCATTATTTTAAACTACTCGATACTTATGACTGATCAGCACTTAACTCCTAAAAAGCTTGATATAAGAAAATATTTTATTGCCTACAGTGTTTTCAAAAAGAGCCGGCAACCGGCAAAATTAACCGCCTGTGCGAGAAATTTTGCCAGCTATGAAATTTCTGTCATTAGGATTTAACCCCATTTTGCCGATGCTGATACGTGAAATCCATAGATTTTATTGCAACTTTTCCATGATGTAGAGTAGCTTCCCTTGAGTGCGCTCTTTTTTCAAGGAAGTTTGAATACATAGATAGTGTCAGGTAATGGCGTCACGGACAACAAATATTTGAGCGAAGTCGTGGAGAAACGTGCTGCTGCTGTAACACATTGTTTTAGATCACATATATGAAGAGGCATAACGAATGGTCCCTTCTGAAAAGATTTGTTTGTGTTTTATAATTTTCAATTGAAAATTGATTGTGCGGCAGCCTCAATATTAAATGAGGGGTTCCCTGGTGAAACAACAGTAAATAACTGTATCAAGGCCAAAATAATTTTAATTAATAAGAAAAAATGTATCAATTCTTACAGAATTTCCTCAAACTGAATATCTCAAATGTTAAGCTAAGACGTAATAATTATGAATAAAAGTCTTAATATTTTAATCATGACTCAGACATAGAAATTCTTACGAAATTTCCTCAAACTTAAAATGAAAAACTTTATTATTCTCATTTATTCGTGTAGGATATCTTGAAATACAGGAACGGTATCATTTTCATATTTGGGAAGGTTTTAATGTACTAGTCTAGTATTTTGTATCAAATTCAATTTTCTTAATTATTTTGTTCTGACTATCTCAGCTTGTACAAAATGTTAAAAAAATCAGTTAAAAAATTAATTTATGAAAAGTCTAGGATATTTCAATTTTTGGGAGGTACTGTACATCACCAAGTGTTTAAAAAAAAAACTATTTAAATTTTCAACTAATTTTTTTTTTTAATCTTGAATTAAAGTCCTGACCAATTTATTGTAAAGGGACAAAATATGTAGAAATTTAAGCATGTTAAGTATAATATTCTACCACAGACATTGTCTGTACTAGAATTAAGTTGTCTCAATGTTTTTATAGACACTTTCAGAAGAAAAAAACTAATTCTCAAAAATCTGTCTAACAAATCTGTAAAAAGATAAAAATTGTTTTCTAATTGGCTTTTTGGAGTACAATTTGATAATTGATAGTGACAGGAATGTGAAAAAAGTTACTTTTTAAATGGCCTGAGAGGCCTAGGGCGGCCCCCAGACCCCTCGCCGAGACTGGTTTCCTGCTATACCATCTATTTTTCCTTCTATTGAAAATCTTATTGAAAACACTGGCCTATAGTTTTTTAATACCCCAAATATGTTAATTTTTAGTGCAAAAAGGTCACACAATAATAAACGCGCATTAATTTGCAAGATTTGTTCAATGATAAATATTATTCAAACCATTTTATGTAAAATAAGATTAAATTTATTAACGTAGTAACATCTGATAAAATAAAATTAGAGATAAAGTAATTTACCAAAGAGTTAATGTTTAAGTGCAAAAAGGTCAACTTAATTGTACCATAGATCAGTAAGATGCACACTGACCCCCTATTTTCTCTGCGATTTTGAGTCATACTATATGAGTACTTAATCAAAATATACTTCCCAAAAAATCCTTGATTTAACAAATTTGACGAGTGACTTACCTTAAGTTAACAGTTGGTTGATTCCAAGCTTTACTGGTCAGAGACCAGAAGAGCTTATGCGATAGTAAGGTGTCCGTCATCCGTCTGTCTGTAAACAGTTTTTCAAAATGCTACTTCTCCTACAGTTTTGATCTGATTTTAATCTTACTAGGCACACAAGTAGACTACACTAAGATACCAAGTTTTGTGCATAAGTTTTTGATTTCGATGAACGGTGTTACTGTTACTAAAAATAGAATTTTCTTACAAATTACTTTAAAACGCTACTTTTTCTACAGATTTTTTTCTGATTTCAGTCTAACTTGGCACACAAGTAGACAACACTAAGACACATAGTTTAGTGTACCTGTTTTTGATTTCGATGAATGGCATGGTTATTAAAAAAATAGAATTTTCTTAGAAATTCCTTTAAAACATTACTACTCCTACAGTTTTGGTCTGATTTCAATCTGACATGGCATGCAAGTAGACAACACTAAGATACATAGTTAAGTGCTTCGTTTTTCTATTTGGATGAACAATGTTGCCTTGGTTACTAAAAATAGGACTTTATTAGAAATACTTTCAAATGGCTACTCTTCGTACAGTTTTGGATTGATTTCAATATAAATTGGCACATGAGAAGAGTACACTAAAGTACATAATTCTACGAAGGGTGATCAAAAAGTTCGCAAACTTATTGAATAACTTCCATACAAGAAACAATATTTGGTTTTAATGTTGATTATATTTTAAATTAATCCTCCCCGATTTTAATGCACATCAACCACCGTTCTGCGCTTGCACGAATCACGTGATATTGGCGGTCACGTGACCCCCTCCGTAGCGTTCTGTCACAAAAGTTAAAAGATTTTTCCGAGTTTTATATTTCTTTCCATGTGAGTTAATTTTTATGACAAGAACAGTTAATTTGTCAGAAATGGTCATATTTCGGCAACAGAATGGGTGGATAATAACATCCTTTCCAAAAATAATCATGGCGACCATTAAAACACAAATCTTCTGTCTCAGGAGAGACCTTTATTCAAGGTGGATAGAGAATGGGTGCATCCTTTTTATCATATCTGATAAGTTTAAAATCTAAAGTAAACGATATCTTAGGTATTTAATACTTATATCATTGTTCAAATATTCAACTATTTTTCAAAGTGCTAATTGGAGGTCTTTGATAGCAAATTGCTTAATTAAAAATACATATCTTTTCAAACTTGTTTTCACTGGGCAAGATGACAAGTATCATTTTTAACCATCAGCCTTCCTTCACTAAAACGATTAATCCAATCATTAATTGAATTTATAGGAACTCATTTATCTCAATAAACTGTACTGTGTACAAATTATTATATGATACTGTAGAGGGATTTCTAAGATATTACAATAAATTGTACAGTCGTTTGTTGAACGAGTTCGACTGAGACAACCATTTTTCGTCACAAGTGACCTAAATAGTGACGTCATTTTCACATTGTGACGTCACAAACAAGGAGAGAAACTTTATTCGGCATATGCTATTTATAGACATACTTGCCAACCTCCAGCATGTAAAAATCTGGTCATGATTAGATTTTTAAAGTAAAAAATCTGTCATAACGCGTAACAACATTCACGACATATTTATCATGATTAAATTTTAAACATATATGTACAAAGATTTTGTGTATTGAGAATTCTTTTTTTTTTGAAAAAGGCTTTAATTTACTATGACAAAAAATTCATCATACATGCCAACTTTCCCGATTTAGGCGGGATTCTCCCGATTTTACCCTTTCATCCCACCTTCCCGATCGGGAGAGAAAAATTGCCCTAATTTCCCGATTTGAAAAAAATCACCTTAAAATTACCTATTATAAAAGTTTCCCTACCGCTGAATTTTGACAATCGGGATAACAATGTCAGATTTGTTTATTCAATGCACACAGATAGGTTTCATTGTTTATTTAACCAGGTGTTAATTATAGGCCTTAGGCCACGAGAAATCACTTCACGCTTGAACGCACAGGTACAAGTAGCTTATAGCTTGGGGCAATTAGGGGATTATCTTGTCAGTTTTATGGGGTATGCAAGGTGAAACACATAGACTAACGTGATAACTATTAGTCATTTTATTAAAAACATAAATTAAAGACAATAAATACTAATCAAACCATAAAATCGGAATCCAAAGAGATCGTTTTTTGAAAACGAAAGTAGAAAACTACAACGCATAGCTGCTGATTTTATCTTCTTACTGAAAAATATTGTAAAGTTTTCCAGTTAAAATATTATGAAAAAATTAAGATGAAACAATCAAGTGTATGTCAATTAGAATTTCTTTTCCCTCCCTTCTCCCAAAAGTAATGTGTTAGGTATGTGCATGTCTTAAGGAAATACCCACATGGCACCATCAAGACTGACAAATTTCATGACTGTAAAAAAAATAATTCTCTTTTAGATAGGTGGTATAAATTTCTGTAAATTGAATATCTTATTAGAAATTCTAATTAATTGAAATATAAATAAAAAATCTCAAAATTTTTCCAGAAACAGGACTTTACAGTATCAAAACCTCATATTTTTTTAGCCTTTGAAAAAAAAAATGATTTAAAAGTTGTTCAATTTTCAATTTTTCACTAAATTATGTGTCCTGGTAGAAAAAAAATTGTTCAATTTTCAATTTTTCACTAAATTATGTGTCCTGGTAGAGAAAAAAATGTTTACATATGTAACTAAATACCCCTTCTTTAGTGAGAGAGGCACCTCTTTTAGCAAAAATATTTCAATTTTGGAAAGAAAAACTTTATTTTTTGTGTTGAATTAATTCCTAAGTTGTATTGATAAGTGATATCAATATTATAAAAGATCATTTCATATAATCATTTAATTTCACGAAAAAATGTCGCGAATTAAAAGCTTTGAAAATTGTCATCACGCGCTAAATCCCCCATGGGAATTTTCAAAAGTTGGCATGTATGAAATTCATACATAATATGATTAGATTTACATGTTAAAAAAGAGAATTGAAGGTTTCATATTTCAGTATTGACCTGAAGTAAGTGTGCATTTTTTTTTTTTTAAAAAGCCTGTTCAGTTTCTGCTAAATTTGAAAGTATACCAATTTCAAGTTTGAAGTTATTTTTCCTCTCTCTTAATTGATTAACTACTGCAATATGTATTAAATTTGAAGTTAGACCTACACTGTCTTTGATCACTTTATTTTATCTAGAATGAAAGTTTTTTTCCAAGATTCCTTGATATGTACATAAATATTGTTTCTCTTTTTCTTGGTTCAATCAGAGACGTGTTTGGTTCAATTTGTTCCTGCTAGCCCTGATAACGATCTAGTTCTATGGGAAGCCATTTTAATTGACTTCAAACATTGATTTGTCAAAACAACACCCAGTTAATTGTTTACACATGCACTGATAATTAATCCATCGGCATTGTTTACGTAGATCTAAGCTTGGGTTGTAACTGGAAGTTAAAAGTGCAAGAATTTATGAACCAAATCCGGAAATCGGGAGATTTTCGGGTTGTTCGGCAAAAATCGGGTGAAAAGCATGACCCATCGGGTCATAAAAAATAATCGGGTTACAGGTTGAAAAATCGGGTGTGACCCGACGAAATCGGGTGAGTTGGCAACTATGCTTATAGACCTTGTGTATGGCTATGTGTGTACCAAATTTCATTCTAATCTGAATTGTGGTTTTGTAGATATAGAGATATTATAGTTTGCGAACTTTTTGATCACCCCTCGTATTTATTGCTACCTGTTACAAAGTTTCAAATCAAAGTGTTTTTTTTCTTTATATGTACAGACCAGTAGAGCGACAGTCTCATCAGAGACTCCTAGTTGGTTTAATATCCTTTGACAAAATGGTTTCTGTAGCCTTTTATGATCAAAATTAGCCTAAAGTAATGATGTAAGATAGATGAAACTTGGCAGAGAATGAAAGTTGTATTTTATATCTATTGATGGTATTAATTTGTATCACTATGATGACTATAGAATAAGGAATTACGTAATAATTAAACCTTATTTAATTCATATCATTCACATGATAAATTTGGAAATTTTATTCTGCATTTCTAATGCAAAGAATCCCCTTTGAAAGAAATGAGCAGGATGGCAGGATGCTTTGTAATATTAATTACAAAGAATATGCATTTTGGTGATAGACTGTCAAAATTCATTTCTACAATGTCATGGAAAAGAAAAACATGCAGCATTTTATTGAATTTTACATTCAAACATCCATCTTTCTGATTGCTTTGAGTAGTAAACTATATTCTCAGTAGGTTAATTTCAAATTGTGCTTATCATCAAAAAGAAGACTGCATTTCATTGAAAGTTAGATTGAATGTTATCCAATAATCATTCTGTTGGCTTTCATTGTCCATGAAGTATATTCGCCTTGATCTCTGTTACAGGAAATTTTGATAAATGGAGAGATGGTCAGTGGTGTGTCAGTTACAGAGAACAGCAACGGAGCCATCATAGCTGACCTGACAGCAGCAGACCAGGATAAAAACGATACTCACAGCTTCCTCCTACTGGACTCTGCCGACAGAAGATTCACACTGAAAGGGACACAACTCCTGGTAAACACAATTCAACATGTAGAAAAACTAGGGTCACTTTCTGCTAAAGTGGCTGTATAGATATACCACTTTATTGACTACACCCTGTTTCATTTCAAACATCAAGTTAAAGCAGAGTTGTTTTTTTTTGGGGGGGGGGGGGGGGGGGGGTAAGGAATCAGAGTTCTATTTAAAATTTATTACTGAAATTTATGTGCAAGATTCTTGAGGTAATGTGGATTCTTAATTCTTCAGATCATGGTGTAGGGTGGGGCCACAATAGGGATTACATAAGGAAAAATCTTTATAGGATGTGGCCATAAATGACAATGAAATTCTACATAGGAATACATGTTTATTAGGCAAAAACAAACTGATACTGAACAGCAGAACCAACTTTACTCAGGTGACCATTGTAGCTCATGAGCCTCTTGTTACATTCTTAACAATTGCAGTTCAATTTGGGCAGGAAAAAATAGCTTAATTAACTTTTTTTCCCCCCAAAGAAAAAAAGGATTAAAGCATTTTAATTAAAATGAAATACCTGTTAAGGTTTGAAATGGAGTGTGGTTTCTGCAGTACTAATATTACCCAGTAATGATATATATTGTACTTTCAAGATTAACCTTTCTACACTCAATTTAAGGGAAGATCTAGTTTTCAAGTCGGACATTGAAATCACGTTTTCAAGTCATTCAAGTTGGTTTGAAATAAAAGTTTGATGTGGAAAGGATGTGAAACTAGACAAATTAGTTACAGTAAACATTATAAAATATGAGCTGTAGTAAAAAAAATGTAGATCTTTTGAAGAGAAAGTAAGACATGGTTTGAATTTATTGTGTGCTCTATTTTCTTTCCAGACATCTGATTCAGCTAATCTAGACTTCGAGTCCACAGACTCCTACGTAATTCGTATTGTGGTTAAAGACGATGGAAAACCAACTTTATCTTTTGAGAAATCTGTCTCCATCATGGTCAAGGATGAAAATGAGGCTCCAAGAAATATTATTTTGTCCGCCAATAAGGTAACAAGGCCAAGCTTATGTCTGTCTGTGGAAAACCTTGAAATGGATTCCAGGTTTTACACATAATGATTTTTGTTTTCATCTTTGTATAAGAAGATAAAAGAAGCAGTTTAGAATTCACACCAAGTACAGCAGAGAACTAGAGCAATAAAGTTTAAACTAGAGGTAGATTGAGCAGTGAGCTCACTAAATGAATCCCCCCACTTCCCATATGAATATAATGGCAGTGTCCATGTTTTGCTATGGGAAACCCAAAATACGTGTCTGATCAAAAAGTAAAATAGGAGGTCACAATGGCAATATGTAATAAAAATTCTGTAAAAGTCTCATCAGATTTCATGCAGTGTTATGAGAGGAGATGCTGATAAGAGATGGGAACCCCAAAGTGTAACAGACAGACGGACATCCAGATTACTATATACCCTCCGGCTTTTCAAGCGGGGGGTATGAAAATGTGAAATAAACCAGTAAAACGATCAAAGTTTTGGGCATTGTTAAAGTTTTTGCTAACAAACAGATGCACAGACAGGGCAGAAACTATTTACATTTACTAGCTGTAAAGCATAAAACATTTTCTTAAGCTAACATTTTTTTTGGAATATGGTCCAGAAGTTATATAACTATTGCTTCATCAGCAGTAGTTATCAGTTGACCTTATCTATTTGGTTGCATAATTGTCATAAACGCATTGTAAAGTCATTAAGTTTTTGATTTCTTTGAACTAGGAGTTCTACTTTATTGATAAATGAATAACTTGAATTTGAAATTAACCACAGAAATATATTAGATAACCACAAGTTATTTGTTCCTGAGACAGTGGGAGAGTTCGTGATGTTTTAGCTGGTTTGAAGTTTGATGTTTAGAATTCAAGTTTCTCAAGGCCTCAGCCAATCCTTGTAGAAATTACATAATCCTGTCGCACTAAGCGAATTTTCTCTTCTTGGCCATTTTTGTTGCAAGTATTGATACTGATTTATGATTTAGGAGCAGTGAATTTAAACAAACTAAAGCTCTTCATGATGTAAATTTAGGTGACACAGAAGTCGTTTTTCAAAGTAAAACTGTTTCTATTCAATGCCGAGCTTGTCTATCTTCCTGTTATGTGATGTATGTAAGAAAGATTTTTTTTTGACTTTTTTGAATTTGTATTCTCTAAATTGATGGATGGTTGTTATGTTAACCTATGTATGTAGTTTTTAGGTCACTGGGTATTAAGTAACCAAAGTAAGCATTCTAAGTGTATAATTATGATAAACAATGATGCCTCTTTCAAAATTGTGAATTTCATGGCCTCTGGTTTAATTGGAAAGTTGTTACGGGATACTCATGTGACCTATAAGGCCCATGTTCAGCTCCCAGTTATTGAGATTAGATGTTGAATTCAAATAATATGACCTGTAAGTACCAATACATGTATTAATGTCTACTCTTAATATAGTGTAATACTTTCAAATCTTAGAGTTCCAATATATTCACATAGCAGGTATATGTTAACTAAAGGAAAACAGCTAGAAATTTTTGGATTATAGGTCAAGGTTGAGAGGCATCACTTTTCTGAGGGATTAGGGCGGATAAAGTAAATGATGTACAAATATTCACCTTCTGCATTGTGTGTTTGGATTGGGTATCAAAACAATGCGAATCAAGTTTTACATTACGTACATATTTGGGGGGGGGGGGGGCTTGTTTTGTTGTTTTCTTTCGGTATCAGTTCTTTGGTAAATATGCAGGTCCCTGAGAGGAGTGAGCCAGGCCTTGTGATTGGGACACTGAGGAGTGAGGACCCAGATAACAGTAGGAGGGAAGTACAGACATTTGTATACAGCCTGGAGAATGATGCCAAAGGTCAAGTGGAGGTCAAAGGCCACCAGCTACTGGTGAGTTACTCCGACTTAAATAATCACAGCATGAAAACTACAAGATTCAAGAATTTAATTAGAGAATGCATGTGTTAATACATTGAATTCTTACCTATCTGACCAATGAAAAATATTGCACCTGTTATTTTGTTGCATGATGATTTTGGCAGGTGAAGAGGTCAACACACCTGTGTGGTGACCAGCCTTGTGAGTTTGACTTTGAGAAAGAGTCTAGTATTGATATCAAGGTTAAGGTCACTGACTCGGGAAGTCCACCCCTGACCTTTGTTAAGACCATAACTCTAGAGGTCACAGATGAGAACGACCCTCCACAGGACGTTAGACTGGCAGGAAACTCCATAGCCGAGGGAAACCCTCCAGGAACTGTCATAGGTACATTTGTACATAAAATATACTGGACATGTATATTCAATTTATACTTCATTCTGATGGGGCTACTTTTCAACCAAAGAATTGCAGCAATATCCTTCACCTTCATTCAAAAAATGATAATGTTTTTAAATTTTAGATTTTTTTTTCCATTTGAACCTACCAGTATATATATTAATAATTTTTGTTACATGTGAAAATGCCTTATCTTTTTGAAAGGCAGAATTGTGGCAGTAGACCAGGATATTGGACAAACCTTGATTTTCACCCTGTTGAATTACACTGATGTGTTTGTGCTGAGGGATGATAACTCTTTAGCAGTGATTCTGAGCTTAGATTATGAACAGCAGGCAGTGTATGCCTTGTCTGTTAGGTGTAGAGATGATGGAGAGGAGTCAAAGACAGTGAGTGAATTGATAGATGGTTATATACAGTTTTATTAGATCTGTATATAAACCCATTCAAAGTTTTAGTACAAAAATTATTTATAATTTTTTTTGTTAAAAATATTTTTCCAGCCTTAGTTTTGTAAAGTGAGTTTTTAACATTTGATGTGTTGTTTCTTCCAATAAAAAAAAACAACAGTTTTTTAAACCCCTGCTCCAAAGGAGAGGGGGTATAATGTTTTACCCTTGTGTGTCTGTCTGTCAGGCTGTCCGTAACAAATTTTTGGTTGCAGTTTTCTTAGCAACTACTTACAGCAGATGCTTGAAATTTTAACAGAATATTCTCTGAGGCATGCCATATGATGGGATTCATTTTTTGTTCAAATCCGAATTCAACTTCCTGTTTATCCGCACGTCTGTCCATTTCGTACATAACAATTTTTCGTCTCAGTTTTCTCAGCAACTACTCAAAACAGATGATTGAAATTTTAACACAGTCTTCTCTGAGGCATGCCATATGGTGGGATTCATTTTTGATGAAATCCAAAGTCAACTTCCTGTTTATCCATCCGTCTGTCTGTTTCATACATAAATTTTCGTTGCAGTTTTTTTGGCAACTACTCATTGCAGATGAGTGAAATGTTAATACAATCTCCTCTGAGGCATGCCATACATTTTTAGCTCACCTCAACGAAGTTGGGGGAGCTTATGTAATACCCTCGGCGTCGGTGTCGGCGTCCCAGGTTAAGGTTAAGTTTTTTGGAGCAGTTTTCTTTTTAAGGTCAAGATCTAGTAAACGAAGGGTGCCTACAGATTTATCAAATTTGAGAAATTCCTTTAATGAAGCTTTATAACTTTAGCTTGGTCAAAAAAGGTGTTTCTAGGAAAATAAGATGAAAAACCATATTTTAAACTGTTATTTTCAATGAAAAATTAAGAAAATTAGACATGAATTGGGAGTTTTTTTTGCATAGCACACAACAAAATGTATCCAGATATCTTTCAGAAAACGGTAATTTGTATGTTCTTGGTCTCTTCTTTTAAATAATGTTAAATTTAATATAGGTATCCGTACTTTTCATGTGATTTCAAATTGAATTCCATGAAAATACATTTTCTACATAATTCTAGGTTAAGAAAGTTGAAAGTGATTTTTAATGGATCTAGCAGTTTTTTACTTTTTTAAGTACTTGTATGTCCTATATTGATTAGACATGCATGGAAGATGCATCTAGTGTGTTTCATTGTACAAGTCAAAGTTTCAGATGCTGCAATTTCAGCAAAGGAATGACCAGGTTAATGTTTTTGGAGCAGGTTAACATTTTTGGTGCAGTTTTTGGTGTAGGTCTCATTTCCAAGGAAATATAAGCCCTATGTTGACCAAACTTGCATGGATGGTACATCTAAGGATGTACACTACCAGACTTGCTTCGGATGCTGAATCTGACCTACATTTTCCGGTTGAGTGAACAGGTTAATGTTTTTGGTGCAAGTCTCATTTACAAGGAACTATAAGTCCTATGTTGACCAAACTTGCATGGATGATACATCTTAGGATGCATACTACCAGACTTGCTTCGGATGCTGAATCTGACCTACATTTTCTGGATGAATGAACAAGTTAAAGTTTTTGGGGCAGGTTTCATTTCCAAGTAACAATGAGCCTATAATGACTAAACTTGCATGGATGATACATCTTAGGATGCATACTACCAGACTTGCTTCGGATGCTGAATCTGACCTATATTTTCTGGATGAGTGAACAGGTTAATGTTTTTGATGCAGGATTCATTTCCAAGTAACTATGAGCTCTTTAATGACCAAACTTGCATGGATGATACATCTAAGGTTACATTCTACCAGGCTGGCTTCAGATGCTAAATCTGACCTACATTTTTTTCTGTTTGCTCAGCAACTACTCAATACAGATGCTTGAAATTTCAGCATATACTTTTTTGAGGCATGTTTTATAGTGGGATCTATTTTTGTATGAATTTGATGTCAATTTCCTATTTATCTGTGCAGCTGCCCTCCACTGAACTTGTGAATATTAACTTGATGTGTATGTTCACATCAGAGGGGGGTTTTACTAGTGAGCACTGGCTCACAGATTTCTGGTTTTTAACTGAAATTTCAGAATAGAATATAAAACAATTGATAAAAGAAAAATATTCTAGGTAGACTCTGTTGTGACCATTAATGTACTGGATGTAAATGAGCCCCCTAGCTTCTCTGGAGTGGTGGATATAACAGTAGAAGAGAACAGAGAGACGGGGGAGGTAATTGGAACAGTGACTGCTACAGATCCTGACCTGGAAGAACAGCTTGTGTTTACCTTGACCAGAGGATACAACAACTTTGTGACAGCCAATACTACCTGCTTCACAGAGGTATTTCTGATACCACATTCATAACTATACTAATCACCTGAACAATTAGGTATGAAGCGAGAAAGTTTATTTTTCAAACTTAAAATATGATATGGTTTTCTTTTACCAAAAGTTCTGTCATTGCACTTACATGTTTTTTTCTACTTCACAGCCAGAACAGGGCACTCGCTGTATTTCTAGTGTTTCCCTGAAGCACCGTTTGGACTTTGAAATGATGCCTGTCTTCTCACTGACTCTGTCTGTACAGGATAATGCAGGTCTGACTGACTCCTCCAACTTCAGGGTCAATGTACAGGATATCAATGAACCCCCAACTGTAAGTCTTAGAGAAAATCTCCTCTGTATGATATTGATCAGTTAATTAATCTTAGAGCTGTATATAATCTTAGTAATGTAATGGCTTTATGGAAATTATAAGGCTTGTGTATTATGAAAATATACATGCAGATAAAATCATTTTAAAATGTTTCTTTTCCAGAGGATCTTTCTAAATGGAAAGTCCTTAACTTCACTATCTGTAAATGAAATGACACAGAATGAGACAATTGCAGAGTTGTCAGCCCTTGATCCAGATCAACACCAATTTCACAAGTTTTCGCTTGAATCAGGAGAGAAAGAGAATTTCGAAATTATAGAAAATAAACTCAGGGTAAATAACATCAGAAAAAAAACCCAGTAAACTTGAATGTTTGATTCTTGAAATGATTGTAGTAATGCTGGTGATGACAACTAGTCTTTACAGAAATTTTGATACCAATTTAAATTTTAAATATAAAACTCACATGAAGGTAATAAATTGTTCTGATTTTTATGTTATTTAGGTAAGGACTAGTGCAGTTCTGGATTTTGAAGCACAAGAGGAACACCATCTGATCATAAATATAATGGACAATGGCTTACCTCCCTTGTCATTGCAAGCAAAAGTCACAGTTCATATAGAAAATTTGAATGAAGCACCACAAGCCTTAGTTTTGGACAACAACAGGGTAAAACAATCTGTAAACAATTTTGTATTATTGTGAAGTAAGAAACAGTGTACAGCATGGTTAGGGCAAGTAAAATTACTGCCAAAGAAATGTTGACAGTTTTAATGTCAACTTTCAGTAGATTTTCAAAGATGGTCAATGTTATTTCTAGACTTTTTTGAAGTATGAACTGGTAAACATTTAAATGTATTTAATATGTTCTGGTATGAAAAATGTTACAGAAAATATTTTGTATACATTGAAGATGATTGCTTATTTTGCCTAGGTTCCAGAGAACGCTCCAGAGGGTGAGGTGATTGGTCAGCTATTGACCACTGATCCAGACAACAGGAGGGCCCAGACTCAGACATTTACTTACATCATGCTGTCCAATCAAGACAGCAGATTTAAGATTGTAGGGAATCAACTCCAGGTATCTCAGTTCTTATTGATAAAAAAATATGTTTAGAATAAGAAGAACTGCATATTATATGTTAAAATCTTTTTATAAGATAGGTAAGGCAAATTCAGAGTGCGGTAGGACTGGAGGGAATTCCTGTGGTGTTAACTTTGAGGATTCTGATGTGTACAATGTGACTGTCATGGTGACTGATAACGGACTCCCCCCTCAGAGTAAAGCATTCAGTGTAACAGTGTATGTGACAGATGTCAATGACAGACCTACAAATCTCACTTTGTCAGGTAACTGAAGTACTTTCTTAAAATGTAAGTATTATTGCAGATGTATGTTCAGAAACCCTATTGGTGTGAATGGTGTCTAAATTTGTTCATAATGTATGGTGGCAATCAAGTGCAGAATTTGTTTATCAATGAATTGTAGTCCTGTGATTAACAAGTAAATAAACTTATTTATATAAACTTTGGTCTGTTATTGTTTTGTCTGTAAAAACTGATACATGTAGTAAATCCATGATGAATTCATTGTTCCAACTAATTGAATACTTAGCGTCGTATTTATAGCCCTCTTTTCATCATGATATTTACATGAATATGGAAAGGAAAATTTTAATATACATGTAACTTTTTTTTAAACAGGACACAAAGTCCAGAGTCTGGCACCAAAAGATACTGTGATTGGTCAGCTTCTGGTGATGGATGAGGATGTTGACCAATCACTTGTCTTCTCTTTGGTATCTGGTGGTGAGGCTCTATTTCTGGTCAGCAGTGAGGGTCAGGTTACCAAGGCAACAGACCAACCTCTGAAGAGTGGGCAGATCTATAATATTTCTGTACAAGCAGTGGATGATGGACAGCCACAGTTAAAGGTAATTCATTTAACTGAAAACATATGTATGGTCTTGTTGCTAAGCAAAACTCTGTCTATGAATTGATGATATCTATCTATAGTTGGAACAGCTGCTACCTATTTTTGGCTCTTCTGGTCAGAGACCAGAAGTGCTTATGCTATAGTAATGCGTCCGGCGTCCGTGTGTTTAGCTAGCTGTCTGTCTGTAAACAATTTTTCAAAATGCTACTCCTCCTACAGTTTTGGTCTGATTTCAATATAACTTGGCATACAAGTAGACTACACTAAGATACATAATTCTGTATATTGGTTTTTAGCTCACCTGAGCCGAAGGCTCAAGTGAGCTTTTCTGATCACATTTTGTCCGTCGTCCGTCTAGCTGTCCGTCTGTCTGTCTGTCCGTCCGTCTGTAAACTTTTCACATTTTCGACTTCTTCTCAAGAACCACTGGGCCAATTTTGACCAAAATTGGTACAAAGCATCCTTGGGTAAAGGGGAATTTAAATTGTTAAAATGAAGGGCCAAGTCCCCTCACAAGGGGAGATAATCGACAAAAGACAAAAATAGGGTGGGGTCATTAAAAAATCTTCTTCTCAAGAACCACTGGGCCAATAAGGCTGAAACTTATGTGGAAGCAGCCTTGGGTAGGGTAGATATTAAAATGTAAAAATCATGACCCCCAGGGGTAGGGCGGGACCACAATGGGGAATCAAAATTTTACATAGAAATATATAGGAAAAATCTTTGAAAATCTTCTTCTCAAGAACCACAGGGCCAGAAAAGCTGAAACTGAGATGGAAGCACCCTGGGGTAGTGTAGATTCTAAATTGTACAAATCATGATTCCCGGGGGTAGGGCGGGGCCACAATGGGGAATCAAAATTTTACATAGAAATATATAGGAAAAATCTTTGAAAATCTTCTTCTCAAGAACCACTGGGCCAGAAAAGCTGAAATTCATATGGAATCATTGTGGGGTAGTGTAGATTCTAAATTGTTCAAATCATGACCCCCGGGGGTAGGGCGGGGCCACAATGGGGAATCAAAGTTTTACGCAGAAATATTTAGGAAAAATCTTTGAAAATCTTCTTCTCAAGAACCACTGGGCCAGAAAAGCTGAAACTAATGTGGAAGCATCCTGGGGTACTGTAGATTCTAAATTGTTCAAATCATGACCCCTGGGGGTTGGGCGGGGCCACAATGGGGAATCAAAGTTTTACATAGAAATATGTAGGAAAAATTTTTTTAAAATTCTTCTTCTCAAGAACCACCGGGCCAGAAAAGCTGAAACTGATGTGGAAGCACCCTGGGGTAGTGTACATTCTAAATTGTTCAAATCATGACCCCCGGGGGTAGGGCGGGGCCACAATGGGGAATCAATGTTTTACATAGAAATATATAGAAAAAAATCTTTAACAATCTTCTTCTCAAGAACCACTGGACCAGAAAAGCTGAAACTTATGTGGAAGCATCCTGGGTAGTGTAGATTTCAAATTGTGTAAATTATGATCAATGGGGTAGGGTGGGGTCACAATATGTATTACAAGGGGAAATCTGGTTAAGAACAATATGACAAAAGATTCTCTTGTGAGCGATGTGGCCCATGGGCCTCTTGTTGATTTCAATGAACGGTGTTGTCGTGGTTACTAAAAATAGAAATTTCTGTGAAATACTTTTAAAATGCTACTCCTCCTACAGTTATGGTCTGATTTCAATATAACTTGGCAAACAAGAAGACTACACTAAGATACAAAATTCTATTTATCGGTTTTTGATTTAGACGAACGGTGTTGCTGTGGGTACTAAAAATAGAAATTTCTGTGAAATACTATTAAAAAGCTACTACTCCTACAGATTTGGTCTGATTTCAATATAACTTGGCATACAAGTAGACTACACTAAGATACATAATTATTAGTTCAAGTTTTATATTTTGATGATTGATGTTGCCATGGTAACTAAAATTGATAATTCTGTAAAATTTTATGAAAAGCTACTCCTACAGTTGTAGTCAAATTGCAGTCTTGCCACAAAAAGTGACTTAATCAATGAAAATTATTCTATTTATTACTTTTTTAAAGTTTTAAGTCCCAACTGCTACTTTTCTCTTATAAGTACAAACCAGCAGTCTTGACAGAGACTTCTGGTTTATCAACTTATGTTAGTCACATTCATGATTCGGACATTGGACCTTCTGATCATGGAGCAAGTGTTCTACCAACTGAACAACCATGATAGCTTGTTTAAAAGATCATTTTGTTGAAAAAATTATGACATTTTGAAACATTATGAATTACATATTTTGTTCTTTATTAGGTGACCTCCAGTTTTCAGATAGCAGTCCTTGGAGTGAATACACCTGTCAGTGTAAACTTCACTACAGAGGGAGGAGTCAAAAGCTTCCCTGTCAATCATCCTGTTGTCATGGAAAACTCTCCTGCTGGCACTGTGATTGGCTCCCTGGAGGGGGTAACTAATGGGGTAGATGAGACATTAACCTTCTCTTTAGAGGTGAAGGACAAGGAAAATCCTTTCAGCATGGGGGATGTCAGTTGTAATACAAAAGTAAGTCTGCAGTATGTTTTGACTTAAAAGTGATTTTCATTATTATATTTGATGGAAGAATGTGTGTTATGAGGATTGTAACTTTTGCATATTTTCACTATGTCAGACTGACTTGACCACATGCACTGTTTCTGTGAAAGTAAAGGGAGTTCTTGACTTTGAGGAGCAGTCCTTCCTGTCCGTAGTTGTTACTATAGAGAACCGTGAAGGAGGAAAATTGATTGAGATGTTTAAAATTACCATCGAAAATGAAAATGAGGCTCCATGGGTAATTAATTCTTAATCTTTGAAAAGGATATTCAAATCTTCTGTTTGGTATTTTATTTTAAAAAACATAATAAATTGCTTATTTAATAAGGATAATGTATTGTCTTGGTATGTGTAAAGAAGGGATATTTTTGATTGGTTTACAATTTGTTTTCTTACAACTTTTAAGCTCTCATATCAAAGTTTACAGGCAAACTTTCTTTGGTCTGCCTGCAACTTTTACTTTTGGACTTGTGTGACAGACACTTTTTATCTTGTCATGTTGAGGATGAAGGTTACCCAATAATTTCAGATAAAGGTTGTACATTAACGTCCGTTTATGTTGGGTTCATGGTGTTTTCAGGCATATCTTATTTTCTCTGTGTTTTCTACAGGACGTCAGAGCCAGCAGTCCAGGTCTTGTTATTCCAGAGAACACCCAGGGACTGGTGGCTATCTTCCAGGTAACTGATCCAGATGTGGATGATACTCACACCTTTACCTTGCTGGATGGTGAACAGTTTACCATCACCCCACAAGGACACCTCTCTACAAACATAGGTATGCTATTGTTAATGAAGAAAGAAAAAATTAGTAATAGTTATGATAAACTAATAACAATAGCAATCAATTATACTTGAAAATAGAAGCTGAATGAAGGGATTTTACTGTCAAAATAATGAACATGACTTTAACAGAACGTGAAATTAGATTAGCACATATTAAAAGTGAATGCATTTTTTCAGGCAAATTAATAGACTTTGAGGAGAGTCCACATGTTAACATCACAGTCGAAGTTATAGACAGTGGAGGACTTACACTTAGGAGAAACTTCACTATACATGTAGAAAATATCAATGAAAAACCCACACAAATCAGTCTCTCAAACAACAAGGTAGGGAGAAAGAGTCAATCTAATATTCAAAGTTGAATAATTTTCATGAATTGAATTCAGGGGGTTTACCTGTCTCCTGCAATGAATACATGTATGTTGAATTCAGGTGAAGGAAATGAGTGACCCTGGGACAATTATAGGTCACCTAGTGACCAGGGACCCAGACTTCAGTCAGATCCACACCTACAGACTGCTGGATGATGCTGGGGGCAGGATCCTCATTCAGGGAAACACTGTTCAGGTAAAACAAAGTTTCCATGTATTGAGGTAATAAAGATGTAATAATTTGAAATCTATGGTAAAATATTAGGCATTCTATATTGAATACTGCCATTTTCATTCACATTTTTTAATATAGCCAAGTTTGACATTGATGGATTACTTATATTTAGGTTGCTGCCAAGGGAGATAAGTGTGAGGAGATGGGCGGATCCTCCTGTTTACTGGATTTTGAATCCAAGAGAAGCTTTAGTGTCCTGGTCAGTAGCCAAGATTCAGGATTCCCCCCTCTGAATCTGAACGCGTCCCTTACAATACATGTGACTGATGTCAATGACCCCCCACATGACCTTGTTCTGAGTCTGGGGAATCTGCCAGAGGACACACTGGTGGGGGAAGTGGTGGGGACACTGGAGGTATTCTTCAAGCTTGACTTACAGTTTGTGTGTAAGTACGATCTGTTGACAGTTTGTTCTGTAGTTAGCTTTGGTTTCAATCTTTAAGGTCAGTAATGCAGAATTAGAACAGACTGTGTCCTTCAGCACAGAGGAGGAGGCTGGGGTGTTCGTAGTGGAGGGTAACTTACTGGTACTGAAAAAGCTACTGGACTACGAAACCAAACCTGTGTACAACCTGACTATTACAGCTACAGATAACGGTTTGCCTCCTGCTAAGGTAAACACAGTTACCATCAATATCAAGGGCAGTGTTTAATATATAGATATTACTGTGTTCCAGTTTTCACTTTGTCTGATGCAAAGAATTCTTACTGCACACTCGTGATAAATCATACAAAATATCATCAACAGATACAGTTAAACCTCAATTATATTGATTTCAATGAGACCAAAATCAAACTGAGAGATTTTCCAGGATTCAAAATAACAAGAGTTCAAAGCATAGGATATAGTTAGGACTGCCAACTCACATTGCAATATCTGTATTATTTGAGATATCTTTGATCAAGATAACTAAGTTTAACTGTGTTTTGATAATAATTCGGATTTAAATGAAAATCTTGGCAGAATTCACAAACCTACCAGATCAATGTGGTTGATGTGAATGAAGCTCCTTTTGGTCTACAAGTGACATCAAGTAGTGGAAACACCAGATTCCCTGAAAACAAACCAGTCATTGCAGAGAATTCTGGTACACATGTTCTGATTGGTCAAGTAATGGTACAAGATTATGATAACATGGATGTTATTACCATGGGAACAACTAGTGTGCAAGTTGGCTTGTTCAACCAGCAGTGTCTGCCTTTAGCAAAAGTAATATTTTGCTTTCTCATCTTGATTTTCTAAAACACATTATTACAAATGACAATATAAGCAGAAAATTTCTTAAAATTAAAGAAATGCCTGATTGACTTCAGATGGTGCACTGTACATCGGATTTGAGGACATTGGTATCATTGGACTATGAGATGACACCACACCTGACATTTGAGCTGACGGCAGTGGACAGAGAGGGACTGACCATAAAGCAGGAGTTTAACTTGACTGTGCTGGATACTAATGATCCACCCTCTGTTAGTTTTATTTCTGTCACTTACAGTCTAGTTCGTATTTTGTTTTTAATTCATTTTTTTTGTGGACATCTTTTTGTCTTTTGTCCACTTAAACTTCAGTTAACAATTTGCAATACATGTATGATATTTCAATTTTACTAAATCATGCAGAAAAATTTGTGAAAGCAGAAGTGTTTCATATTTCTTTTAATATTAATAATTCTCATGGATTGAAAAAAAACTTGTTTGCTGAACACAGGATATCAATGCAGAAGAGGTGACTTACTCAGTAGATGAAGGAAGTCATCATGTCAGAATAACATCGTTAACAGCTAGAGATCCAGACACTGGACAGAATCACACATTTACAATAATATCTGAGTCTCAGTTCTTCCACATCATCAACAGGGAATTATGGGTAAGTGTGATGATGCCGCGACCAAGTAGGTGGTCTATTTTAACTTTTATTGCAATATTATATGTCAGAGGTATTTTCTGCAGTTTAATTTTTGTTGTTTGGCACCGCAAAAGCACAATTCTTGTTAATAATTTTAAAACTTACAATATTTTTGTGATTCATTCGGCTTCAGTGAAGGAGTACAATTTCAATGTTTTGAAGTTTTATCGTTTGAAATTTTGAATGCACAAGAAATAAAACAAAAAATGCAGTTCATTTTTTTTTTCAAATTATGAAATAAAATGAATTTTAAGGAAAAAATGTCAGCTGACCAGTTACATTTTAATTCCAGGTATCCAACATAGCAGATTTAGACTATGAATCAAAATCTGAGCATGACTTGGTGATCCGAGCCATAGACAGTGGAAGTCCTCCCATGTACATAGAGAAAACCTTCACTATCAAGGTCAACAATGTAAATGAGGCTCCCAGAAATATCCGGATGACCACAAACGAGGTTTGACCCCCCTCCCAACCTCCTCTTACAACCTGCCATCACATTCCATGTCAAACTCTAACTCACTGTGTATTTCAGATTCCAGAAAACAGTCCCCATGGGACAGTGGTAGGGGAGATAATGGCCGAGGATCCAGACAACATCCACAAACAGATCCAGGTACTCCAGTTCACCCTCACAGATTCTGCAGCAGGGATGTTTGCTCTCAATGGAACACAAATAGTTGTAAGCTTCTCTGGATAAGTACGTAGCAGGGTCTTTCAGCATAAATACCGATTAAAATTATAAAATTCTATTAAAATTAAAAATGAGAAAGGACTTATAGTCAATTATTAAATGCTTTGATATGTTGATTGATAAAAATGAAAATTTGAAAAAGAAACGCATTATTAGGTTGTGTTAATGATGGAATGTTTTATTGGTTCAGCTGATCAGTGGAGATTTGGACTATGAGGAAGTCCGTCAGTACTCTGTGGGTGTTATGGTGACTGACAATGGAGAACCCTCCCTCTCAGCTAGAGCTGACATTGTCATCCACGTCACTGATGCCAACGATTCCCCAACAAATTTAAAGCTAACAGGTGACCTGTCTATATCTATCATCTCAGTATTCTTAAAAAAAAAACTATCTGCATGCTAAAATGTATTCTCAGACATTTTAAGTACAAGTCATATGAGCATAGTTTTTTTTTTCCTTTTTTATAAGGAGTTCAGTGTTTTTACAGCATTTATCTATCATTATTCTTGCAATACAGAAAATTCACACTGCTTAATAATAATTCTTTTGTCAATTCAGCAATGAGAGTTGATGAGAACTGTGAGATAGGGATTGTGGTAGGAAGTTTATCAGCTGTGGATGTAGACCAGGGTCAGAGTTTGACTTATTCCCTGTCTGACACCGGTAACCTTGTAGTAGAGGGAGATAAGGTCAAGGTCACAGGAAGTATAGACTTTGAGCAGATGCCCTTCATCATGTTCAAAGCTACTGCTACAGATGATGGCCACCCAACCAGAGAAGTAAGTTATCTAAAGTAAAAGTATCTTATTATTGTATTTGAGATTAAGAATTTTAATGTTTTTGTTGAGTTAAAGTTAATCACATTTTAAACAAATTTTAGGTTTCAAGGAGTTTTTCAGTAGCAGTGAAGGATATGAATGATGAACCAACTTCCCTGAGATTGATACCCTCCTCTGTTGTACAAGATTTTATGATACCAGAATCAATGTCTATTGGTAGCCGTGTCGGTACAGTGGAGGGCGTGGATCCAGACAGAGTGGATAAGATAGCTTTTGATTTAGTGGACAGTAATTTGGGTGTGTTTAAACTAGGGAGCACTGTTAAGTGTGGACCAACAAACATTCAGTATCAGGTAAACAATTGAATTAAAAGTTATTCTGTCTGACTTTTCTATTCAAAGCCCAGAATCATTGCAACAAAGTTAGATGGAGTAAGGATTTTATGCTATTAAATGGATTTTTTGTATATGTTTTATTTTGTAGGACGCAAAATCTTCTGTTGGAACAAAGTGTTCTGTAGAAGTACAGCTGTCCAAAGATTTAAATTTTGAGACGAAATCCACAGCAAAGACTCTTAAAATTCAAGCCAAGGACAAAAACAACTCCAGCATAACAAAGGATTGGACATTCTCTGTCAAGGATACCAATGATGCACCTACTGTAAGATTTGTGGTTCAGCATTAAATTCATGCTTATAATTCTGAAAAAGTGATTAAGTGTTAAAAAAAATTATTTTTTTTTACCATGAATGATGTACACAATGATTTTAGGATATAAATATTGATGGCAGTCAGACAATGATTCCGGAGAATGAGCCTAGTTTTATCATTGGAGCCGTACAGACAGCAGATGAGGATGTGGGGGATACCTTCACTTACCAAGTTATCTCCCATTGGGAACTGTTCAGGATTAGAGGGGATAAACTGGAGGTCAGAAGGTCGCTGGACTTTGAGGAGAAATCTACGTACAATGTGACAATAAAGAGCACTGATAGTGGAGGACTTTCCTTTTCCAAAAGTTTTGGTTTTAGTGTTCTTGATGTCAATGAGAAACCAAGCAACATTTCTCTAAACCCTAAAGAAGTAAGAATTTCAGCATATGTTATTAATTCAGACACAACTGAAAATTTGAATCATCATTGTTCATGGGAGACTGGTTTTCTTGGGTCACCCCTTATAGGAACTATATCCTTGTTTAAGAATAAGTTCATTGAATGTTTTATAAACTTAAGGTATTGTCTTTGACAAATTAAAATGATTCCATAGTATTGTCTGAAAAGATCAGAACAGAAATTATGATGTTTCTAAGTACATGTGAACTGCATAAAATCTATTCTGTTTCTGTGTAGTTCCTAATTCTAAAATAAACATTTGAATGTCAAACATAATTTACTTTTTGCCTCCTTTTAGGTGAGTAACAGTGCTGGAGTTGGGGAAGTGGTGGGATTTGTGACAGTAGTAGACCCAGATAATGTCGACCCAGACTCCCCCACCCAGAACCACACCTGTACAGTGGGAGGGGAGGGGCTGGGGGTCCTCACCATGGATCCTGGTTCTAATGTCCTCAAGGTATGTGCATTATACAAATGTTGAAATTCTTCATTTCAAGTGAGATTGGGACTTGTTTTCTACTTTGTAGGGTTGTTTATCTTTTGCATGCTGTATTGTTTATGTACATATTATATTTTATGTTTTCTTTGGAAAACATTGTTTCTGTGTTCAGGGGATAAAGGTCATATCCAGTTCTTCATATAAAAATTACATAGTATGATCAGTGTCAGATGCAACAAAATGATAAAATCATGGATATTTTTAAGGTTGAATCATCCGTGCCCCTAGATAGGACAGAGATTATGATCATTATTACCTGTAGGGATAATGGGACACCACCTTTGGAGTATTCTCAGAATATAAGTCTGGTCATCAAAGAATCAGTAAAGATACCAAAGGAGGTCAAACTGACCAATATGAGAGTTGTTCCAGAAAATACAGAGAGCTTTGAAGTAGGAGAATTCCAGGTCTTTAACATGCTCACCAATAAGCCTGTAGAGAATGAGGTCAGTTATAGTACCAGGAGTAAGTCTAACATGCTCACCAATAAACCTGTAGAGGTCAGTTATAGTACCAGGGGTAAGTATAACATGCTCACCAATAAGCCTGTAGAGAATGAGGTCAGTTATAGTACCTGGGGTAAGTATAACATGCTCACCAATAAGCCTGTAGAGAATGAGGTCAGTTATAGTACCAGGGGTAAGTCTAACATGCTCACCAATAAGCCTGTAGAGAATGAGGTCAGTTATAGTACCTGGGGTAAGTCTAACATGCTCACCAATAAGCCTGTAGAGAAATGAGGTCAGTTATAGTACCTGGGGTAAGTCTAACATGCTCACCAATAAGCCTGTAGAGAATGAGGTCAGTTATAGTACCAGGAGTAAGTCTAACATGCTCACCAATAAACCTGTAGAGGTCAGTTATAGTACCAGGGGTAAGTATAACATGCTCACCAATAAGCCTGTAGAGAATGAGGTCAGTTATAGTACCTGAGGTAAGTCTAGCATGCTCACCAATAAGCCTGTAGAGAATGAGGTCAGTTATAGTACCTGAGGTAAGTATAACATGCTCACCAATAAGCCTGTAGAGAATGAGGTCAGTTATAGTACCTGAGGTAAGTCTAACATGCTCACCAATAAGCCTGTAGAGAATGAGGTCAGTTATGTTACCAGGGGTAAGTCTAACATGCTCACCAATAAGCCTGTAGAGAATGAGGTCAGTTATAGTACCTGGGGTAAGTCTAACATGCTCACCAATAAGCCTGTAGAGAATGAGGTCAGTTATAGTACCAGGAGTAAGTCAAACAAGCTCAAAAATAAGCCTGTAGAAAATGAGGTCAGTTATAGTACCAAGGGTAAGTATAATATGTCATCATTACCTAAATTAAATGATTTATTAGTTAAAGTCAATGATTTATTCTGTTGTGGATAATAACTTGTCATATTTGTTTCAGATGTACTTGTATTTCCTAATTGATGTAGATGCTCCCTTTAGGATTGAAGGAAACTTACTGAAAACCAAGAGAGCATTTGACTTTGAAACACAACAGTTCATCAAGGTGGAAATTAATGCTATGGCATTTGGATCAAATCTAAAGGCAGAATATAAGGTAACAGTTTTAAGGTTTGTTGTTGAAGTAATGTAGACAAGTTTATCTAGTAAAAAGTGTTTTACCTAGGTTTTTCAAAGACATTTTTACAAATCATGTACTTAAGTGTTTGTATTGTAAAGCACTCTCGGGGGTTTGCTTATACATAAATCTAAAAAAAGAACATCTCAAAAGAGATAAGATAATAAGAAAAACAATCTACATAATTTATGTTTCCAGATTGAGATAGGAGATGTGAATGAGGCTCCCATGGGGATTGGAATATATGGTGGGGGCCTTCTAAATGAGAATAGTGATGAGGGGACTGTTATAGGAGATCTAAATACCCGGGACCATGAGAGGAATCAGATATACACATATACAATCAAATCCATCTATCCAGGGTAGGATACAATGACATAGAAGTACATTTTTTCGCATGGTATTAATTTACGCTATGCACGTGGTCACAAATTTTCCACAGAATTTTGTCCAAGCATACTAAAATATAAATATAAGGCATGTAGTGAAAGTCTAAGAAATCCATGTAATTTTCTACCCGCGGATTAAACAGAAATTGAGATTCCGCGGAATTATGACCCTGTGGAAAAAAGTACGTCTACAGTAATATGAAATCTTTGAGTTATCACATTTTCATTCTCTGCAACCTCTTCCCCATTTTTCAAGTCTTCCTGCAGTGCTTTTCATTTTCTAGTAATTTATGGAGTACTGTACAAAAAAGAGCTAGGTTCACTGTATCCTTAAAATGGCCCTGTCACCTTTCCATTTAACTGACCAAGACCCCCTGTCCCATTTCAAACATCACTATACAGTAGATGCTTAGTGCTTGAATTTCCCATAAAATTTTGATTATGTATATAATCATTGTTTATTTTCCAAATACAATATCATTATTATGCATAAAACAGTGTCCCTTTTGTACCTCTTGTAAACCACGTGATAAAATTAACCAATAGGATTTCTCTATTAGCTGAAGTTAGCGTGCCTGCAGTGTTGATGTTTATATTTTTTCCAGTTCAGTAATTATACTAATCCTTCTTTATTATTACTGTTTGGACTATGTGATAAATGTGACTAATTCAGGAACATTTGCTTTCGGATTTACTTTGACGCATTTTATGTTTGGATATTTCTATCTACAAATAATTAGACATGTGCAATATGAAACCTGTGTACCTATCGATGTGTGTTGACTTATTGATAAATTCATAGTTTTAAATACTGGATTGTCTGCATTTTAAGATAGCAACACGGTGATATTAAGTAAATTCGAATTTGTGAATAGTTCAGTATGCCGAGGGCTGCAAGGAGAAATGCGACAAGGCAAAGGCCTGTTCAGGTGGTTTCAACTTCTGCCGTAGAAAGCAGTGCTACACTTCTTGACATGGACAATCCCTTGAATTGGACTGTTGCCCAATTAAGGGAAAGACTGACACAATTAGGAATTCAAGTTCCGAAAGGATTTAATGCCTCAACTTTGCGACAGCTTTACAATGAAAACATAAACAAAGGTGATGTAACAGAACGGCGCGAAAACTCGCATGAAGGATCATTGGGCGGAAGTGACGCAACAAACAATGGCGTCCCCCTACAAACATTGGGCGAAAGTACAGTTACGAATACAAATAACGATGGTGTTCTACTACAGACTTTGCAAAGTATGGCTCAATCATGCGCAGCTTTGCAACAGACGGTTAATACGTTATTAGCGAAAGAGAACAAGAAAGACGCAGAGAAGGAGGACGATAACCCTCTTAAGAAATATGCTGCTCAAGTTCACACGGATTCAGCTTCAGGTACGATAGATTCAGTTAATATTAGTGAGCACTCAAGCATAGGGGTCCCATCGAAAGATGTAGGCCATGTGGATCTGGTCTCCGCCGATATTCGGAAAAAAAATACTACGAGGTGAAGATGTAAATATGTGCACGCTCCTGATACCAGCTTATGAGACTCCCAAAAAGGAACAGGAGAAAACTGATAAAAGACTAAATAGAAATTTAAACATGAGCGAGTTTGTCACTGCTTTCAGTAGATACAAACGGATAATGTGTGCCACATACCCTTGGAGACAAGAGGAACTGGACATGTACTTGGCACATATTATAGAGGTACACAATGTTTGGCCAACAAAATTTTTTGAGTATCACAAATTGTTTGCTGCCAAATGTGCCATTGCCCTAAAACAGAACAATGTTCTAATAAACTGGAGCAAAGGAGACGATGAAATATTGAAGCGTGTAGTAGCAGGTGCTGAAGTCAGCAAGTGTAATATTTGCTCCTCGACCACCCATACATCTAGTATGTGCGTTGAAAATTCAGATGACAACAAACATCAACGAAGTTACCAGAGCTATCAAAGAAAGGACAAGTATGATAGGAATATAGCCTTTCATGAAGGTAGGCAAATTTGCAACAACTACAATTCAAACAGATGTACCGTACCATACTGCAGAAGAGCACATGTATGTGCTCAATGCATGTCTACTTCTCACTGAAAACTAAAGTGTCCGAATTTAAACGCCGAGAAGACCACGACCACAAATTTGATGCTAGATGATAAAACAAAGAAACAAAAAACTCCACAGTGACTAGAAAAACAAGAAAGGGATGAATTTAAAGCCACTACACCAGTTAATATAGAAAGACTAGAGTTTGAATTATGTAATCACCCAGACAGAGAATTTGTTGATTATTTAATTGGTGGACTACGTGATGGATTTGATATTTTTATGGGTGATAGTACAAGCCTTGATAATTCATATGAGTGTAGGAATTTACAGTCAGCTAGGGAAAACCCAGATACAGTTGATGAACTTTTAAAAACAGAAGTTCAGAAAGGATTTGTGAAAGGACCGTTCCAAACACTCGATTTTTCAAAATACAGAGTAAGTCCATTAGGACTGGCTACGGGTAAATACTCCGGGAAAAAACGCCTTATTTTGGATTTATCTTCACCACATGATAATGAAGAAGTTGACAGTGTAAATAATTTGATTGACAAAGAAAAATGCTCCTTGAAATATGTTAGAATAGATGATGCAATAACAAGAATTAAAGAATTGGGAAAAGGTGCTATCATGTGCAAAACAGACATATGTGATGCATTTAAGCTGATACCAGTTGCTCCAAGATTTTGGCCTATGTTGTGTGTGAAATGGAAAAATCTGTTCTACTACTTCGTTAGATTACCATTTGGAAGTAGAAGTTCACCGAAAATATTTGATCATTTATCACAAGCCATTTGCTGGATTGCAAAAAACAATTATGGAATCGAAAATATTCATTTGTTAGATGATTTTCTTACCATTGACAAACCTGACGTGATTGGAGAAAGGACCATGGCTTTGTTGTGCACTTTATTTAAAAGACTCAACATACCATTATCATTGAAGAAAACAGTGGGTCCTACAACGGAACTGGAATACTTAGGAATCATCCTTGATAGTGAAAAAATGGAAGCACGCTTACCCCAGGAAAAAATCACACGGATATGTAATTTCATAATGGATTTCCTGAAACAATCTTCAGTGACGAAGAGACAATTACTGCAGTTACTAGGACACTTTAACTTTGCAGCGAGAGTTGTGTTACCTGGGAGAGCTTTCACTTCTTATCTTATCCAATTGTCTACAAAGGTAGAGAAACTTCATTATTACGTTAAGTTTACACAAGCTAGCAAGGAAGACCTACAGATGTGGTTACATTTTTTAAAGCATTGGAATGGTGTATCAGTGTTTTATGAATCCAAGCTGATAAGTAACGCAGACATGGAATTGTATACCGATGCCTCATCTACAGTAGGATTCGGGGGATATTACAGAGGAAAATGGTTTGCAGAAAAGTGGCCAAAGGAACTTAATACTCATAAACAATCTCCGTCCATGGCTTTTCTCGAATTATATCCTATTGTCGTTGCAGCTATTATTTGGGGGAAGGACTGGAAAGGGAAAAGGATTCTTTTCCATTGTGATAATGCTGCAGTTGTAGATATTATCCAGAAACGTCGATCCTCAGATCTACAAATATCATCTTTGATGAGAACTCTATGCTTTTGTGCTGCTATTTATAACTTTGACATTTATAGCGAACATGTATCAGGAATTAAAAACATTATAGCTGACTCTTTGTCTCGCTTACAGCTGGAGAAGTTCAGGCAGGCGGCTCCTCAAGCAGAGAAGAATCCGATGGTCTGCCCACAGGTATCAGAAGTAATTTGGAACTCGGACAAGTGGTTCAAAAACTGATGAACAATTCCGTGACAGAAAGAACAAGATTAACTTACAAACAAGGTTTTGAGACATATAAACATTTTCTTACAATACATGGTGTTTTTTATGATGTTAAATGTCCACCTATATCTGAAGATATACTTGTACATTTTGTTGCATATTGCCAACATAACTTGTTGCTTAAATTTTCTACAATAAGATTATATTTGTGTGGAATCAGATACATGTTTTTAGAAATGGGAATTCCAAACCCTTTTCAGTCTAAATGTCACTCAATGGAACGATTGAAGTTAATTTTAAATGCAATTGGAAAAGTGCAAAGTAAAGATCAATTTAAAAATAGGGTCAGATTGCCTATTACAGCTCACATACTGCAAAGAATTTGTACAGTTTTGAGGAATTGCATGTTTAAATATTATACCAATGTTTTGTTAGAAGCTATGTATGTAACAGCTTTTTTCGGATTTTTCCGTTGTGGTGAACTGACAATACAACAGAAATTTGATCCATGCTGTCATTTATGCTGTGAAGATGTTCAGATTCACGAAGATTGCGTTAAGATATTTTTGAAGACTTCTAAAACAGATCATTTTCACAAGGGTTCAAGTATTGTATTATACTCAAATGACACAAAGGTATGCCCAGTAAAATCTATGTGTAAATACATGCAGGTGAGAAAATTCTGCTTTGCTGGACCTAAAGAAGCTCTTTTCGTTACAGAAGATAATCTACCTGTAACAAGATCATACTTTATTGAACACTTGCAGTATATCTTAAAAGTTCTAGGTTTTGATTCAGAGAAATACAGTGGTCACTCATTTCGTATCGGTGCAGCAACATCTGCTGCATCAGCTAGGATAGAAGACCATCTTATTAAAACTTTAGGAAGATGGTCATCGGACTGTTATAATAGGTATATAAGAACACCAACCAATGTAGTTAGAGATGCACAAATTAGTATGGCTACTAGTTTTCATTCAGAGAAAATGTCCTAGGTAAGGTTGATGTGTACATATGATTGATGTTTAGAGAACTGATTTTAGCTTACATGAAAAGTTTATGTACTGAAACTCTCTACGTTCATACAGGATATTGATGAAGTTATTGATAAGTGAAATTATGCATATCTACATTTTGTTTGATCACGTTAAACTGCTGATATTAGACCTTTCTAATGTTGTTCATTTTTTATAAGATACATACATGCACTCTATCAGATGAAAAACACTTATGTATGTTGTTTTAACGATGTTGAGATTCAATGTATTCATAGTTTAATTTAATATGTCTGGATCCATCTTTAATTGTCTCACGTCCACATTTTCACTCCTTTTCTAAATTACTTACATCCCATACTTGGGGACTATGCAGCTGTACCATCTGCATATTTTTGCCATTTACATAATGATATACACTTATATATCTCATTATTTTCTCCCAACTATGGGAAGTTAATCGTTCAGCATTGGGATCAGGTGCTTGTTACATAAGTTGGAGCACGCCGTCTATCTTAGGTGAGCATTTCTTACCAATTAAGATTAGACTCCAGTTGTTTACTCTATGTTCAATCCATTCAGGTCCTCATATTAGGCAAGCATTTCTTGCATTCAGCCATCCATTGCTAGTGAGCATATATTCACATAGGCAAGATGCCCTCAGCCTGCAGGATTCAGAGTAAACAACTACAGTTATGTAACTGGTACCTGGTTCTAATGCTGGGAGATTGACTTAATCTCTCTTGTATAAGCTGCATGAGCCCTCAAGGCAAATTTGTAAAATATTAAATAGTATTGTTAATAAAATTTTTGGAACTCTTAATTATATTCTGTTGTGTTTGGATAAATAAAATTTTGATTATGTATATAATCATTGTTTATTTTCCAAATACAATATCATTATTATGCATAAAACAGTGTCCCTTTTGTACCTCGTGTAAACCACGTGATAAAATTAACCAATAGGATTTCTCTATTAGCTGAAGTTAGCATGCCTGCAGTGTTGATGTTTATATTTTTTCCAGTTCAGTAACCACCACCAACCCCTTCCACCTTCCAATTATTGATGGTTCTAGACATAAAAGGGTTCATGAGCAATAATGCGCCATTTACATAATGATATACACTTATATATCTCATTATTTTCTCCCAACTATGGGAAGTTAATCGTTCAGCATTGGGATCAGGTGCTTGTTACATAAGTTGGAGCACGCCGTCTATCTTAGGTGAGCATTTCTTACCAATTAAGATTAGACTCCAGTTGTTTACTCTATGTTCAATCCATTCAGGTCCTCATATTAGGCAAGCATTTCTTGCATTCAGCCATCCATTGCTAGTGAGCATATATTCACATAGGCAAGATGCCCTCAGCCTGCAGGATTCAGAGTAAACAACTACAGTTATGTAACTGGTACCTGGTTCTAATGCTGGGAGATTGACTTAATCTCTCTTGTATAAGCTGCATGAGCCCTCAAGGCAAATTTGTAAAATATTAAATAGTATTGTTAATAAAATTTTTGGAACTCTTAATTATATTCTGTTGTGTTTGGATAAATAAAAAGTTCCTTTTGAGAGTCCAAGTATTAAAATACAGTCTTTGTGAAATTGCAGTGTTCTTCATTTATTAAAAAAACAAGTGTATTTGGGTACCTCCAGCGAAGTATTAAGATATGAGTGTACCCCTTGATCCAAAAAATGAAATGTATCATAATCTTAGGAAGCAATTGTTTCATCATATATAAACACACATTAAGGATCAGAGGTAGGGCTCTAATCAAAATATGGAAAATCAGCTCAAACCTTTGGACATTTTAGACATTTTTAGGATAATGACAAAATTCACCATATCATAATTTTCATCTAAAGTGAGCAGTTAATTTTTCAAAAATTCTTAAAGCCCAAAAGGCCCCAAGTAAACTTTGTTCCTTCCAATTTTATTTCAGATGTTTTATAAACTATATTTCAGTTTAACAGACACAGAGGATGCATCTCAATTCGCAGATTTATTTAAGCTGCAGAACAGAACCCTTACTGTCGGAAAGCCAACAGAAATTTTAAACTTTGAGAAATACCCTGTGTTTTCGGTTCAGGTGACAACCACAGACTCTGGTTCCCCTCCCCTGTCTTACACTGGGATTATCAGGATTGTTCTACAGGATGTTAATGACCAACCAAAGGACATCACTCTCAGTAACAATCAGGTTAGTTTACTACGTGAAACATTAGTATCTCCCTCAAGTGGTTTTTTTTTTTTGTACCAAGGAAGATAACAAAGACAACCAAATTCATTTTCCTAAAAGTACTTTTTTGTGTTAATCAAAGATCATCTTTCTTGATATGTAGGTGAAAGAAAACAGTGTACCTGAAGCTGAGATTGGGATGTTAACTGTTATTGATGAGGACAAGAAGGACCTTCACACCTGTGCTGTTGTTTCATCAGAGGTCCCAGTCAAGGTATAAATTTAACCAGGATTTACTCTTTATGTCTCACTAAATAATTGACTGTATTTAATGTTTTAAAGAGCTAAAACAAAGCTTAAAAGTGCTGAATATTTGACTTTGCAGATGAAGAACAGTTTATCCCTAGTTGTTGGAAATGGTCCACTTGATTATGAGAGTAAGAAGATATTTCCAGTTGAGGTATGTGTGTATTTATTGTTAAAGTGAAGAAATTCATTCTAAATGATTTGCAAAGCTAACAAATGTGTTCTTATTTAATTCTTTAGTAGGGTTAATTGCATTTTTTTTTTAAATTGTTAAGATCTTATGTAATATAAATTTAATGTCTTTAGTGTTTTGTATGGTATGACAGAATAAGGTTGGTTTGTAATAGTTATGATATAAATAATTATGATATGACCCCAAAATGAAGTTGAAGGGAGAGAAGGGGTTCACTTGAATCACCATATCTGTTTGCAAGATTAAACTTTGCATTAAGGTCACTTTTCTGTTTAAATTGATTGGTATAGTTAGTTCCTCCCTTTTTTTTGGGGGGGGGGGGTGGCTAGATTTGAGCTGCAGTTGATTTAAATTTTGGTCTTATGCATGCAAGTTTGATTTGCATCCTAGATTTTACACAATTGTTGATTCCTGAGAAAGAATTGATTTCTTAGCTTGTTTATGAAGTACCAGCCATGTATTGATTGTGCCCCTGTAGGTTTGTTTGGGAATGTGAGTACTACTCAGCTTTTCTTTTCCCTTGTATAGATTGAATGCTGGGATTATGGTCATGGTGGACCAGAACTCAGGGTCAGTAAAACGTTTGTCATCAATGTCACAGATGTTAATGAGCCTCCGTTTGACATCAGCCTCAGTTCCAACTCAATAAAGGAGAACACTCCTGTCGGTCAAGTGGTTGGAGAGTTGTCAGCAAAAGATGTAGATAGCACCAAGGTTAGTGACATTTATAGAACATTTCAGGTAATCAACATCTGTGTTGCATAAATTCATGGCTTGGCATGTTCAGAAATTAGGCTACCAGGTTGTCCAAAGAAGATGATGACAAGATATTTCTTTTTTGTATGTGATAGATAATCTTTCACCTTGAAGACAATCCATTTGTTCAGCTTGATGGAATAAATACAGTTGTTACCAAAACAGAGATGGACTTTGAACAAATGTCTGAGTTTGAGTTTACTGTGAAGGCTGTGGATTCTGAAGAAGCTTATAATTCAACAAACATAATAATCAAGGTCTGAATTCATAATGATTCATTTTTATTTACATTCTACATGAAAGCTATCCAGAGACTCTATTCATTATTGCAGAATATCTGTACTAAAGTCTTACAGACATATATATCATTTTCAGATATTAGATGTAAATGAAGCCCCATCAGACATTTTGTTAAGTACACTGAGAGTGAAAGAAAATCTGGATGCTGGAGTAGAGATAGCTGTATTGACAACTTCTGATCCAGACAACAACCAGGTGTATGTGTACTCCATCACTGTCACAGGTAAGTGTGATCCAGACAACAACCAGGTGTATGTGTACTCCATCACTGATACAGGTAAGTGTGATCCAGACAACAACCAGGTGTATGTGTACTCCATCACTGATACAGGTAAGTGTGATCCAGACAACAACCAGGTGTATGTGTACTCCATCACTGATACAGGTAAGTGTGATCCAGACAACAACCAGGTGTATGTGTACTCCATCACTGACACAGGTAAGTGATCCAGACAACAACCAGGTGTATGTGTACTCCATCACTGATACAGGTAAGTGTGATCCAGACAACAACCAGGTGTATGTGTACTCCATCACTGACACAGGTAAGTGTGATCCAGACAACAAGCAGGTGTATGTGTACTCCATCACTGGCACAGGTAAGTGTGATCCAGACAACAACCAGGTGTATGTGTACTCCATCACTGATACAGGTAAGTGTGATCCAGACAACAACCAGGTGTATGTGTACTCCATCACTGACACAGGTAAGTATGATCCAGACAACAACCAGGTGTATGTGTACTCCATCACTGATACAGGTAAGTATGATCCAGACAACAACCAGGTGTATGTGTACTCCATCACTGACACAGGTAAGTGATCCAGACAACAACCAGGTGTATGTGTACTCCATCACTGACACAGGTAAGTGATCCAGACAAAAACCAGGTGTATGTGTACTCCATCACTGGCACAGGTAAGTGTGATCCAGACAACAACCAGGTGTATGTGTGCTCCATCACTGATACAGGTAAGTGTGATCCAGACAACAACCAGGTGTATGTGTACTCCATCACTGACACAGGTAAGTGTGATTCAGACAACAACCAGGTGTATGTGTACTCCATCACTGGCACAGGTAAGTGTGATCCAGACAACAACCAGGTGTATGTGTACTCCATCACTGACACAGGTAAGTGTGATCCAGACAACAAGCAGGTGTATGTGTACTCCATCACTGGCACAGGTAAGTATGATCCAGGCAACAACCAGGTGTATGTGTACTCTATCACTGACACAGGTAAGTATGATCCAGACAACGACCAGGTGTATGTGTATTCCATCACTGACACAGGTAAGTATGATTCAGACAACGACCAGGTGTATGTGTATTCCATCACTGACACAGGTAAGTTTGATCCAGACAACAACCAGGTGTATGTGTACTCCATCACTGGCACAGGTAAGTGTGATCCAGACAACAATCAGGTGTATGTGTACTCCATCACTGACACAGGTAAGTGTGATCCAGACAACAACCAGGTGTATGTGTACTGTATCACTGATACAGGTAAGTGTGATCCATACAGATTACATGAACTAAACAGATCTCACTTTTAAAATACATGTACTGAAATAAGGTTGATGGACATGGCATTTACTTATTACAAAGGAGGTTGAAGTTAATACAGGTATATATGCTTACCTGAATATTCTCACTTTGACTTTGACTTGAGAGGGATTCAAATTTGTTTCAATAAAAGAGGTCATTGATCAAGTTGCCAGTTTTTTTTCTATCATATAGACCTAACTACTGTTTATTTGCAGATTACTTTAAAGTTGTGGGGGACAAACTTTACACTGGGGCCAAACATTTAGACTATGAAGAGGATTCTAGTGTTGAGTTGGTCATGAATAGTACAGACAGTGGTGTACCTGTCCTGACAATCCAGGTAAACAGACATCAATAGTACAGACAGTGGTGTACCTGACCTGACAATTCAGGTAAACAGACGTCAATAGTACAGACAGTGGTGTACCTGTCCTGACAATTCAGGTAAACAGACATCAATAGTACAGACAGTGGTGTACCATTCCTGACAGTTCCGGTAAACAGACATCAATAGTACAGACAGTGGTGTACCTGTCCTGACAATTCAGGTAAATAGACATCAATAGTACAGACAGTGGTGTACCTGACCTGAAAATTAAGGTAAACAGACATCAATAGTACAGACAGTGGTGTACCTGACCTGACAATCAAGGTAAACAGACATCAATAGTACAGACAGTGGTGTACCTGTCCTGACAATTCAGGTAAACAGACATCAATAGTACAGACAGTGGTGTACCTGTCCTGACAATTCAGGTAAACAGACATCAATAGTACAGACAGTGGTGTACCATCCCTGACAATTCAGGTAAACAGACATTAATAGTACAGACAGTGGTGTACCATCCCTGACAATTTAGGTAAACAGACATCAATAGTACAGACAGTGGTGTACCATCCCTGACAATTCAGGTAAACAGACATCAGTAGTACAGACAGTGGTGTACCTTCCCTGACAATTCAGGTAAATAGACATCAATAGTACAGACAGTGGTGTACCGTCCCTGACAATCAAGGTAAACGGACATCAATAGTACAGACATCAATAGTACAGACAGTGGTGTACCTGTCCTGACAATCCAGGTAAACAGACATCAATAGTACAGACATCAATAGTACAGACAGTGGTGTACCTGTCCTGACAATCCAGGTAAACAGACATCAATATTACAGACAGCGATGTTCCTTACTTGAATAACTGGGGATGAGAAGTATTTTGTTTCAGATTTATCGTAGTCTAACATTTGGGTTCATAAAAATCCTTAGCAAAAATTCTCTTATCCTCCTTACTTTTTCAGCTGTTGGATAATTGTTATGTTAACATGGAAGGTTCATGAAAAGGTCTATGAAATATTCATATTCATTTTCAAATTGTATTTGACTCATTTTGTGCTGTTATTTTTCAATTGCAGAGGGCTTTCATAATTGAAGTAGAGAATGTGAATGAACCTCTCATTGATATAATATTGGAAGCTATTTCTCCAGTCCCTGAAGATCTTCCGCTTGGATCCGTCCTGTCCAAGGTGCGGGTTAATGACCCAGATGAGGACCTGTCACATGTCTGTCAAGTTCTTTCAAGCTCCACCCCTTTTTCTGTTGTCACAACTGACAACAATGTGATGGAGTTGACACTGACAGGGATGTTAGATTATGAAACCAAATCAATGTATCAACTCAGCATTAAGTGTTCTGATGGAGAGTTTTATATGGTTAAGGTAATCTATTTTTTGTTTATTAAACAGAATACTCTGCATTCAAATCTTAATATTCAGCTATTTGATCCATAATGTTCAGTATTATAAAGACAGTTTTATTTCAGGATATAACAATAGAAGTGAAGGATGTAAATGAGAGACCATTAGGAATAAGTTTGAGTGGATCTCACACTGTATTAGCCAATGGTACAGCGGGATACATCATTGGAGAAATCTCCGTCTCAGATCCGGAATCGGACCAGACCCACACCATCACCGTCAAGGGACCTAACTCAGATTTTATGAAGGCACTTAAACACATTTATTCTCCATATTAAAAAACGCAGGAGATATTTTTTTTTTATAAAGTCAACATGTGTGAATTACTTTTGAGATGCAGAATCCAAGATTGAATTGCAATTGACAGAGTTCACAAAAGTATTGTACTTCTATTACAGGTTGAAAGTAAGAAACTGTTGTTGACAGGACCAATCCCAATGGAAATTCTAAAGAAAGTCCCTCCCATCATAAAAATAACATTAGTAGCTACAGACAACGGTCAACCAGCCCTGTTCGTCAATCACTCTTTCTCCCTTCCAATTACAAATGTCCAAATATTTGCTGCAGAACTGCCCTTAGTTTCATTGGATAATCAGGAAGTGTGGGAAGATGCTGAAATAGGGTACGTGATTGGGAGATTGTTCAGTATAAACCAGACTGTTCATGAGGATATTATATTTAAACTGATACACAACCCAGAGGGGCTATTTGCTATAAAAGATAATATGTACCTAATATTAGCTAAGAACCCTAGAGAGGTAGAAGGAACCTCAGTAAGGATTAGTGTGCAAGTGAAGAACACAGAAACTTTTGAAATGGAGACACAAAACATTACCATCTTTATCAAAAGAGTTGATAAGTGTGATGTAAATGGTAGGAAATGTGATGACAATGCCCGCTGTGTGAAATCTGAGAATTCTACATTGCATATCTGTAGCTGTGAAGCCGGATTTACAGGGGATGGGTATTTGTGTGAAAACATTGACTACTGTAATAAAAGTTCTGCAGCTTGTTTTAACAATGGCACTTGTGTGAACAAGGTAGACAAGCATGCTTGTCTTTGTGATGAAGGATTTGTAGGCATTCATTGTGAAACACCTATTGAGTCTGAGGATCTGTGTTCAGTCATGCCTTGTCAGAATGGAGGGGTCTGTACAGTGATGGAAGGGAAGGGAGTTATCTGCTCCTGTGTTCCTGGCTGGCAGGGGGAGCTGTGTGAGAGGAGTGAGGATGACTGTGTGGATGCTGTCTGTCTCGGTAATGGAACATGTGTAGACAGGTACAGGGGCTACACGTGTGTATGTGCGGAGGGCAGGACGGGGGTATTCTGTCAGTATCAACCTAGTCTTTGTCAGGACCAACAGGCATGTGGTAGGAATGATGTGTGTATACCTTTAGGAGACAGCAAGAAAGTGATTTGTGCCAATGAGTCATGTGTCGTAGACATCACCATGGCTACAGAGACAGGAATGGACATGGCAGAGTTGGAAGCCAGATTTACGGAGGCAGTCCTCCAACTTATGAAGCAGACAGGGAGTTTACGGTCAGGAAACAGGAGAAAGAGACAGACCTCATCAGATCCATACATCTACATCATCAGCATCACGCCAACACAGGGGGGTCAGACATGGGATGTGAAGTTTGTGCTGTTTGAAGGTGATGGAGATGTAAACACACGAGAAGTTGTCTATGAGGTTCTTAATCAGGCCTGTTCTTCTAATGGTAAGCTTACAAATGTACAGTAATAATGTAGTGTGTAAATCCTTCAGGATATTTTGATATATATAGCAAGAGAAACATAGGAGAAGACTTGCAGTTTTCACTAAACACAAAATGTTGTTGCATGCATAATTCAATGAAAAAACTAATGTTTATAATATTGTAGCATCATCTGAGGAGTTCATTGTGTTGGTTTGTCCATCAGCCCTGCTTCATCATCAGCTAGAGGAAAATGGGGGAAGTTTTATGCTTATTCCAATAATAGCTGGCATTGTAGGTAAGTTAACATGAACAGTAATTGTTAATCATGACAGTTTAACAAGTTGTAAATTTTAAAGTAATAGAGCTATAACAGAGATGTTTAGGAAAAATGTTATAATTTTGTAAATTAGGCTTCTTGTCCAGCAATTATGTTCTGAAGGAATGAACTAATGATGAAAATAGTTAATCCTTTCAAGTGAAGACTTAAAGGAAACAAAATGAATCAGAAATTTAGATAGATAATTTTTTTTTGTTTTGAAAGGATTCCTTGCTGTTTTTGTGTTCTTATGTGTTTGTGTTTGGAGAAAACGAAGGAGGAAGAAGTCAGAGGAGAACAAGCTAGGACTGGGAACTGATAAGGTTCAGTATTAGTTCACTACTCTTTATATGGTTTAATTGTTACCATGGTTACTAAAATAAAAAATTCTGAAATTCTCTCAAAAATGCTACTCCTTTTACAGATTTCAGTAACACCTGGTTCACAATTAGCTTCACTGCCCTAACATATCAATCTTTTAAATTTTTCCATCACCTAATGATTTTTCTTTTTAGGTCACCTGAGTAACTCAGGTGACCTATTGCTATCCGTTTTCGTCCGTCGTCGTGCGTCGTGTGTTAACATTTAAACATTTTCAGCTTCTTCTCTGAAACCACTTAACCAATTTCAACCAAATTTGGTGTACAGCATCTATGGGTGAAGGGGAACAAAAATTGTGAATTTCATGGTCCCTGCCCCCCTGGGACCTGGGGGGTGGGGCAAAAACCACTAAAATTATTGCAATCTTTAAAAATCTTCTTCTTTACTCCTGGACATCAAGCAGGCAAACTGTTGTTATGAATGTAATGAGCATTGAGTCCTCTACTTAAATTGTGAAATTCATGGCCCCAGGGTCAGGGGTTCTAGTGCTAGGGCGGGGCTACATAGATTATATAGTGAAAATGCATGATTTCTTTGAAAATCTTCTTCTCTGCTCCTAGGTATTAAATAAACTAACCAAGCACATAGTTATGATGAGCAAGAGTGCCTCTTCCTAAATTGTGAATTTTATGACCCCAGGGTCAGGGGTTCTGGTGTTAGGGCGGGGCTCTATTGGTTATATAGTGAAAATGCATTAATTCTTTGAAAATCTTCTTCTCTACTTCTGGGTATTAAATATACTAACTAAGCACATAGTTATGATGAGCAAGAGTGCCTCTTTCAAAATTGTGAATTTTATGACCCCAGGGTCAGGGGTTCTGGTGTTAGGGCGGGGCTCTTTTGGTTATTTAGTGAAAATGCATTAATTCTTTGAAAATCTTCTTCTGTACTTCTGGGTATTAAATAAACTAACTAAGCACATAGTTATGATGAGCAAGAGTGCCTCTTTCAAAATTGTGAATTTTATGACCCCATGGTCAGGGGTTCTGGTGTTAGGGCGGGGCTCTATTGGTTATATAGTGAAAATGCATTTATTCTTCGAAAATCTTCTTCTCTACTTCTGGGTATTAAATAAACTAACTAAGTACTTAGTTATGATGAGCAAGAGTGCCTCTTTCAAAATTGTGAATTTTGTGGCCCCAGGGTCAGGGGTTCTGGTGTTAGGGCGGGGCTCTTTTGGTTATATAGTGAAAATGCATTTATTCTTTGGAAATCTTCTTCTCTACTTCTGGGTATTAAATAAACTAACTAAGCACATAGTTATGATGAGCAAGAGTGCCTCTTTCAAAATTGTGAATTTTGTGGCCCCAGGGTCAGGGGTTCTGGTGTTAGGGCGGGACTCTTTTGGTTATATAGTGAAAATGCATTTATTCTTTGGAAATCTTCTTCTCTGCTCCTGGGTATTAAATAAACTAACCAAGCACATAGTTATGATGAGCAAAAGTGCCTCTTTCAAAATTGTGAATTTTGTGACCCCAGGGTCAGGGGTTCTGGTGTTAGGGCGGGGCTCTATTGGTTATTTAGTGAAAATGCATTAATTCTTTGAAAATCTTCTTCTCTACTTCTGGGTATTAAATAAACTAACTAAGCACATAGTTATGATGAGCAAGAGTGCCTCTTTCAAAATTGTGAATTTTATGACCCAGGGTCAGGGGTTCTGGTGTTAGGGCAGGGCTCTATTGGTTATATAGTGAAAATGAAATTCTTTCCTTTGCTCCTGTGTTTAATGCCAATGATCCAAATATATATATTCATGATGAAGAAAGGTGCACCTAGCAAAATAGTTATTTTTTATGCCCCCGCCCCTTCCCTGGGTTGGGGTGAGGGGGGGGGGGTACAAAGTCTGAAAATAAATTAATGCTTTGAAATTTGCTCTTTGGTGTGTTAATCAACCATTTTATGATAAAGTTTGCAAAATTTTGAAATATGTGGCCCCAGGATCAGTTGTTCCTTTGGGATGAGGTGTACAACTGGTTATAAAGTGGAAGTGCATTTTCTCTTAATGTTACTCTGATCTACCTCTGGGTATTAAGTAAATAGAGTTAGCATGCTAAGTCTAAATTATTATAAGCAATGGTACCTCTTTCAAAATTGTGGTTTAAAACATGAACCAAATTTAATTGTTTGAAAGTTGTTGCACAATACTCAGGTGACCTATAAGGCCCGTGGGCCTCTTGTTTTTTTTAATACTTCATCCTGTATCTTTACAGTTTACGCAAATCATAGTGATTGTATGTAATATTGTTGTAGGACTCCTACACAGAATCCCGGAGATCCAGTGGTTATTCTTCCATCTCTAAGGTTTGTGGGTCTGTCCAGTTTATTGTACATGTATTTCTATTATAAACCTTGTCATTATTCTTCCATCTCTAAGGTTTGTGGGTCTGTCCAGTTTGTTGTACAGAGTATTTCTATTATAAACCTTGTCATTATTCCTCCATCTCTAAGGTTTGTGGGTCTGTCCAGTTTGTTGTACAGAGTATTTCTATTATAAACCTTGTCATTATTCCTCCATCTCTAAGGTTTGTGGGTCTGTCCAGTTTGTTGTACAGAGTATTTCTATTATAAACCTTGTCATTATTCCTCCATCTCTAAGGTTTGTGGGTCTGTCCAGTTTGTTGTACAGAGTATTTCTGTTATAAACCTTGTCATTATTCTTCCATCTCTAAGGTTTGTGGGTCTGTCCAGTTTATTGTACATGTATTTCTATTATAAACCTTGTCATTATTCCTTCATCTCTAATGTTTTTGGGTCTATCCAGTTTGTTGTACAGAGTATTTCTATTATAAACCTTGTCATTATTCCTCCATCTCTAAGGTTTGTGGGTCTGTTCAGTTTGTTGTACAGAGTATTTCTATTATAAACCTTGTCAATTTTCCTCCATCTCTAAGGTTTGTATGTCTGTCCAGTTTGTTGTACATGTATTTCTATTATAAACCTTGTCATTATTCCTCCATCTCTAAGGTTTGTGGGTCTGTCCAGTTTGTTGAGCAGAGTACTTCTATTATAAACCTTGTCATTATTCCTCCATCTCTAATGTTTGTGGGTCTGTCCAGTTTGTTGTACAGAGTATTTCTATTATAAACCTTGTCATTGTTCCTCCATATCTAAGGTTTGTCTGTTTGTCCAATTTGTTGTACAGAGTATTTCTATTATAAACCTTGTCATTATTCCTCCATCTCTAAGGTTTGTGGGTTTGTCCAGTTTGTTGTACAGAGTATTTCTATTAACCTTGTCATTTACAAAATTATAACTTATCAGTGATGTAGAGTTTAATTCTCCTTGAGCAAATTAATATCTAGATGATAATTTTTATTATATTAATGCTAAAGGAATAATTTCTTTGGAAGCAAAACCATTTCACACAGTATAAACTGGGATGGGGAAGTTTACAAAAAGAAAGTTTCCAAAAAGCATATACTGTTCCAACACAGTTGCATATACTGTTCCAACACAGTTTTGAATATCATTTAAATTGGGTAGCTATGAAATTCATTCCTTAAGTTAATTTTCATTCATGTAGTAGAAAAAAAATATAACACAATTGCCCCTATAAAAATGAGTTCAAATTGTGCACAACTTTTTTTAAAAAAATGTAATGTGTTGCAGATTGATGCTTTTTACTCTGTGATGTAGGCAACACAATTTATACTATATTAAGCAATTTTTACAGCATATTACAATCAGAGTTGTATATGTACAAACAAATATATTTTACTTGCAGAAATCTTCAGCTGGCCTAAAGGAAGATAAGAGGTCGATTCTCTAACACTGGACTACCTCACTGTGACGTTCCATGATAAATATACATTGATCAGGTGTTTATTTTTATGTGTAAGAACAATAATAAGCTATGCATTCAGGCAAATAAAAAAGCAAAAGTATTTACAAATATTTTGTTTACAGTCAGACCTCATTATTCAGGTTGCTTGTGATCAGAACTAATAAAGCATACAGATTCATAACACCTTTTGTAGTACAGCCCATAGTATAGGAAGCAATTTCAGTTTGGGAGTGACACTAGCCAAACTTTTATTCTTATGATGGCTGTCAAGCATATTCTTTGACAAACAAGATGTCTTTGTGAAACACTGATGCCTCCAAGTGACAGCTTTTAGCAAAGGTTAAGTCTCAAATGCAATTCAAACTCAAAGGTCAAGGACAAGAGCTCAAAATTGTTGCCGAAAGAAAGGACTTGTCTTGATAAGGCCAAAAAAAATAATTAATAGTTTCTCAGGCTAAAAAATTCAAAATTCAGTGTGGCAGGCAGGCTTTTTTTTCTTTTTTATACCCCACGGAAACGAAGTTTGGGGAGGTATATAGGAATCACCTTGTCTGTCTGTCCGTCTGTCTGTGCAAACGTGTCCGGTCCATATCTTTCTTACGGAGGGACATTAGAATCTACTACTCCACACAAAGATTGCCCATGACCTTGACCCAAGGTCATTTGGGGAAGTTCAAGGTCACTGGAAGAAAAAGTTCATAATTCGTGTCTGGTCCATATCTTTCTAATGGATAAACTTGGTAGGTCTTCATTTCACACAAAGATTGCCCATGACCCAAGGGTGTGTTATGACCTTGACCCAAGGTCATTTGGGGAAGTTCAAGGTCACTGGAAGAAAAATTTAATTATTCGTGTCCGGTATACATCTTTTTTATGGATAAACTTGGTAGGTTCTTATTTCATGCAAAGATTGCCCATGACCTTAGGGTGTGTCATGACCTTGACCCAAGGTCATTTGGGGAAATTCAAGGTCACTGGAAGAAAAAGTTCATAATTCGTGTCCAGTCCATAGCTTTCTTATGGATAAACTTGGTAGGTTCTCATTTCACGCAAAGATTGCCCATAACCTAAGGGTGTGTCATGACCTTGACCCAAGGGTGTGTTATGACCTTGACCCAAGGTCATTTGGGGAAGTTCAAGGTCACTGGAAGAAAAATTTAATTATTCGTGTCCGGTCTACATCTTTTTTATGGATAAACTTGGTAGGTTCTTATTTCATGCAAAGATTGCCCATGACCTTAGGGTGTGTCATGACCTTGACCCAAGGTCATTTGGGGAAATTCAAGGTCACTGGAAGAAAAAGTTCATAATTCGTGTCCAGTCCATAGCTTTCTTATGGATAAACTTGGTAGGTTCTCATTTCACACAAAGATTGCCCATGACCCAAGGGTGTGTCATGACCTTGACCCAAGGTCATTTGGGGAACTTCAAGGTCACTGGAAGAAAAATTTCATAATTCATGTGTGATACATATCTTTATTATGGAAAAACTTACTTCTGAAAAACCCAGCGGGGGGTATTTTGTCCCGTTTGGACAGTTTTAGTTTTTAGCAGGTTTGACATCTTTTTTAAGCCATTTGTTCAATAAAATGATAATATATACTAATTCTTGATTATTGTTTTCTGAAATTAGTTATAATATGTATTCAACTTTAAATAATGTTTTTCCAAACATATATTTAAAAGTTAATGCATAAAATATTGTAAATTTAGAAGAAATATATTGTTTTCTAATAAAAACGTTTAAGGAAAGGGGAATAACTCAATTTTCTTTTTCATCTTGGAAAAATAGAAAATTGAGTTATTTCCCTTTTCAATATGTCAATAAAATTGATCAATGCGGCCGTTTTTGAACTGATGCGGCGGTGCCTGAGAAACTATTGATTAATTTTTTTTGGCATAAATACTAGTATTTATATATGAAAGCCCAAGCGCAAATCTATCAAAAGTTATGACCAAGGTTAAAGTTTTTTATGCCCCACCATGAATATGGCCGGGGCATATAGTGTTTGTCATGTCCGTCTTCCGTCTGTCCTTCCGTCACACTTTGTATTTAGCTCTGTTCAAAGCTAAGTGTCAAAGACACTATCCAAGATATTTTCATCAAACTTCATCTGCTGATAGATATTGATGAGAGCTATGCAACTGCATCAACATTTTTTGACCTTGACCTTTCCTTTGACCTTGACCACACTTTTCTTAAATTAGTGTTTAGCTCAGTTTTAAACATACCATTCAAGATGGTGTTATCAAACTTCACATGTTGTTACATACTGATGAGGGCTATTCAACTGCATGAACATTTTTGACCTTGAGTTTCCTTTGACCTTGACCTCACTAATATTTAATTAGTCTTTCGCTCAGTTTTAAAGAGACCATTCAAGATATTTTTATCAAAATTCATATGTTGAAACATATTGATGAGAGCAATTCAACTGCATCAACATTTTTTACCTTAATCTTTCCTTTGACCTTGACCTCACTTCTCCTAAATCAGTGTCACACTTCATATACTGATACATACTGATGTAAGCAATTCAACTGCATCAACATTTTCGACCTTGATCTTTTTTTTTTGACCTTGACCTTTCCTTTGATCTCACTTATCTATAATTAGTGTTTAGCTCAGTTTTAAAGATACCATTCAAGATATTTTTATCAAAATTCATACGCTGTTACATACTGATGAGAGCAATTCAACTGCATCAACATTTTTGACCTTGACCTTTCCTTTGACCTTGACCTCACTTTTCTGAAATCAGTGTCAAATGTTATGTGCTGATACATTCTGATGTAAGCAATTCAACTGTATTAACATTTTGACCTTGACCTTTCATTTGACTTTGACCTCACTTTTATCAAATTGTTTTTAAGTCAGTTGTAAAGAAACCATTTATAATATATTCATATGCTGAAACATACTGATGATAGCTTTGTAACTGCATCAACATTTTTTTACCTTGGCATTTCCTTTGATCTTGACCTCATTTTAATGAAATTAGTGTCAAACTGCATATGCCAATACATACTGATGTGAGCAATTCAACTGCATCACTATTCAAGATATTCTGATCAAATTTCTTGCACTTTGAATACAGTTTTCATGTTGCATTACTAATATACCCTCAGCGGGGCATTCATGTCCTATGGACATATTTCTAGTTTTAAATGTGGGTCAACTCAAAGGTCAAAGGGTCAGCCTTAAGGTACTTAGGGGAATGCCTTGAATTACATGTATGAAATATTTAATCCCTAGTATCAACTGTTCAAAAGTTATGATCAAGGTTAATTTTTTTCAAAAGTAGGTCCAACTCAAAGGTCAATATTAAAAGCTTTCAGATAAAGGTCTTTACAAAAGAGGGTCAAAGGTCTAGGTCAAAAATATTTATTTTCATAGAAACATGGGAAAGGTCTTGTTACACTGAATATATGTACCTATGTGAAATATGAAAGCCAGAGTACCAACTATGGAAAATTTATGTCCATGCTTAAAGTCTGGTAATTTTTTGCAAAAGTGAGTCAAAGTAGGTCAAAATGACAAATATATTGGTACCCAAAGGAAGGCCTGGTAACAAAGAATACATGTGAACTACGAGAGTCATACCTCCTGTAGCCAAGGTTCAAGTTTTTGCAGACAGACAGATGGACCAACAGGGCAAACACTATATACCACTGAATCTTTGATGACTGGGGGATAAAAAAAGATGTGTTTGTGAAATTTTGTTCCTACCTTACAGCAGCTTACGGCAAGAATTGAAATTTCTCAAATGCAAGTCAAACTCCAAAGTTAAAAATTTTGTTATGCTTTCTGTGGTTGTTTCATGTCATATAGGAATGAACAGATGAAATATATACCGGTTAGCGGCCACATTACCGAGGCTAGACAACATACTATATACATATACGTAAGAGAAAATCAAGGTTTTTTTCCATGGCAAGAATGGGAAGAAATTTGCTTATTTTTAAAGTCATCACGAGCTTGTGCAAATTGCAATTACAACTTGACATTGCAGTTATGTTTAAATGGGAATTTATTGCAAAGATATAGAAAAGTCATGTAAACAGCGGTTACATTTGTCTTTATTAGTTTTTATCACATGTATTTTGTTCTCTCTTCTTTTTGGGCCACACAACTTCCTGCCACTGGATTAAAATTCATATGTTTATACCGACCATAGTTATACTGGTCACTGGAATTAAAAATGTGTATGTCCAGTGATGAGGTAGACAGTTTTGTCTATAGTTAGTCGTGGTCTAGAACATCTCAATAGACACGTGGTCCTCGCTTTCCACAGCCTCAAACTCTTTCAGCGCTTCCTTGCGTTCTATTTCTAAGAGTCTATTTCTTTCTCTACGTTTTATTCTTCTTTCTTCTAGCTTGTGAAGTACTTTGTCCACTTTTATTTGTAATTTTCTCTTTTTCTCCAGGCGTTTTTTACGTCTCTCCATTTTACGTCGATGTTTTTTCCTTGCTTTTCGCTCAAATAATTTTTTCTTTGCTAAATTTTGAAGTTGTTTTTCCGCTGTTTAAAAAAGAATTGGATTTAGTTCTTACATGTATTGAATATAATTTTGAGTACTTACGACACATTGAAAATTGATGACTGTAAATGTTTAAATATAGTAACGGATATATTGGTGCTGGAATTACATATTTGTATTAAACAGTGGAGGATGGATCTTCTTGCTAAACTTACTGCTGCTGTTTTTCTTGCATTTGGACACAAGTATAGAGCAGGCCGATACTGATAACACAAATATTATTGCGATAGGAATAGCCATCATTGTTTGGAATTCAGATACTTCATCCACAGGATCTATAAAAGAGACAAACTAGTATTCAACATCCTTCATTTTGGTTTCAAACCATAGAAAATCTACACAAACTGTGGATGTGTGCATAGAAATGGAATATGCGATTTAAAATTCATTGATACTAAGATAAGAGACCTCACGCTAACCATGCGTATTCATTTCTAACTTTGCTTTTTGTTTGACATTTTCCAAGACCTAATAAACATTAATTGACAAAGATTGTAAATTCTGAACCAATTAAGACATGAAATAATTCAATGTAGCCGTAAAATTTCAAAATTAGGTCACCGTGACCTACTTTTTAGGTGACGTTCTTTAAAGACCTGTGATGCATCAGCTGACAAAGTTTGATGATCATAGGTCTGAAAGTATCCAAGATATGGCCTTTTAACAATTTGAGAACAAATGCCTGCTAAATTTAAAAAGTAGGTAATTGTGACTTACTTTTCAATAAATATGTTTAAGGCCCCAAGATGTATCAACCTACAAGGTTTGATGATTCTAAACCTCCCAGTATCTGAAATTATGGCCTTAAATGTTCTAGAAAAGATAAGCCATAATTTCAAAAAGAAGGTCATGATGACCTACTTTTAAGTTTACGTTGTTTGAGGACCCAAGATGCATCAACTGACAAAGATTGATGATCATAGGCCTTAAAGTGTCCAAAATATGCCTCCAAATCAATATAAAAACGAATACCTGCAAAATTCAAAAAGTAGGTCACAGTGACCTACCTTTGATTCAACATGATGTGAAATCATAACTAGAGGTACTGTGAGCGATGAGCTCACTAAATGATACCCCCCGCCTCCCATATGGTTATAACTGGTGAAAAAGTCCATGTTTTCCTGTGGCCGGGAAACCCAAAATATGTGCCGGATCAAAAAGTAAAATAGGAGGTGCACAATGGCAATATGTAATAAAGATTCTGTGAAAGTTTCATCAAATTTCATTCAGTGGTATGAGAGGAGTTGCGGATAAGAGATGGGTACCCCAAAGCGTAACAGACGGACGGACAGACAGACGGACGGACGGACGGACAGACGGACGGAATTAACGATTACTATATACCCGCTTTTCAAGCGGGGGGTATAATAAGATGCATCAACGTACAAGATTTGATGGTCCTAGTCTATATAGTAAGCAAAATATCAACGTTTTTATCAATTTTGAAGTGACATTGAGACCATGTCTTTTGCCCCAATTGATGCCTTGAACAATTTAATCTTCAACATACCCTCATCCTTGTTTGTAACTTTGGTGATAACCTGCCTGGTGGTTCTAGAGAAGATTTTTAGCAACCTGTTCTTTTGGATTTATTTACCTAATTATCTCCCCTTGTTTAAGGGTCTCAAGCCTAGTTTTAGTAAAAATGTTGGCCCTTAATTGGGCCAAGGATACCCTGTAACAAATTTTACAATAAAAACTGATTCTATTAGATCCTTTAGCATACATTAAAATCTCAATGTAATGAAGTCGGTTGCGTTTTTTATCCCGTACTGTTGTTCCTGGGAAGACGGAACGTTTTAGATTTATTTTTTTTAGCTCATCTGTGACTTTTTTCACAAAAACTCTTACGACCGATATGAAAATTTTCCATCTCTCAAAAAGTATCTTAGTTGTAGAAGGACATAAAAAATCTTTGGGAAAAAAATTACAGAAATCTTAAAATTTCGTTTTAGTCGTAAGATTTTTCGTGAAATTAAGGGCCACTGATCCGAAGGCTAATATTGGAGAAAAATATTGTCGATTTAAAATTTCGTTTTAGTCGTAAGATTTTTCGTGAAATTAAGGGCCACTGATCCGAAGGCTAATTTTGTAGAAAAATATTGTCGATTTTTTTTTTAAATAGGGAGTAGAAAGGTTATAAGGAAGTGGAGGAAATATTATACCCACCGCCTCTCCCTACCAATTGGTATAAAAACTTACATAATTCAATTGTTGATTTATATAGGTTTCTCCATGTGGGGGTTGTAAACGTTGAAGATGTTTGTTTTCCAGAACTACAAAAGTAAACAATTATATATAAATATGCATTATATTAGATTTTTGCCAAATATCATTTCAGAAGATATTGTCAAAAAATAATTTCTATTCTCTTGCTATACTAGTCTAAATACGCCACGTACAGTGGCAAGAGCAACAAGAGGTCCATGGGCCACATCGCTCACCTGAGCACTGTGGCTAGGAACAAGGAAAAATCAACTACCCAAGGATGCTTCCACACGAGTTTCACCTTTCCTGGCCCAGTGGTTCTAGAGAAGATTTTTCAAAGATGCCAATAATTTTGCACTAATTTATAATTTTCTCCCCTTGGAACTGGGGTCTGGCCCTTTATTTGAACAAACTTAAATCCCATTCACCCAAGGATACTTATGGCAAGTTTGGTTGAAATTGGTCCAGTGGTTCTTGAGAAGAAGTTGAAAATGTGAAAAGTTTAAAAACGGACAGACAGCTAGACGGACGCCGGACAAAATGTGATCAGAAAAGCTCACTTGAGCTTTCGGCTCAGGTGAGCTAAAAAGTCTCGATTCGTTCTAGAATCTTTTTTCTACATTCAATAAATAAACATCTTGAAAACTTAAAATTATGTTTAGTATGGTATTATGTAGCGTGTTCAAAATGTTTCATTGAGTCACGTGGTTATATAGGATATAAATAGTACACCATGCGGATTTAGAAATTAGTATGACTGATAGTGAGTGATGCAATGGAGTGCAATAAATATGGGCTATACAGTTGTATTAGCAATAAATGGTTGTATGTTAGCAGTATAAAAAAAATGAATAAAAGCACAAGCGAGCAGCGTTCCTACTTATAATATGTTTTTATACCCCCGGCTTGAAAAGTGGGAGGGTATATAGTAATCGGGATTTCCGTCCGTCCGTCCGCCCGTCCGTCTGTTACGCTTTATCTCTTATCCGCAACTCCTCTTATACTACTGAGTGAAATTTAATGAAACTTTCAAAGAATCTTTATTACATATTGCCATTGTGCACCTCCTATTTTTCTTTTTTATTTGACAGGTATTTTAGGTTTCCCATAGCAAAACATGGACATTGCCATAACATTTGATAGGACGAGTTATTCATCTTTACACATTACCGTAAAACAATATATAGCAACACATGGACATTATGGGAGGCGGGGGGTATCATTTAGTGAGCTCATTGCTCACAGTACCTCTAGTATTCAATTGGCATTTCATTGATTTTATATTCGAACGAACGAAGTGAGATTTGTGGAGCTTCGATCAAGTGAACCATATTTTGCTAGGCCACCTTACCTTTAGCCACAAATTGTGTTCCAATTAAACTACGATATTAGTCTTATAGTTTAATAGGGCTGTTATTTTTACCTGACATTGGTTATGGGAAAACACTCAAATGATCCGCTAGGCCTATGATATCCTTTACGACAATTAGGCACACACATATATGAGGGGTTTAACTCTTGTCCTTGGGGACATTTGTATTTCACACACATAAAGTCTGTCTGGGATGGACGAACACAGGAGGTGTTTAGCGGGTTTTCTTGGATGAACTCTTCTATCACCCAATCGTCTGCGTTATCACATCGACACAGTCTGTCTGACGTCACACTGCCGTTGTCGCAGACGACTTCTCCGAGGCCGTTACATGACGACTTTTTCCGATCACAGACGGAGGACGACTCGTGGCTCCATCGTCCCAGTGGTTGATAGAAGTCATATCGACAATGCTTCACCTCTATAGTGCTTCTCTCAACGGAAAACAATGCAAACGTTCCTGTAAAAATGTTATCAAAAGAAAAATTGGCAAAGATTGATAAGTCGTGTAATAACATGTATTTTATAACCTAAGTTTCATATTTAGAGCACAGTTATATCATATTCTACAGCGGGCTATGGAACGCCATCACTGCCTTATAGCAGAACACTAATATTGCATTGTGTCAACCTTCCATTACATTATGTCAACTCTTTATGACATTAACCCACACTACCATTGCATTGTGTTAACCTTCCGTTACATGATATCAACTCTTTATGACATTAACCCATACTACTATTGCATTGTGTCAACTTTGCATTACATGATGTCAACTCTTTATGACATTAACCCACACTACTATTGCATTGTGTCAACCTTGCATTACATGATGTCAACTCTTTATGACATTAACCCACACTACTATTGCATCGTGTTAACTCTCCTTTACATTATGTCAACTCTTTATGACATCTACACATACAATTACATTTCGTCAACTTGCATTTCGTTGTGTTTACTTTTCATGAGATCTTAGTTTTTATTAACTGATGTGAAAAGCTTATGCCATACTGTGCGCACTCTTCTACATTATGTTGATTCACTATTACGTTATGCGAACACGGGTATCCTCGGCCTTTATATGAGCATAGCGTTATTTCCGAGTTCCGCAAGCATAAAAAATGGCGGGAGATAAAACTGTCGTAGAAGAGATTTTCAGCGATTTGGGAATGACATCTTTAATTGAAAACTTTAAGCGACAAATGATTGACAATCTTGAAACGTGCAAAGCCTTAACACTGCGACTGTGAATTAAAGTCACGTCGAAATTCAAGGGTGTTTACTTTAATCTCATAATTAAATATAAATCAAATATTAGGAGTCGTGCAGCAATCATTTTTTTCTTTTTACTTTGATTTTTTTTTTAAAGTCTTAAACTTTGTAGGACATTGCATTAGTTTCACAATAAGCTTAGCTGAATTAAGTTGAAAACTTTTTTTTTATAAAACTATAAAGCCTGAGAGTTTCTCCGCTTTCCCCCTTGGTCCCCAACCATATACCGCCCCCTTCCTTGTTCAAGATTCCCATATCCGCCACTGATATGTGCCCATGCATGCTTACTAAGGCATATTCAACTGATTTAGATGAGCGACTGGTAGATTTTTGTAATAGAATTCTGGCCCTAGAATGATAAAAAAAAATTACTAACTCCAGTGACGTTGCATCTTTTTTTGAAAGAGGCGGTCAGCCAGAAAAAAAAAATCATTTACCCGAAAAAACTTGACAAGCCAAGAAAAAAATGTCCAAGCCCGGAAATCCTATTTCGGGGAGAGGGGTCCAACTTCGACCAGTCCTATTTTTTTTCCAGATATATTACATTACCGTTAGTGGATTATACTTCAACAAAAAGTGGGGGTGGGGGCTGTACTGTTTCAATGAACATTGCATTTTCTATAGTAAAGTTAAGTCTGGGAAGAGAGGGGGTTGATATTATGTGCCTTGTAATTTGTCCTAATCAATAAGGACCCCCCCCCCTTCTTACCAGTCATTAAAACACTGTCGTCAACATTCATTATATACTAGATATACATGTACAGCTTTGAGATAATGTAAATGTTTTTTAACATCAGGTAATGAACTTTTGGAATCAACATGATAAAGAGTTAACACAATATAAAGATATTTTTAAATCACATAAGAAAGAGTTGACATAACGTAATTATATATCCACATCACGGAATGGAGTTTTGACATAATGTAATAAAGTACTGATATAATATAAAGATATGTTCACATTATGTTATACACTTTTTACACCATGTAATAAAGCACTGACATAAAGGTAAGATGTGTTCACCTCACATCATGATGCCCTCGCCGTATAATAAAGATAAATCCATATCACGTAATAATGCTTTGATATAATAGAAATATACACTCTCAAAAAAGGAATGGGCTTTTGACTTCATGTAATGATAAGTTTAATCATAAAACATAATTTACTTGACGTAATACAATTTTGACCTCACATATTAAAGAAATGAAATGATGTAAAGAAAAATTCATTTCACGCAAAAAAGTTTTAACACAAGGAAACGCATTATCACTTCACATAATGAATTTTTTACTTCAAGTTATGAAGTGCTGACATAATGAAAGGATGTATTTACTTCATGTAATGCAGCATTGACATGATGTTAAGATATATTTACATTATCTCATAAAAAATGGACATAACGTAAAGATATGTTCACATCACGTAATGGTAAATTGACATAATAAATGCATAGTTGTATGCTATAAGGCAGTGATGGCGTTCCATAGCGGGCCATGGCTTTAATGCCAATAATTTACCTTTTTCAATCCATGTTGCGCTCTTATTGCAGAATTCTGCGTATCCGCCGTCCTCGGTCTGTAAACAATGATAGAATGACATATTTCCACATCTAACCAAAGCACTCTGCTCCCTGGTACTGGGATTAGTCGGACATGACGTCACAGACGCGAGAGTGTTCGAAATGTATGTCACTTCTTGATGTATCCACAAAGGTAAACTAAAACTCACTGGAAACACGAATAACAAAACATGGAGAAAATGCATTTTGGGATCAATTCCACGGACAGACGGGTCTGTGTTGGATCAAAATAAAGATAAAAAATTTAAGAAAGCCGAGTCATGTTTCGTCAGAATTATCCCTCACAGTTTCATTCTTAGATAATTTGATGGCAAAGTTATCTATTTTATGTCACAAAAGATGCATCTTTCATGTTTGGATTTGGTCACAATAAATTCCATTATGTAACTCATTTTTAAACAATTAAGAAATAATTAAGACCGAGTTATGTTAACGAATTTAAAGACTATCGCTTTGATCTGAAATTTGACCTGCCCTCTCTGCTAATGAATACGACTATCGACGCATATATCTTCCCCGAGTTGAATGTACATATGTTCTTGTAGGCATTTCTGCTGACTGACTATCGGGGTACATGGACCTTTCAAACTGGAAGCAATTTTTATGGCTCATGAATAATTTTCCACACGTATATTATAGTGGTGATCATATCACCCCATGACAATATTATGAATGATCAAAAAACTTTGCATGCTTTTTTGTCCTTCTTGCTCATCTGAAAGAAAAATAATGAGTTAAACACAGTTATATCATGAATTTTATTTAATAAAATCCTTTAATACCAAACATTTATATCACCCGAAAAAATACGTAATTTGAGTTTTTTTCACAGAGTAATACAGAGTATATACTAGTAACCCCTAGTCATTATTAAAAATGGGTTAATCCCATCGTCGGTAACCCACGGGTGGTTCACATCGATTCTCTCTATCACTTGAGGAAGCTTGCGGACTCTGTTTGATGTTAATATTTAGGGATGCCAAGCATTGTCATTTGATATCCATTTCTTAAACATGCAGCAGATCGACATGGTGTGACAATAGAGTACGAGGCACGTAGCATCGTAAGGGGGGGGGACATATAACATCCCCCCTACGAAATAGGATTTCGAGTTTGAATGATTTTTTCAAGTTTTTTTTTCTTTGGCAGCCCCTCCCCCTTAAAAACCGATGATGAAATTCTATTACCATTAAACTATATGAACGCTTGTGAGATAGTTACAAATTGTTCGGATTTAACAAAACGTACACGTTAATGGTAACTGAAGTATCTATGAAAATTGATTGATTATGCATTCTTCTTATGTATTAGGTTAAGCCAGTAGAAATACTAAAGTGGTCTAATCATGCTGATTGCATAATACCTGAACATCTATTTCCAGATATAGTATGGAGAGTTTCCACTCTATTAATGTCTTAAATGTATTTTGTAATCCAAAATTCAATTTCTTACCTAGTATTTCCGTGCTGGTGCATCTTTCTGAACTATTTTGACGGCTTTATATGCCGTTTTATTCCAGGTCGGGTTTATGTACACTTTTCGTCTTTTCCTGTTGGTTGATTTCTTATATCTATTCTTTTGATTGTTTGGAAGTTTTACAAAGTTAGCGATGCATGGTCTGTTACCCGTATAATTTTATGACAAAATGTCAGGTCTGCAAGTTTCAACTTTCATGGAGGATAAGTGTAAACCGCTGAGACGCGTTTACTTCAATTCTTGTTGATCAATGGGCATTCTCTAGTAACACATGAGGTCCTATATATATATTTAAATGGACACGACTCAAAAAGGACTTTGTTTTAAAGTAAAATTATTTTTAAGTGTTTAGCGTATATTCTCCTTGCAATTGATAATTAAAATAACGAGGAATTCGAAATCACTAGACCTAGCGTAAATACTGAATATGTGCCACAAATGTTTCATGGCGTGGGAACCGGGGGGGGGGGGGGGGGGGGGCATAATTTTGCCGATATATAGAATACTGTAGAAAACTCGCTACTACTATATATATGCTTATGTCCCTTTAGTAAAGTCTTATGACCTTTTATTCTGCTTGTAAAGGATTTTTTGGTAGTCAAAAAGTGTCCCCAAATAAAAATGCTTAGTTGTACCCCCCCCCCCCCCCAAAAAAAACTGAATTTGCTTCCTACGGGTTTGTGTTTATTATTGTATGATTAATTGCATTATATTTGACTGAGTTATTTCACAACCTTGTGACAGTATTTACTCGCCTATAAGTCGGTCCGCCTATTAGTCGGTTGTATTTTAGAAGTTCATTTTAGAAAGATTGACCTTTTATAATACTAGTCTATTTATATCTCGCGTATAAGTCGGACACAGAGTGTTGGACCAAACTTTAACTCCCAAAAGTCCGACTTATAGGCGAGTAATCATTTCTATATTGGACTTAAAATAAATCAATAATTAAGAGTGATTTATCTTTTAAAAATCGACAAATACGACAAATATGTGAAAAGGGCATAAATCACGGATCCCGCGAAATTTGAAAGGTGAGATTAGGTGCCTACGAGGAGTAAGCATTCCTTGTCGACCTGTCATTCCCATCGTGTGCACCATTACTGATCAGAAAGGCGGAATATTCAGTAAAAAGTCCTGGCTATTTGTTGCAAAAAATCATTCAAAATACGACCAAGATATAGATAAGATTTGCGTACAATGTTACGATAACGACCAAAGAATTTGCGATATGCTTACTTTAAACCAAGTAGGTTAAATCCCTGTAAGATCTTCTTATTTGTCAGTAGTGTTTTAAAATTGGTCACACTCTAATCTTGCTCTTAGATAAGGGTAGAGGGGATGAAGGAGTTTTTCTCTAAGGCAAAATGACAATGGAAATTCTAGTTGGCTTTACAATATAGTTTGCCCTTATTGTCTATAGCCAGTTAAACATCCAAGCAGGGAAACAAGGAATCGTGTTAAATCATTGACGTATCAAACCTTCCCACTAGTGAAAAAGTAATGCCAGTGTATCGTGTAAACTTTTTTAATTCCCAGAGAAAAAGGTCAGATAATATGTGAACCAAAAAGCTATCTGAAGGTTTACATGTACTTGTAGTTTTGAATGGTCAAGAACATAATTGACATTTAGGCCAAAAAAAAAAAATTAATAGTTTCTCAGGCCAAAAAATTCAAAATTCAATGCGGCAGGCAGGCTTTTTTTTTTTTAGCAGGTTTGACATCTTTTTTAAGCCATTTGTTCAATAAAATGATAATATTTACTAATTCTTAATTATTGTTTTCTGAAATTAGTTATAATATGTATTCAACTTTAAATAATGTTATTCCAAACATATATTTAAAAGTTAATGCATAAAATATTGTAAATTTAGAAGAAATATATTATCATAATTTATATTTTCTAATAAAAATGTTTAAGAAATGGGGAATAACTCAATTTTCTTTTTCATCTTGGAAAAATAGAAAATTGAGTTATTTCCCTTTTCAATATGTCAATAAAATTGATCAATGCGGCCGTTTTTGAACTGATGTGGCGGTGCCTGAGAAACTATTGATTAATTTTTTTGGGCCTTATATTTAATAATTTATTAAGCTTCATTTGTTTTATCTGATTTCATATGAAATATGCTTAAATTTTACTTTTATTCAATTTCTTTTAATTGTTTATTCACGCTATGGTTGAATTATATTCACACTATGGCAGAATCAAAGTTTGCATTTAGAATCTAAAATCACATTCAATCAAAAAGACCATGATACTTTTGTGAAGATAAAAAATGAAGGTTTAAATTCTGACTTTGGATGAAAAATGAGTGAGAAAGAACTATTGATTGATTTGACAACTCTACTACATGTATACATGTATTAATTTTGGGGGAATGCTTCAGGGAACATTTTTAAATTTTTGGACACTGAGAAACAAAATAAGGCCAGTTTTCACTCCAGTTTTTTTTTTATTTGACTTTTTGATAAATACAAAATGAAGGGTGAACACGTTATGTAGTGTCTCAAAGCCCTTAATAACATAAGCATAATCAACTACCATAACAGACATAACATACTAAAAACATACATATAAATGAATTCAACAAATAACAATGTCATAAAGTAAACAATTTACTGTTATAGTTGCTAATATAATGCTGCAAATATAATTAAATTTTTAATAGAGATCTATTATCAAAAGCACTCCTTTTTGTAAATATTGCAAAATATTATGTAGCATATTTGAACCCTTTGACTAATTTTGGCATACTTGAAGGGTGTTTTTTCTCATTTATTTAAGTTTTGCATTTTATGCTAATAAATTACCATATATCATTATCTGAAGTAAAATTTTGTAAGATTGAGCAAAAAACTACTCACTAGAACAACCATTTATGTTGAACATTCATATTATACATGTATATTGAACACAAAGCTTTAATGTTAATGAAATATAACAAATAATTAGGGCCATGCATCTTTAAAAATTGTCGGATGACCCACATCAAAACTGCTTTTCGACTCTGATTTTTCTTTATACTCCTGAATTTTCTCACCTCTATTTGTATGCTGAAATTTTCTAGAAATAAAAAATTCCCACCTAGCTAGCATTCCATTTTTTTTACCCTTAGTTGAGAGATGGCAAACAAACATTACATTAAAGATGGCCTAGGATGAAAAATAATAATTATTTAAACTGAGTTATTGTTGTGTTTTAAATAAAGCATGACAAAAATTAAACCCATGTATTCAACATAATTATTCAAAATTCTGTACATTTTGTGTTATAAGTATAACTCCTGAAGTTTAATTAATGCATGATGCAAATTTCACCTTATAGGAACAAAACATTTTTCATCTCAAATTTACAACATGAACTTGAAGCAATATAAAACAATTCTACAATCTAAGATTCCAATAAGCAGGCACACCTAACCGGTTAAGACATGAGCATTTAAATCAGCAGTCTAGCTAATAGGAGGGTAGGTGTAAAATATACCCCCATCTCAATACATCATTGGATGTCTGCGCTAAAAAAACTAAATTTACTATATACTGTATGCTTGTTATAAAAAGATATATTACTAATGCAAGTTGATACTGCTAGATATCTAATTTACAATCATTTGTGTTTAAGCATTTCACTGACATGCATTTGGTCAACAAACATTATGTGTACTTCTTGACACATGTAAAATAAACCCAAAGAGGTAAAAATTCTTTAAAAGTTTTTCTAAAATTTCTTAAAATCAAAATTTCACACATTAAATATAAATAAGTCAATAGTACAAACTTTACCTGGTAACAGAAATTAATATTGCATGTATCAATTCATTGGGTAATTTTCATAGGAAAACAACTTGTGTTTCCATCTTCAACATTTTAAATATTTTTCTAAAAACCGTCAAATGCATATAAAGATTAAATAAAAATTTGGACTAAAGGAAATTATGATGCCATATTTGTTTGAAGAGATCAAATATAATGCAAAATGCATTGTTCACAGAAGATAATTATCCAATAACAATTTTGAAAAAAAAAAAATGTGTATTAGATAAGGATCAAAATAGATGCAAATACACTTTACCTATTATTCTTACTATTTAACCAGTGTAATAAATGTTTCATAATTATTTAATGAAAAACAGAAAATAAATGGCCCATATTGTACAACCATGTTAAAAAATGAAGTGTAAAAAACATTTTAAAAAATGTGACAGCATCAAACAAAACACAACCAAAGGTGACAACGAAGAAAGAGTCTACCACAGGAACCTAAGAATAAAGTACAAGCCATGTGTGAATAGTGACCTTTCTTCTACAAACATGTTTTTAAAAAAAATTAGAAATCATTGAAGAAAATTTTATACATGAAATATGCAAAGATAAACATATTAACAAAAATCTCTGTTTACTTCAGTTGGGAAAATACAGGGAATTGTTTCATTAGTTTAAATGCTAGAATTGAATACAAATTGTAGATCTAAATTTTTACTTTAAGCAGATTACTCTAATAGCATAAATATTTCATAATATCAGAACTACCGTAGTAAGTTTTCAGTGTATAGAGGGTTCTAAAATAATGAAATCAACCATTAGTTTCCCTTGATGAAATTTATACCCACTTTATAAAAACTCCATCAAACTAGCACTATCTTGTATATCACAGCTTACGAGAGTTTACAAGGGACTGGAACTAGTCCATAAGGAACCAGTGTATCACAGGGTCAGGCTCTTTGGCAAGGGGACGCAACTCTGAAGTAACTTTAAATATCAACATCGTCATGCATACACTGATACAGCAACCATGCAAACTTACTTTGTGATCTTAACAACTCATTAAAGAATCAAACTATTTACAGCAATTTTCTAAATGAAGCAATTTTCCTATTCCATATGAGTCTAGAATTCTGTAATGTGTACATACAAGTGCATATTACTTAATCTAAGAACAACTGGTTTAGCTGAGTTAAAAGTATGGCACACAGTGAACAAATTGAGCTGACAAGATATTATTTCATATTGCTATAAAGGATTGCCTATCAGCTTTGAACCACACTTAAAGGCACCAAAGCTACAAAATGGAAGCCTTCTTTATTCACCAGAATGTGTCCAATATTAATGGCGTCCACGTGACAGTTTTCCGGGCGAATCTCCTCCTTCACCTCCAGCTCGTTAGAACTGTTATTCAGTTTATGGATAACGATCGGAATGTTCAACATTTTGGCCATGGCGCTGATTTCTAAATGGTCCGCCCACTTGTTGGCTTCTATACCACTCAGAAAAGTCTCCCACGTTTCAAACACAAAGTCCTTATAAGTCTTGGAATTCTTTTCCAGGTACTTTTTGAGCTTTTTCCTGAGAGTGGACACATCCTGTTCATTAATAGAATCACAAAGTTTTAACACACAGTGGTAGAAGCAGCTGCCATCTTTGGGGACGTCTGTGACGAGCCAGCCTTTCTTTTTAGCAGCTTCCTTCATCTCCTTCATGTACTCATTACAGTCATGCTCATCCTTGTCCCCACAACCAGTCTCCTGGAAAAAAAAAATTAAATTAATCTCAAAGAATTTATTTATCCTTATCTCCAGAACCATTCTTCTGTTTAAAACAAACAACAGCAAATAATATTTGAATTTCACCTTTTTTTTTATTTGAATAAATTGAAACACACATGCATGAAAATTTTTAGAACAAATATCACATTTAAACTTTGGTTAAACAGTTATCAACTAATCAGAAGATAGCTGAAAGACTTCATAATATCAGTAGCTTATTATTCACTTATTGTGAAGAAAAAACAGTCATGAGCTCATATGATATTTGAGTTATCTATATTTGAGTTGGCTTTAATTTTATTTTCATTATATTATGATTAACTTAATTAATTGTACTTATACTACATGTATTACCTTGTTTGGCTCCCTGGGTTTTTCAACGCTTTGTTCGACATTTTCATTCTCTGGGATCTGAAATGGAACACTTTATATTACTTTTAGGGTATTTTTTAACCTTTATCTTTACAATAAAATTTTTTGATATTAAATAATTCTAAACTAAAAAGGACTATTTTGTAAAAGAAGTGTTAACATTAATACCGTATTCCCATCCTGGTGGACTTGTACCTCCACTGGTACTCCTGGGGGTGTGACAACTTGATCTCCTCTATCCTGTAAAACAGAGCATACTGTGAATACCTGTGTTACCTGTCCAGGTGTACATCTAATTCAGAGAAACCAGCTCCTGATACCAAAGAAACATGCACGTGAGCCACTATGTTCAGCTCTTCATGAAAGAATACTGTAAACAAGGTGTTTATTTTTTTCCTCATGTTATTTTATTTTTTCTTTTTTTCTCTCACACTTGCAAACAATTTTGCCCTAGTTTATATTTGCCCACTCACAGTTCTGTGAAAGAAATTAAACTGTTCTTTGAATTCACTCAGTTTAAAATTTGCCCACCTGTGAGTATGGCAAGATGGGCGAAAATAAAACATGGGCAACAAGATGTGTTTGTGAAACACTATGCGCCCGGCGGCAACAAAGTTCTAAAAACAATTTTAAGCAAATAGGTCACAGTCAAGGTCATACGATCATTGTTCCTGGTGTCAGTTGAAAGTGCTTAATTAGTGGAGTATGCATACCAAATATAAAGTCTCTATCTCCTATGGTTCAAAAGTTATGGTGAAAATTCGAAGAAAAGCTATTTTTAACATATAGGTCACAGTCAAGGTCAAAAGGTCATTGACCTTGGTGTCAGTTGAAAGTGCTTAATTAGTGGAGTATGCATACCAAATATGAAGTCTCTATCTCTCACGGTTCAAAAGATATGGCAAAAGTTAAAGTTGACAACGGACAGACAAACAGACAAACAGACTGACAAACAGACAGACAAACAGACAGACAGGGCAAAAACAATATGCGCCCCAAATAAATTTGGGCGCATAAAAATTTCCCAGCATAAAGTACATGAAAAAAAAAAATTGCATGGTCACTGAACTTATAAACAAAATTTTTAATAAAATTGTAGGTGCAAACTTACGTCTTTTGCTGGAGAAATAAGCTTGGCTTCTTCTGAACCTTCATCCTCACTGTCCTGTAATCATGATAACTTTATATTAATAAACTGATAATGAATACAGATTCCTACTGAAAAACCTAATTTCACCTGAAGTGGTGAAGCCATATATGTTGCTACATAAAATCTTTTACAGGATTGTTCAAGAGAAAAAAAATGGCCTGTCTAATCATTAAAGAAAAAGATTCAGGGAAGGTGCTTCACTGACCCGGTGTTAAATTGTGTCTGTCAATGGCATGATTTTTAGCAAATTCTCTCATTTATTTATCAGGTTTAACTGAAAATTTACTCTTTGAGATCCATATAAACTTAAAATTTGCCACTTAGGTGCAGGAAAAATTAGTTTATTTTTATGAATTGGAAATTCTTCAAATGTGATTCCTCACAGAATAAGCTGGGCAAATATTTCCCTGTGGATATTGTGTATAGTACTTGTATCAACATGTATTCAGGGAAGCCTAGTGATCTGCAGCTAAGGGCAAGATGGACAGGGGAATATTTTAACAGGAAGAATGCCATTGTACAGCTCCATTCAATATGTTCTTTTAAAAATAGGCATTTAAACAAATACGTATTTATCAGTTTCAGAAGAATAAATGAAGGTACATGTATATTGATATATACATTCATTGCATGATAGTGATGGAAATGTTATTGGGTTTTTGAGCTTATATTGGTGAATACTGACACAAGTTGGCTGTGCAAATACACCAGCTGCCACTACCTATCATAAATTTGCATTTGAGGTGTTGACCAGTGTTTACAATGGGGGCTCTATACTGAACGCCTGTATTCAGACAGTTTCAGGCATACTCATAGTGTGTAATACAATCTCAGCATTCAATAAAACCCCAAGATATTCAAGACTAACATTCTCTAGATTCTTAGAATTTTTTTTGTTTTATTAAAGACCATTTATTAGCTATATAACATACAATTATGGACTCTTGGTGTTGAATATGGTTTGTCATTCACCAGAAAAAATATCAATATTGACCAAGGCGAAGTTATTGAAATCCTTTGACACATCACTAATCAACAATTTTGTGATGTAAACCAGACTATTGTGATGTCTACTACTCTTGGGAGTTTTCTTTCAACGAACGATACCTATATTGCAGGAAAATGCACTAGATATCTGAAGTGGTGGAATATGATGAAAAGCATGAAATATGAAGTTTTATGGCCCAATCATGTGATAATCTAGAACCAATCAGATAATGCATTATGTAGAATAGTTATAATGAGGTATAATAATATGAATTGTGGTTAGTGGTGAAATAAATTCACAGTTTCCAGGTTTTCACCTATTGAGTTTAACTGCAGTTTTTGAAAAGTAACTTTGGGAAGTGACTATAGTCTTATTCTATACCAGATTTGTTTTCTCTGTTTACATTAAAATCATTACTACATGTAGTAAGAAACAATTACCTGATCTGTCTGCCTTGTGTGGTTTATATTAAAGGTGTTTCCTTCTCCAGTTGCCACATTCTCTGCTGTATCAATGTGAACTAGAGTATCAGCTGGAAACAAAAATAAATCACCATTATGTTTTTACTCAATGTTCATACTACTAGACAACAATTAATCATCAGGATTGATAATTTTTTTTTAAATAATCTTCTATGATACTTAACAAAAAAAACCTTCAAAATATTGAAGTTGAAATGCAGTAACATAGTTGAAACTAATGATCCTCTGTTCTATATTTCATACTTTTTTTTTAACTTCCCAACTTTGAGTTTTATCAAGAGCTAAAACATCAGAATTAAATGAAAAATAGTATGAGATAGGGAATGCTGCTTATTTTTAGGTCACCTGAGTAAACTCAGGTGACCTATTGCTATCCGTTTTCGTCCGTCGTCGTGCGTCGTGTGTTAACATTTGAACATTTTCAGCTTCTTCTCTGAAACCACTGAACCAATTTCAACCAATTTTGGCATACAGCATCCATGGGTGAAGGGGAACAAAAATTGTGAATTTCATGGTCCCTGTCCCCCTGGGGCCTTGGGGTGGGGCCAAAACCACTAAAATTAGTGCAATCTTTAAAAATCTTTTTTACCTGGACATCAAGCAGACAAACTGTTGGTATGATTGTAATCAGCATTGAGTCCTCTACCAAAATTGTGAAATTCATGTTATTCTAGTGCTAGGGCTGGGCTCTATTGATTATATAGTGAAAATGCATTAATTCTTTGAAAATCTTCTTCTCTGCTCCTGGATATCAAATTAACAATCTAAGTACATAGTTATGATGAGCAAGAGTGCCTCTTTCAGATTTGTGAATTTTATGGCCCCAGGATCAGGGGTTCTGGTGTTAGGGCGGGGCTCTATTGATTATATAGTGAAAATGCATTAATTCTTTGAAAATCTTCTTTTCTGCTCCTGGGTATTGAATAAACTAATTAAGTACATTGTTATGATGAGCAAGAGTGCTTCTTCCAAAATTGTGAATTTCATGGCCCCAGGGTCAGGGGTTCTGGTGTTAGGGCGGGGCTCTATTGATTATATAGTGAAAATGCATTAATTCTTTGAAAATCTTCTTCTCTGCTCTTGGGTATTAAATAAACTAACTAAGTACATAGTTATGATGAGCAAGAGTGCCTCTTTCAGATTTGTGAATTTCATGGCCCCAGGGTCAGGGGTTCTGGTGTTAGGGTGGGGCTCTATTGGTTATATAGTGAAAAGGCATTAATTCTTTGAAAATCTTCTTCTCTGTTCCTGTGTATTAAATAAACTAACTAAGTACATTGTTATGATGAGCAAGAGTGCCTCTTTCAAAATTGTGAATTTTAAGGCCCCAGGGTCAGGGGTTCTGGTGTTATGGCGGGGCTCTATTGATTATACAGTGAAAATGCATTAATTCTTTAAAAATCTTCTTCTCTGCATTAAATAAACTAACTAAGTAAATTGTTATGATGACCACCTCTTCCAAAATTGTGAATTTTATGGCCCCAGGGTCAGGGGTTCTGGTGTTATGGCGGGGCTCTATTGATTATACAGTGAAAATGCATTAATTCTTTAAAAATCTTCTTCTCTGTTCCTGGGTATTAAATAAACTAACTAAGTAAATTGTTATGATGAGCAAAATTTTGTGAAATTTTGGCCCCAGGGTCATAAATACAGTGAAAATGCATTAATTCTTTAAAAATCTTCTTCTCTGTTCCTGGGTATTAAATAAACTATAAAAATTGTTATGATGAGCAAGAGCTGCCTCTTCCATTGTGAATTTCCAAAGAGCAAGGCTGGGCTCTATTTCATATTGTGAGCATTTATTTATTTTTCTCTGCTTCAGGGTATGAAATAAACAACATAAAGTACATAGTTATGATGAGCAAGAATGGCGCCCCAACCAAATTTGCTAATTTTTATGTCCCCTGTGTCAGGGGTTTTGCCTTTTGCTTTAGAAATCATGCCAATCATATATATATATATATATATTTTGTCGAAAAAAGGTGCATCTACCAAAATGGTTAATATCATTCTTCATAATAAATATGTTTTTAAGTCATTGTCATAATATCTAGGAGCAAAGGAAAAGATTTTTCAAAGAATTCATGTATTTTCACTATATCATCATTAGAGCCCTGCCCTAACACCAGAACTCCTGACCCAGGGGCCCTGAAATTCACAAATTGGAAAGAAGCATCCTTCCTCATCTTAACCATGTACACAGTTCATTGGTTTAATACCCAGGATCAGAGGAGAAAATTTTTTAATGAGTTTATGCATTTCACTATATAATCAATAGAGCCCCGCCCAAACACCAGACCCCTGACCTTGGGGCCATGAAATTCACAATTTTGGAAGAGGCAGCTTTATTCAACATAACCATGTACTTGGTAAGTTTATTTGATACCCAGGAGCAGAGAAGAAAATTTTCAAAGTATTTATGCATGTTCACTAGTACATAATCAATAGAGCCCCGCCCTAACACCAGAACCCCTGACCCTGGGGCCATGAATTTTACAAAATTTTGGAAGAGGCAGCCTTATTCAACATAAATATGTACTTGGTTAGTTTATTTAATGCACAGGAGCAGAGAAGAAGATTTTCAAAGAAATAATGCATTTTCACTATATAATCTATTTAGCCCCGCCCTAGCACTAGAACCCCTGACCATGGGGCCATGAAATTCACAATTTTGGTAGAGGACTCAATGCTGATTAAAACCAACAGTTTAACTGCTTGATGTCCAGGACTAAAGAAGATTTTTAAAGATTGCATTAATTTTAGTGGTTTTGGCACTGCCCCTCAGGCCCCAGGGGGGCAGGGACCATGAAATTCAAAAATTTTGTTCCCCTTCGCCCATAGATGCTGTAAACGAAATTTGTTTGAAATTGGTTGAGCGGTTGCAGAGAAGAAACTGAAAATGTTTAAATGTTAACGCACAACAGACGATGGACGAAAACGGATAGCAAGAGGTCACCTGAGTGGTGACCTAAAAATATGAGGTGTATATGAAAAGAAGACTTAGTGGCATACCTATCAAATTCATATTAGAAAACACAATGAAGCATTACTACCTGAGACAGAAATCACATTATAAATATGTGGTTGTTGAAAAAGAATATGTCTGTTAGCAAGAGTTATCATTCTTATATATATTTTTTCACCGGAAAAAAAAAAAAGTGATACTCCTAGAAATTTACATTTGGTACTTGATACATAGTATTTATTTGCTTGGAAAGTTATTTCTTTTATCAAAGGGTAGGTCCCTCTTAGTGTTAAAGATACTGAAGATAAAATGTACAATATTAATTTATTGGTTAACTTATGTTTGTATACACATTTATAAAGACCGTCTCAGTGTTTTTCTTCCATTTAATTTGTTCACAAATAGATGTTTCTTCGTAACATTATCATAAACAATGTTAAAGGAAAAAATTTCAAATACTTAAGCGGTACTGGTAATGGTAATTATTAAAAACTCATATAGTACTGTAGATAATACCAATATCAACGTATGTATAATTGAACAAAAAAATTGGAGATCATATTAATCTGATCCAAATGTAAGATTTGACAATTCTTAATTATTTTACCATGATACATGTACTGTTCTTTCTTCTCCAAAATGATTGTTGTGTTGTAGGTATGGTTTTCCTCTGGTGGATTGATGGTTTTAGTTTGAATGTAATTCTTATCTGCAATGATACGAAAAAGTAACATTTGTGTATAATGATAGGCTATCATTTTGAAATGTTATTTTTCTACCATAATTAAACAGGATCAAGTTCATAAAGCTTTCAAAGTTAAAACAAGAAGCTCAAAGACAGCAATGCCCACTTCAGCCACCTTTGCCCTGCTCAAATCTTCAGAAAATTGTTCATAAGATTGTATTTACCTTAACAAATCTATTACCTTTTAAAAATGCAATTATTAAAGGAATGTCATCGAGTTTTGTGTGAGTTAGTGGTGTGTAAATCACACAGACTTGTCACACATTTCTATTTTTTTACAAGTTAAAAAGCATGCCTTAGAGAAGATTGTGTTAAAATTTCAAACATCTGCAATGAGTAGTTGCTTAGAAAACTGTGACGAAAATTTGTTATGTATAAAACGGACAGACACACGGATAAACAGGAAGTTGACATCGGATTTGAACAAAAATGAATACCATCATATGGCATGCCTCAGTAAAGATTTTGTTAAAATTTCAAGCATCTGCAATGAGTAGTTGCTGAGAAAACTGTGACGAAAATTTGTTAAATTTGTTAGATATGAAACAGATAGATGCATGGATAAACAGGAAGTTGACATCAGATTTGAACAAAAATGAATCCCACCATATGGCATGCCTTAGAGATGTTTTTGTAAAAATATCAACCATCTGCAATGAGTAGTTGCTGAGAAAAGTGCGACAAAATTTGTTACGGACAGCTGGACGGACAACAGACAGATGAACATACAAGGGTAAAACAGTATACCCCCTCATCTTCGGAGTGGGGGCATAATTATGAATAGGAAAAATAAGAGAATGTGAATATAAGCATTGAATTCATATTTTTGGATGTCGTCATTCCTATAACACACCTGGCCATGCCGACAATGCGACAAATTATCATACCCTGCTCAGGTGTGTTATAGGACAGATGACAACCAAAAATATGAATTCAATGCTAATGTTAAACATGTTAAAAATGTGAAAAGTTTACAGACCGAAGGACAGCTAGACAGATGGATGGACACTGGAGAACAGATGATCAGAAAAGCTCATTTGAGCTAAAAATGTTGGCCACAAGAATGGCAGATAAATAAACAAGAGGCCCACGGGCCACATTGCTCACCTGAGTAGCTTTGACCATACTGTTCTTTACCAAATTTCCCCCTTGTAATATCAATTGTGATCCCACCCTACCCCATAATTTGGACAATTTAGAATCTACACAACCCCAGGATGCTTTCACAAAAGTTTCAGCGTTTCTGGGCCAGTAGTATTGAGAAGAAGATTTTTGAAGATTATTCCTACATAATTGTATGTAATTCTTGGATTCCCTATTGTGCCCCTGCCTTACCCCCGCGGGTCATGATTTGAACAATTTAGAATCTACACTACCCCAGGATGTTCCACATAAGTTTTGCTTTTCTGGCCCAGTGGTGCTTGAGAAGTTTTTTTTTTAAAATCCACTTTTTTAATGTTAAAGTTTGATTCCCTATTGTGGCCCTGTCCAATCCACGGGGGTCATGATTTGAACAATTTAAAATCTATTCTATCCCAGGATGCTTCTACATAAGTTTCAGCTTTTCTGGCCCAGAGGTTCTTGAGAAGATTTTTTAATGACCCCACCCTATTTTTTCTTTTCTTGATAATCTCCCCTTGTGAAGGAACTTGGCCTTTCATTTTAACAATTTAAACTTCCCTTTACCCAAGGATGTACCAAGTTTGTTTAAATTTGGCCAAGTGGTTCTTGAGAAGAAGTCGGAAATGTGAAAAGTTTACAGACGGACAGACAGACAGACGGACGGATGGACAACAGACAAAATGTGATCAGAAAAGCTCACTTTAGCTTTCGGCTCAGGTGAGCTCAAAAAAGTGATCAGTTTACATGAGTAAACTTAATGACTACCCGGTAATAGAACTTCAAATAAAATATTGTACAGAATGTAGATTTAAGTTAGTACTTTCAAAATAAAATATACCGGTAGTTGAACTTAGTACAAAGAAGATATAGCAGTTCTTACAAAGATAATATTGTACAGAATGCTGTATTTACTTGCAAATAAAAACATATAGTAGTATTGACAAGGATATGTAATACTTGTAAAGAAAATATATAGTACAGGATGTAGCATTTACAAATAAACTACAGCACTATGCAGTACATGTACTTACAAATGAAATATAGAAGTACGTACAAATAAAATAGTACTTGCAAATAAAATATAGCAGTACATGTACTAAAAAATAAAATACATGTACCATAGTAGTACTTACAAAGAAGATAAGCCACTCCAGTGATGACTGTTCCCAAGAGGATGACAAAGATGAGAGCAATTAGTATTGTCACATGTTTGTTGTCACCCTTCTCCTTCATAGACTCCATGACATCAATGTCTAAAAGAAACGTTAAATATAGAGTTTTTACAAAGGTATTCCTCGATATGATGTGGAAGTCATTTTTTTCGCCAAAACATGAAAAGAACAAAAAAAAAGGTAATCAAAGATAACGGAGCTTTCTATGACTGATGTCTTAAAGTAAGACACAGAACCATACTAAACTAATAATGTAGCTGTGCATTCCTAGATGCAACAGTTATGCAAATTTGGGTCAGGTAGCAGTTGCAATAACTTGCAAATCAGCTAAAAACCTTAATTCTGACGCAATTGTTTTGTAAAACACATTTTGATTGGCTATTAATGCACTGATTTTTAAAGCAGCAAAACGAGCATTAACGAGAGAAAGCTTTTCATTGTGACGTCATAATAGAGCAACGCAAAAACACAATGCCCCTTGACATATTTCATGTAACAAAACTCAACAAAATAAGACGTAAACAACAAACAAAATGCATAGATTGCATTAGAATGGGAATAATTATCTTCTAATTTGGTATTTGCGACTGTTAATGTTGATATAACGGTCGCAAACATCCGTTTTACCTGCTCCGCTTAGGCGTCACCAGTAAAACTTAGTTTGCAACAGTTAAATCAGCATTAACGTCTCAAATACCAAATAAGAAGATAATTATTCCCTAAATGAGTCACTCCTCCATAAAATACAGGTTAGATATAGCCTACAAAGCAAATATATTAGTGTGCATCCTTTGAAGCACCATCCCCACATATATATTGTATTTGTTCCAGGTAGACCTTAGTTACTTCAAAAACTTGAATCTGGTCACTCATCTGGAAAGTGTAGGTCAGATCCAGCATCCTAAGTAAGTTTGGTAGACTGCATCCCGTAATGCATCATCAAAGTGATTTTGCTTTATGAATGACTTAAAATAAAACTGGAATACACCTGCTCCAAAGCCTGTTACACGGTCATTCATTCAAAAATGCAGGTTCAATCCAGAATATGAAGAATACAATGGTGTGCATCTCTAGATGCAAATTTCATGCAAAGTTTAATCAAGATAGGGCTTTACATTTAAACTTTAAGCTAGTCACTCATCCGGAAAAAGTAGGTCAAATCCAACATATGCAGCAACTTTGGTATTGTGCATCTCTTAATGCATCAAGTTAGTTCAAAGTTTCTTGGTAACAGACCCTCTCCCAAATCTTCAAGCTGGCCACTCATTCAGAAAATGTAGGTTGAATCTAGCATCCCAAGCAAGTATGGTAGTGTGCATCCTGAGATGTGATATCAATTACTCTAGGTAGGGCTTGATTTTTTTAATTGAAACGAAACTCCTCCAAAAACCTTACCCTGGTCACTCAATTACTCAAGGTAAAATCCTACCACCAAAAAAAATTTTGGTAGTGTGGATTCTTAGATGTATCATCCCTGCAAATCTGATCAATACAAGGCTTATAGTTACTATTCGGAGAAGAGATTTGCACCAAAAACTTGAAACTGCTTCAAGAACATTGTCCTGGTCATTCTTTGGTTGAACTACTAGCATCATCCTGGCATCTTTGATCAATATAGAGGACAGAGAAGTACTTAAAAAGAAATCTACTCCAAAATCTTTAACCTGGGATGTGATGTTTACATCAAGGCCAACGGTGTTACATACCTGGGTTATCTCCCTCAACTTCACTGAAGTATAACATAACCTCTCTCATCATTGAGCATGAGGTGGGCTTGAAATCAAATTTTCACCAAATCAAATTTTGTCAAAAATAAGACAGCTCTTACCGGATAAGGTTGATGTAGATGGTTGTGTGCTTGTTGAGGAATGGTAACTTGTAACAGGTGCAGTGGTTGAAATTCTAAGAAAATAAATCACAACAATATATTGTTTGTAGTTGAATATCTAATTTTTACTTTATAGCTTGCATGCTATCTACGAGGGTTGTTCGAAAATTATTGAGACATTGTGTATATTTTGCTTTCTAATGAACGTCTTTCAGTGAAAATTGGCATATACGTTTGACATACACTGAAAATTGATAGGAAAGAATTTTTTTTAAAAATATTCAATATTTTTTCTACAATGGTATATAAATGTGTCAATAGTAGGGGTACCCGGAGCAGTCGCGGAATCAGATATTGAAAATATGTAACCCCAAAATTCTAACTCTTCGTGGATCCATAACGAAAGCGAAAATAATTCAGTTTAAGTGTATAATTTTTCAGCTTTGGTTCAAATTCATGTTGTGCAAATTTGATAGAATTTTGATCAGAAATGCGGAGATCATAAAAAAATTAAGCGCGGTAGAGAAATCTGCTAACAACGAAAAAATGGATTTTGACGTCAAGGGCGGAGCAGCCATCATACCTAAAATTATGTGTGGCGAAATGTAGAACTCTTTTCAAGATTGAACGACCTGCTAAAACAATAACAACGAGAAAAAAATGATGTGTTAGGGTTTGTTATTTCATTGGTATACAATTTTTTAAACAATTAATTTAACTAGAGTAAAATTAAAAGATCTGGACGACCATGAGTTATTACGTACAGTATTGATATCGTTACGGTATTTAACCCGCGTTGCATAAATTGGCACTGCATGATTCTAAGTCATCCTTTCCCATAAAAGTAAATTCTTGACTGGGGTAGAAACAGCATATATTTTTAAAGAATAGTTTAAGAAAAGAGAATGTTTGATTTTTGAAATGTTATATATGTAATAACAAAGAAGGAAGAGTATTAAACGCTTCCCGATCGTTTCACATGAGAAACAATCTACGGCTAACGTAACGTTAAATGACGTAGCGAGGCTGCTCCGGGTCAATAGACATATGTACATTCATTACTTCACAGAAACTTATGTAATTATCGTAAGAATTAGAAAACTTACTAAAGTGTTTTAGTCTTTCTTTTTAAGATGTTGATGAATTTTCATGAAATTATCTCCGTCCTTTATGGAGTAAATGTAATTGTCTCAATAATTTCCGAACAGCCCTCGTACATTTTGAATTTAAAAAATATACTCTATTGCCATCATTTCTTTTTTTAATATGCATTTCATAATACATATATTATATTTCAGACATTTAACTTTTACTTCATTTAAAATCTGCAGTTCTCTTAGACATATTGTATATGATTTTTTTCACTATATATGAAATTCAAGAAAGATAATTCAAAATTATATAAATTTCAAAAAGTTTTTTTTTTCTCGTCCTTTATCTAGAGCTTAAACTAAAAAATATAAGGTTTGGGAAAAAAAATATGGTATTCACCACATATACATGTATATACCATGAACAAAATTGTCCATAAAAAATGCAAATTGCAAAACAGCTTTCAGATAGCTTTATTACAACATCATGCTTCATTATTTAATTCTAATTTGAGTCTTGTAACTCTCCTTTGCACAAATTATATCCTAGTATGCAGATGAGAATTTCAAACATCTTTCTAAGAAACAAATTCAAACTGTTACAAAAGTTGAGCAATATAGAACAATTGGGACTTCAGACGCAAGGTGAACCTGTCATTGAGAAAGGTGGTAGCCATTTGGAATGCTAAAAGTTCTTCTTAGGTTCATGTTTTAATAGTAAATGATCCATATATATCATTATAACAGTAACTTGATCCGAAGGGTCGTATCATGTTGAGTTGACAGGCGCGGATCATCAGATCAAACAGGATGCGATGCCTGATATGGCTCTTCGGATCAAGTTACTGTTATAATGATAAATTTATTATATACCCCCTTATAACTAGCTAAATATAGCAAAATAAAACTTTATAGCGATCAATTTTATAATATACAATTGTATATCCATAAAACAAATAAATAAAGCATATTAACAATGGACTTTTTAACGTGCAAGAAAAATAATGTCATGTTCGTGCGTACTACGTCATCAGTTTCAGAGAGTGGTGATATGGATTCAGAAAACCACAGTGTGGTGATCCGGAAAATCGGATCACGACGTCACGTGATTACGTAAATTCAACAGTAAAACTTTGTGATACACAGTAGGTACATGTATATAATAAAGCTTTATATTACTTGACTGTTGTATTGATAAAATTGTATGGATATCTTATTTTCCTTCTTGCAAATTTTTCTTTCATCAATCCTTAATATTTTTGAAAACATCAAAGTTGAGAGATGTATGCTGAACCCAAATGAACTCAGTTTTAACTTACCCTTGTTTACACTGAGATGACCCTGGGGGGTGACTCTGTCCCAGCGGACATTTATCTACACACTGATAAGTCATACTCAGGGTCTGGTTCTCATGGCAATCATCAAACCTAGTACACTCCAAAATTATCCGTTTAGGATGAATGCAGGTGATATTATATGGGTTTTCATTGGCTACAGCTTCGAGTACGTATCCATTTGTGTAGTCACATCGACACGTACGGTCCATCTCTGCCGATCCGTCGTCACACCGCACCTGTCCCTCCGCGTCACAGCGAGACTTCTCCGACACACACTGGAAAACCATGGCTTGATTTGTTGTTCTCTCTGTTGGCTGGTATCTATCGATGGGACAGGTGATAGAGTCAAAGATACCTTTATCTTTGTTGAAAATAACAAATTTCCCTGAAAGAGAATTAACAAGTTACTAATTAGATACTTTTATAAACAGTGATTTACTGATACCTCTTTATCATATTTGCTGAACCATTTTTGTTAAAAAACTTTTCTTTAGAGAATGAGTCATACCCTTGGGAACAGACACTGGTATTTGACAAAACTCCATATACTGAGGTTCAGGGTCTGGAGACTTGACCATCACACAGTGATAGTTCTCTGGCGAGTTTCCACATTTCTCCAACCCTCGAGTAAGCCAGGCATGGTTATCATACTGGTTTGGACACATCACAGGTAAAATTGGCTCACTCAAGCCAATATCACACAGGCTCCATGACACACACACCTAAAAAATTAGTCAGTAAATGTTATACCTTATTTCATTGGCTCTCACTATCTTCTTTTGAGAGATAAACTATATTGAAAATATTGAAATTGAAATCATACGACAAACTGTTAATTTCATATTTGTATAAAATTGTAATTAAATTATTTATTCAGAAATATTTTGTCATAAAACAATAAGCAATACTGTACATCGTTTTACAGTTATAAAATGAACCCCAGGTAGGAAACTATTTCTGAGAGTTGGCAAAGCCACCGAGGGAAATAGCTTTTTTTTAAAAACTATATACTAAGATAGTTTCAGACACTATATAGGGACATTCCATTGAACACTGACATGAAGAAAATAATAAAATATTTCAACTGTATTTTTAAAAAAATTGTGTGCTTGTCATTTTTTTACAAATTCAATTTGATTTTTATATTGCATGTTGAAATTGTTTACATCATAGTTACATTGCTAATGTCATTACATCACAGAGTGACTCAAGATTGTAATTGAGTATAATGATCAAATGAATGAATATTAATGAGGGATTAGTCCTAGTGAGTAGCTTTAATTTTACAAGGAGAAGTTTTCAGAAGGGTAAAGTAGTGCCTTTCATATCGTCGGAAACCCACAGTCAGTCTAGCTTCTCTTACCTCAATATAAGAGAGACCAACCAGGGATTTCCAACAATGTGCCTTTCAGAGAAATAAAGGTTTCATGATATTCATTTTATCTAGATGTAACAGGAAAGGAGAAAATGTTTGGCCAGACTGGGAATCGAACCTGTGACACCTGTATCACAAGTCAGGTGCTCTATCGAGTGAGCTACCCAGGCCTATATCCACAGCCCAAACCATTACTATACACAGAGTGATAATAGTAGAGGATAGGTGATGCATAACAATAAATTTTATTGTTCTTAGAATGACAAAGCATTCAAATCAATAGTCCAGTATAAGTATCATTAAATATTTTAAAAAAATTGTAATATATATATGTGATATTGTATTTTTTTACCCTGTAATGTTTCCATGTACAGGCAGTATGCTGAATAGGAAAGAGAAGACTAAATATTTCATTTTTGTAAAATCCACCTGTGACATCGCTCTTGTTTAAGCACTCCATTATTTTTCAGGAATGGAGAGTTGCAAATTACATTGAAAACGGAATTTGTTATGTTCGTATTCTCTTTCCTGTGCCTCAACTGAGGAAAGAACTAATAGAAAATTTTATCAAGTTCATTTTCACATAAAGAAAATTATTGTGCCCAGGGTGAGAATCAAACACAGTATCCTAACTTTTGGAGTCGGGTACACATTTCACTGAGCTATCGAAGCTGTTGAAACACATTGGCTTATACTAACTTCTGTCAGTACACTTTTCTCGCCTTACTTTCTCTACTTTATCTGAATCTAATACTTACTTTTATGTAATGTAATTACAGTGTATCATAGAAATATTCTTTATTTAAGAAATAAATCCGCGTTTTCGTGAATGTTGCAGAATAACCTCCGAGGTCGAGAAATGTTGTTTGAAAGATAAAAGTTGAGGCGTTAGCCGAGAACGCCGAGGCTTTTATATTTAAAACAACATTTCGAGACCAAGGAGGTTATTCTGCAACATTCACGACAACAAGGACTTTATCTATATTCTACTATGTGTGCTAGCAGCTCTAAAATACGACTGATCGTTTCTCTATATAGAAACGAATTAGGTCACCATGCTGTGATAACACTGTTCCATTTGGCACCAGAGTGTAAATTTGATTGTTTACCTGTGAATAGAATGCAAATGATTTGTGCTTTCCCTGCATTAAAATTAGCCGTTTATTAATTATAAATCTGTTTAAACCTTATTTAGATTAATCTTTTTGAATATACAATATCAAAATCAGTTTCCTATTTACCACTTTATCACTAAAATCATGTAGGGAGGTTCGTGAAACAGTCCGGCTTGGCTTTAGAAACCTACATTCATCAGCTACCGGTACTTTCTGCAATATACAGTGTTTAAATTGCAAAAGACGACACATCTATGTGGTCTAAATAAGTATTTCATGTTTAAGTCAAATGTACATTTGAACTGCACAGGTTTAATACGTATTTCTGATCTGATAATTTTTTGATGACGTTCGTGAATTATTGGAGAATAATGTCCACAGCATTTCTTTGATCTTGGCAATAATCATAGTAGAATACATATTAACAAACATTAAATACAAGCATTTAGAAAGGGAGATTTTACGTGGGATAATATACTTGTAGTGCTGCATTTCTTAAAAGTAATGGGCCTTGTCCCCTTCATGGCCTTGGCTCCATTACTTTTAAGGAATGGAGCGCTACTCGTACTATAACCCTTACTGAATACTATTTATCATGAGACTCTTGTTTAATTGTGTCAGAGGAAGGTCATCAATTTTTTTTATCCTTCACTAACTGCTTTCCTTTTCCATCAAAATACTGTAATACATACCAAGTACAAAAAATTGTCAGCCCTCATACTTCAATCCTGAAGCTTTAATGTGCACATAAAAACATACTCTCAAGATTCAGCTCAAGTCTGATAGGTAACTGGAAAGACTCCAAAACATTTTGTAGTAGAATCTTCTGCAATTAAAAATATGTACATATGAGTATATACTTATGAGACATTATTTCAAAATGAACTCTATCAATAAGGAAATAAGTTTGGTCTGCAAAGATCAAATTATTAATGAAGATATTTACTGTTTTTATATATGATAGTAAACATGTGGGTAACTATAGCAATCAAGATAAAAATTCCATTGGAACATCTCAATTGAGTGCAGAGTAAACATGAACCCAAAATCATCAGAGGTGGGATCAGGAACCATGTAGGAGTAAACAAGTCCATTTGACCAGTCACAACTGCCATGTGTTCCTTGTCATGATTGGGCAAATGGAGAACCTTGCATTTAACAATCAATTATATTTGCTATCAAGGACATATTGTATCAACCAAAGAATTAGCAACAATCAATTGTATTTGCTATCAAGAAATATTGTAGAGTGAAACCTGTCTAATCTGACATGCACTTGGAGACAAATTTTGTGTCGGAATAGACAGTGTGCCGGATTGAAAAGTGTAAAATAACATTAAAATTAAGAAAAGAAAGAAAGAAATTTTAGTACAGAATTTACAGAGTGATGGATTACACAGGTGTTGGATTACACAGTTTTCACTGTATCAACCAAAGAATTTGCGAAAGGTCTGGCACAACCTCTTGATAAAGATATTATACATCTTTTTAATAAGCTCTTCAGAATAGCTTGATTTTATAGCCATTTTAATTAGGGATGTCAACGAATATTCGAATATTCATTCGATGAGTTGATATTCGAATATAAACTTATGATTCGAATATTCGTTTTAAAGTGTGCAATCATTAAAAAGAGAGGAAAACCTGACAAGTTCAATGAGAAATTGAATCAACTTTGTACAAAATTAAAAGACACTGACCTCTTTGAATACCTTAGAGTAATTTATTCATTTGATCACTAATTAATGGTATAATGGTGTCCAATACTTACAATCAGCTTGTATTGTTGTAAGGACACAGTTTTACAGTTAACACGTGGATCCCTTGTTTATATGGCTGCATTTCATTTCCGGAATTTTTGGTAATTATCAACTTTTCATTTCCGACATTTTTTAGTTTTCATTTCCGACATTTTTTTGTTTTCATTTCCGACATTTTTCAAATACATATGTAGTATCTATATTAACAGATTTGATAACTTTAATAATGAAAAATTTAAAGGATTAAATCATAAATGAGTCTTTGAAATCCAATATTTTGTAAATCTATCAGTGACTTGGACATAAACTTGTATGGGGCTGTCACTGACATTTAATTTAGTGGACATTGAATGTAGTGAAAAAGTTTTATGCTCATTGAACACTTTTACCTAGACTTATAATTCGTACTACTTGTATGCATTTATGTATGGATGTTTTTTTTTCAATTTTTTATTAATATTTTGGTATACCTGTAAATACTTTTTAAATTCCGTTTTCTTTTACTTAGAACAGGTAAATTCCGGAAATGAAAAGAAAATTATGTCGGAAATGAAAACATAAAATGTCGGAAATGAAATAAAAAAATGTCGGAAATGCTATGCATATTTCCGGAAATGAAATGCAGCGGTTTATATATCAATAATTCAAAATCATTATCAGAAATTAATTAGCCAAAATAAATTGCTTTTAATATTTCTCTGTTAGATAATTGTTCTGCTTGGTATATTTGTAGGAGTTATCAATGCATACTTTAGTAATAAGATCAATTAATCTGAAACACACAAAGAATCTTTTGAATTATCAAAAAAAAAAAATAAATAAATGAATCCTTACATTTTGAATGTACATGTACGAGATTTGATAATTTGAAGTATTTACTAACTAGAAAACTGACCAGTCAGCAAGGGCCCCGCCATGGGGTAGAATTATAAGGGTGCAGCTTACAGAATGATTAAAAAATGTACGAAGAATAAGCAACACCAACTGTATTCTTAAAATTTCAAGATAATTCCTGAATATTCAAAAACCTGAAAATAATATCCTTGTATTTACATAAGGCAATAAAGAAAAACTTAACATTGAATGTATATTTACACAATTATGAAGCTTATCTTAAATATAAAATGCCAGCCTTCAATGAATGCAAATATAACTTCAAACAAACAGCAGTTGCAGACAAAGATTTTCATTAATCTTAAAGTGACAGATAAAGAAAAGCCTACTAAATTTTCTGCAGCATGCTAGATAATTAATCCCAAGGGATTAACTGTACCTCTCTAATCATTTTCTTCTAAAGTTACAATAAGAACTTTTTCAGTATTAATGATAGAATGGGGTTTTTATACAACTACCTTAAAAATTAATAATATTCTTGAATTAACATAAAGTAAAAAAAAAATAAATCAAAAAATCTTCTTTAATCTATTTCTTGTTTTTAGAATTCAATGAAATCATAACTATTTAACAAAAATAAATTAATATAAAAATTTACATTTAAAATCCACATTTCAGAGTGTTCATAGCATTCCAAATTGACTTAACTTCAAAACAAACTTCATTTGCGGTAATTCATCTTAATGTGACAGATAAAGATAATGCTCTGGATTTTCTTCAGGAGGAAAGCTAATTAATCCCAAGGGACTCATAGCAGCATTCAGTTTACAATGGGAACATCTTCAGCAGTTATCTCTCTTTGCCAATGCATTCTTATATAAAGTAAAGGAATCTACCCCACCACCCCAGCTCCAAACCAGGGGACATAGAGAAACAAACTTAGCATCAAAATATGTCTTTCTGCCTACTGAACTACCATACCAAATTTGAACTTGATTGGGCAACCATAAAAAAAGTTGCTTCATTCTTGTTAAGGAATCTACCCCACCACCCCAGCTCCAAGCCAGAAGACACAGAGAATCAAACTTAGCATCAAAATATGTATTTCTGCCTACTGAACTATCATACCAAATTTGAACTTGATTGGGCAACCATAAAAAAAGTTATTAGAAAAAAACAGAAAATTTGTGGACGGAAGAGTGACAGACGGACAGACAGACAGACAAACAGACGGACAGACAGAGTGATTACTATAGGGCACCCGCAAATCCTTGCGGGGCCCTAATTAAACTTTATATGAGTTCTTATTCTAAAAAAAATGGCATAAAACCTATACTGCTTGACAGGAGAGTGAAGATATATATTTAATAATGCAAAATGTATTTATTTTATCGAATATTCGAATATATTCGAATACTTCTATCGAATACAGCATATATAAAAACCTTGGTAAACATGGTAAAGTGATAGTATTCAAACTTGTACTCTTCTAAATACAATGCATGTAATAATTACTCAGCAAATTATGTCTCTTTGTACTCAAAGTTCTAGATGTTTTGGGTCAATTGATTAGTGAACCAAACCATAACTTCTTGAATGAAATTATAATGGAGGTCATATATTGTCAACAAGATACTAATTGATTGGTTACCATATTTATTCAGTACAATGAGAAGCAATTTTTCTTATCCTTGCCTCAACATAAACAAGGTAGTGTACAATTCCTTAAACAACAGAAATTCATCTTTTGCTCAAAAGTATTCAAAGGCTTCAATATAAGAACTGTAACAGGAGAGGAGAAAATGCAGTGGACCCAGGCCCCTGAATCTCTGGACAGGTGCTCTACCAACTAAGCTATCTGACTACCGCCGATTGAACCTGGCTGATCACCACATTCCTCCCTCCTTAAAAGGTCTTTGGTCCCTCACAGACCCCAACCCAGGTTCATCCCTGGCAGGCCTCTCACCTGTCAGTATCAGGGCATGGCACTGCACCAAATGTAATGGGAGAGGAGAAAATGCAGCAGACCTGTAAGACCAGGATTCAAACCCAAACCCCTGAATCTCTGGTCAGGTGCTCTACCAACTGAGCTATCTGGCCACCAGCGATCAAACACAGCTATTACCACAAAACTATCTTTGTTTTGGGTTGCTTTTTTTGATAGCCTACAGTACAATATATGAAAAGTCAAATACTTGCTTTTTCTCTTTTTCTAACAAAAAACATTTGTAGAAAAACTGCATATAAATAGATTTAGTGAGCTTAATGAAGCTATACAGCTATTTCAAGCTAAGTTACAGCTTTAAATCAAGAGATTGTGCTGGACCTGTTAAATGGGACCAATTCTATTTTGTTAAAAATAGAATTCATATCACATCAACTAAATCTGCTAATCAATGCTAATAGAGGATAGCAAATACGACCATAAACCGCTTGAAGTGTGGCAGAGACTTATGTTTTGAATTCTCTCTTTTTCACCCTGGGACTAGGAGCAAGCCCTTGTGATGAAAACAACGTGTAACTTACAAACTGTTATAATGTATAAAAATAATAATTGCTTTTTTTATGCATAACTTTGAGTTCTAGGATACCACTATTTGATACTAAAAATAAAAAAATCTAGCTTCGGTAAATCAATAATACAAAATGCAGTGTACATTGACTTAAACAGAACTGACTCACCTGAGGGAGCTACCTCCATCTTTTCTACTTTCAGTTTCGGTCGGTGCGTCGATTTACCCAAAATAACCCAAAAGGACCCAAAAGGAAATAAAGAACGACCCAAAAGGACTTGAAAAAGGAAAATAAATGGATATATAATAAACACTTTCATGTTTTATTAAAACTAAAACTAGTGTGTTGAAGGAAAAGTGTGTGTTTGGAGGGGGGGGGGGTAGGGACGGGAGGTCCCCCCCCCCACCCCCACCCCATCCTTGATACCATATGCCTAGAACATGTGATAAAATAAAACTTATTTCTTTACTTATCGAATATCATATAGTAAGATATGGTAAAACAGAAGGAGAAATAAAATAATACTTTGTTAAGGGGGGACCTACATGTATGTCGGAAAAGTCTTTGTGTGAAATTTTCAAAACTTTGACATTTCTTTCCTGACCACTTGCTCTTAATTTTCAGGTATTAAAAACAATACCTTTATATGCTTTTTTTACACAGGAGCACGTGCAAAAACAATGTGAAATGCTAAAAATAGATTATTTTTAGACATTATTGTTCTACCCCAAATATGCGCTAAAAACAACCAAAAATGTCAAAACACATTCAAATTCAACATTATTTAATTTATATGACTTGTATTTTTCAAATGAAGGCTAATTCATTGTAATTCATCTCGCATGAAAAAATATTTTGGAGCACAATGTAAGTATTCCCCCTTTTTCTTGTCGTATTTTTTAAAATTCCAACATGCGTAACAGGTAATATCTTTAAAAGTCTTTGTGTGAAAATGTTGTAATTCATATTTTTAATAGAAATGATTCATCTCTTTATTTTAACAAAGAAAAAAGTATACCTTTATGATAAAATAAACGAGAAATATGATGTTTTCTTTTATTTTCGCACTCTTGTGTCGTAAATATTGACTTTTCTGCACTTAAGAAGGTAAGTAAACACCGACAAACATCTGAATATAAAACTATTTTACGAAAAACAAGTCATATATATGTTTTGATTAGAAACTAAATTCTTATCTTCTTCATACCGATCGTTCTGTTTCTCTCCCCCCCCCCCCCTGCATTTCCCCGTCGACAACCAACACCTAGGAATGACTTTGTACAATAAATTCTACATGTACTATAAATCGTTAAGCAAATATAGATACAAGTACATTTCTGAATTTTTTCTCTTAGTTTTATCCAGAAAACACAATTAATGGGTAACAAAATCAAACATATTTCCATAATTTAAGCCGCTTTCTTTGCTGAATTTTATTTTATCTTTTTGCCCTTATATATCAGCATATCATCGAGGTATTTCTTCACAACTGAAATTGCTATGAATTATCAACCAAAGGAAGAGAATTCTAATATTAACAAACTCCATAAATCAAATAAAACTGTTATGAATAAATTTTCTTTTTGTAAATTGTGTACGTTATTGATTATTAGCAATGTAATGCCTATATCACAGTTGCAAAAGTCAACAGGTAAAAAACAAACGTCGCTATTGTGACGTCACATAACGCTGCTTTGACGTAGAACGACATAGGTCCCCCCTTAATTTCAGCTAAAAGAAATCAAAGCATATCTGACCAGATCTAGTGTTTGATGTGTAATAAAAGTCGTATGTTATTTCTTTCAGAAAAGTTGCAACAATATAAATGTATGTTTTTGCCAACTTTAAGATAAACTTATAATATAATATTCATAATTTAATTCAAGTAATTAATTTTCATTGTATCATAATATATTAATTTGAGTCCTTTTGATTTCCTTTTGGATCGATTTACCCAAAAGAACCCAAAAGGAACTTAAGAACGACCCAAAAGGACTTCAAATAAAGAGAATAAATGGATATAAAATAAACACTTTCATATTTTATTAAAACTAAAACTATTTTTTGAGGGGAAAGTGTGTGTTTGGGGTGGGCTGATCAGATTTAGTGTTTGATGTGTTATAAAAGTCGTATGTTATTTCTTTAAGAAAAGTTGAAACAATATAAATGTATGTTTTTGCCAACTTTTAGGTAAACTTATATAATATGAATATTCATAATTTAATTCAACTTATTCATTTTTAATGTATCATAATATATTAATTTTAGTCATTTTGATTTCCTTTTGGGTCCTTTTGGGTAAATCCACTCACCCTCTTTTAGTAAAACCTTGGATTTTTTTTTTTACTATGGCGCCCATGATATTCGAATTGGATAAAGGGTTGGCGGTTTTGATATGTTTGTTTATTGCAGTTATTTATGTTGGAAGTCTTTATGTCTGGGTTGATGATAAGAACAAAAGCAGGTAATTTAGAGTTCTTTAATTTTAATCAGGTGTGATGCACTCCTGTCCCAAAATGTTGACAATGGTTGGTTTCATTTTACCAAAGGAGAAAAATGCTTTAAAAAAGTCTTTCATCACAAAACGGCAGTACCCCCCCACCCCCACCCCCCCCCCCCCCCACACACACACATACAACACTATGGATGGAAATATTATTTCCCCAGCAATTTTCGCAGTCTCCTTTGGCAGCTCACTTTGAAAAATAGGCCTACGTGGATAATTTACAATATAGGCTGTTTCACAGTAACTGCGGTACTGCTCTTTTGCAGGGCAAAATGATATAGTTTGGTGAAATATGACGTAAAAGTAATTGTTAAATATACGTCAATTAATTATCTCTCAACAAAAACTTCGCCAAACATTATTATTTTGCCCTGCAAAGAGTAATACCGCAGTTATTGTGAAGGGGCTACAATTAAGCGCATTGAAGTGGTAAAATTTTCTATTTGGATGAAACGTTCTGAGTCATGCTTTGACTGTCAATTATAACATAACGACACGCCCATTTCTTTAGAAACGAGAAAGAAATATTTGTCGTAATCTTTTAGGGCACCCCACTTTCCGCGACAAACAACATGAGTTACACTACATTGTAAATTGAAGATTTTTAAATACGTATTCTAACTTTGGTGAGGGCTTGTCCCGAGACACAGTTTAATTATTCTAACTAGTTCACCCTGAATGGGTTCAACCCCATGTGGTTTTCATCAAACATAGAATGTTACTTACTTACTTATGCCTGCTACCCCTTTTGGGGCATAGGCTGCTAACAAGATTCCTCCAGGCCCCTCTATCCTGGGCAATATTTTCTACCTCCTTCCAGTTCTTCCCCATTCTCTTGATGTCTGCCTCCAAGTCTCTCCGTCAGGTGTTCTTTGGCCTCCCTCTCTTACGTTTTCCTTGGGGGTTCCAGGATAGGGCTTGCCTTGTGGTGTTCTTATGTGGCTTGCATAGAGTATGCCCTATCCACCTCCACCTTCTCTGTATTATTTCTGTTTCTGTAGGGGCTTGGTTGATTCTTTGCCACAGATTGGTGTTACTTATTTTGTGGGGCCATCTAATCTGGAGGATGCGTCTCAGACAAGAGTTGACAAATGTCTGTATCCTGTTTAATGTGGCAACAGTCATCCTCCATGTCTCGGAACCATAGAGAAGCATTGCTTTGACATTGGTGTTAAAAATCCTAACTTTGGTGCATGTTGTTATTCCCCTGGACTTCCAGATGTTTCCAAGTTGCAGAAATGCTACTCTTGCCTTTCCTATTCTTGTCTTTATGTCAGCTTCTTTTCTTCCTTGTTGGTCCACTATGCTGCCAAGGTAGGTGAAATGTTCAACTTCCTCTATTTCCTGACCTTCTTTATAATGGAGCATGTGATGATGTGTTTGCTCTTAGGATCTTTGTTTTTGTGATGTTGATGTTGAGTCCTATCTGTGCTGATGTTTCTGTCACTGTTGTTATTTTCTCCTGCATTTGTGCCTGAGTATGTGATAGGAGCGCCAGGTCATCCGCAAAGTCGAGGTCATCTAGCTGTGACCATGGTGTTCACTGTAATCCATTTCTTCTATTGTCTGTGGATGATTTCATTATCCAGTCTATTGCAAGAAGAAACAGAAAGGGTGACAAAAGGCATCCTTGTCGAACTCCTGTTTTTACTTCAAATGGTTCTGTCAGTTGTCCTCTATGTATGACCCTGCATATCAGGTGTTCATATGAGTTGCGAATGATATTCACCAGTTTACAAGGAACTCCATAATGTCGCAGAAGTTTCCATATTGTCTCCTTGTCAACACTGTCAAAGGCTTTCTCGTAATCTATGAAGCCTATGTAGAGTGAGGAGTTCCATTCTGCACATTGCTCGATGATTATACGTAACGTTGCTATCTGGTCCGTACAAGATCTATTTTTACGAAAGCCAGCTTGTTGGTCACGTAACTTATCATCCACTTCTTCTTTCATCCTGTTTAGTATGATCCTGTTGAATACCTTCCCAGGAACATCCAACAGTGTTATTCCTCTATAGTTGGCACAGTTGCTAAGGTCTCCTTTTTTTGGCAGCTTGATTAGGTATCCTTCTTTTCATTCTTCTGGGATTGTTTCTGTCTCCCATATTTTCAGAAAAAGTGGATGGAGTATGTTGGCTGAGTTGTCAAAATCTTCTTTAAGTGCTTCTGCCGGGACGTTATCAGGCCCTGCTGACTTGCCATTCCTCAGATGTTTTAGGGCTATTTTGATTTCCTCCTTAGTAGGAGGTCCCAAGTCTATGTCTAGGTCTTCATCTGCTGGTGTATTGTTAGGAGGGTTGGATGGAACTGGCCTATTCAACAGTTCTTCAAAATGTTCTTTCCATCTCCTTCTTTGTTCTTCTTCCCCTTCTAGTTGTTTCCCTGTCTTGTCTTTCACTGGCCTGTCTTGTTTACTTTGCTTCCCAGCTAGCTTCTTTGTTATGTCAAACAGATCTTTCATATTTCCTGCTTTTGCAGCTTGTTCTGCTTCTGTTGCCAGTTCCTCGATGTATCTTCTTTTGTCAGCTTTAATACTTTGTTTTGTTCTCTTGTTGGCCTCTGCATACTCTTTTTGTGCTTTTGTTTTTTCAGCTCTTGTTCTGCTTGAATTGACCACAGCCTTCTTATCTTTCCTGTACTTTTTTAATCGTGTCATTTGTAATCCAGTCTTTATGATGGTACCTTTTCACTCCAAGTATTTCATGGCAGCTTGTTGTGATGGTTTCTTTTATCCCTTTCCAATGCTCTTCAACTGTTGTTAGTTCACCTATTTCTTGTAGGGCTTGGTATTTGTTTTTCACCGCAGTCTTGTACTCTTATAAGATTTGAGTATCTTGGAGAAACCTGGTGTTATATCTGATTCTCTGAGAGTTTCCTTCTGTTTTCATTTTTTTGAGCTTCAGTTTGCTGCTGCCTGTCAGTAGATGGTGATCTGAGGCCACATCTGCTTCTCGTTTGACTCTGGTATCCTGCAAAGATCTTCTAAACTTTTTATTGATCCATATATGGTCTATCTGCTTTTCAGTTTTCTGGTCTGGTGATACCCAGGTGGCTTTGTGGATTCTTTTGAGCTGAAATAGAGTGCCACCAATGACCAGTTTGTTGAATACACATAAGTTTGCTAACCTTTCACATTTTCATTCATTTGGCCTAGTCCATGTTGTCCCATGATCTCACTATATCTGGTGTTATCATTTCCAATTTTGGCATTAAGGTCTCCCATCATGATGGTAACATCTCTTTCTCTACAAGTGTCAATAACGCTTTGGAGTCTGTTGTAGAACTCATCCTTTGCCTCTTCCTATGCATCATTTGTAGGAGCATAGCATTGTATAACATTTGTGTTAATCCGTTTATGTTTTGTTTTAAATGATGCCTTTATAATCCTTGGGCCATGTGCTTCCCAACCTATTAATGCTTCCCTTGCTGTTTTGGATAGCATGATTGCCACTTCTTGAGAATGCAGTGAATTTTCTTCTTCATGCCCGGAATAGAGGAGTAATTCATCTGTAGTAAGTCTGCACTGTCCTGATTGAATCCATCTTGTCTCACTTATGCCAAGCAGTGTAAGATTGTAGTTTCTCATCTCTGCTGCAATTTGCGCTGTTTTGCCTGCTTCGTACATGGTTCTTACATTCCAAGTTCCTACATTGATAATTCTGGGTCCGAGAAGGGTTTTCGGCCTTGTAGTTTCCTTCTGTCTCTGTCTTTCACCACGTGGCGTCCTTCGTCTTCCTTTTGGAGAATTTTCTCCTCCAGAATTTGAGATGTCTTGATCAAATCTTGCTTGCGTTTCTGTAGCGTTTGTTGTTTTACATGGTAGTTGCTAATCCTGCGCACAACCCCCTGAACCCGGAGGACCGGTGGTTTTCTGTTGGGGTTTTCCTTCCCTTAGTCACAGGTTCCAGCTATTTAAAGGCACTGGAGACTCGCCTTTTGCCACTGTCACTCAGCTACTGAAAGCATTTCCAGGGCCACCACGGGGAGGTGTGACATGTGACTAGCTGGCAGAACCTATTTGAGACGATATGCATTAACTCGAAGTTTTGATAGTGTAACTTAGTGACATCAGTTACACCCTTCGAGACCTTTACCAGCCTTTGACCCCAAACATAGAATGTACTTGATGTTTATTACTTAAGCAAATTAAAGTCCAATTGATCAGTTGTCATGCTTAGATTAATTCAATTAATGAACACTTAAAGTGAATTAAATAATAAGTTGTTAATCAATACTAAGGAATTAATTCCCTTTGTTATAACAATATATTAAAGACTTTTTTTTCAAAAAACATGAACACAAGGAAATTACACTACTGTCACGATTCATCTTAGTTTAAATGTGTTTATAAATAAATTTAGTTTAATTGTCTTAATTTTATTCCAACAATTTCTATTTTTTCTGAAATTTTGAACAAAGAAGATTTTGTTTATTAAAAATGCAATCAAATAGGTATTAGGTTTTTGTGTGTGTGTGTGTGTGTGTGTGTGTGTGTAGATGGATTGCTTTAGATTAATGAAAAATGTTGCAATATTACCATGCATGCAAGAATGCAAGAACCATAAATATAGAATACTTGTAATTAGTGTATTAAAGCAATCTGCCAAAATCCACATGTGCAAAAATTTGAAATCTTTCCTTATAGATTGAAGGTAAACTGGAGGTGAAACCACTCAGAGCAAACATAATTTCGGCAAACCCATCGATTACCCAGTGATGTAGCTAAAGGTTCAGACAATGAATACAAAATTAGTCCAAACAGATTCATGCATTTATTAGGGACCTACATTGGTCCCTGCATGGCCATATTTTTACTTGGTGAAAGAAAAGTTAATAGAATACAGAGTTAAGACTCACAAATAAAAAGTGAATTTTTTTTGGTAGAGTTTGGTTTTTAGAAATAGAGATTTCTGATTGACATTAAAAAATATCACTTCCAAATCTCTGTATTATAAGATATGTCTTTGACATTAAGGAATCAGCTTGGTCTGGTAAATAATGTATGGCCTGGAATTTTTGTTGCTAGACTTAAATGTAGTAAAATTTTAAACTTTCAGGTAGACTGTATATTGTTGGTCTTTGACTGAATATTTTGTGATGTGAAAATAATTTTGGTACAAAGTTATTTAGTTGTTCTGTGGTATCCTTGAATAAATTTAATTCTAGTGTTGTCACGATGATCGATTTATAATCGATAATCGGTCGGAAAGGCTGTCGATTTTAGACAATTGATTTGAGATTTTAACAGTCGATTATAATAGGTATAATACAGCACATATATTTTTACTGTTTTCTCACTTTTATCTCAAGGAAAAAGCTCTTGTCATCAATATCATTATATCTTCCATATAAATTAAGATTATCCAAGTGTTGTCATTTACCATCATAACATACTTAAAATCAGCTGGTTTAAAATGAGAAGTTGGTTTCCTTCCAGATAAGTAAGACTTTGCTTGACCGTATAAAATAAATTGCAAGATAGTAATGATATTTTTACAATTATCAATCAAACTGCATACTGTATTTAGAATTTTAATCTTTACAATACACCTTAACTTACATTATAATAAATTCATATTAAATTCTACATTTTACATGAAATTTAGTGCCTATTTTATACAAATAGTTACCAATTCGATTATTGGCCGATAATCAGTTGGTTAAAGTCAACCGATGCTGCCGATTAATCGATTCTGATTTTCAACCGATTTGACAACACTATTTAATTCTGCCTTGCAGGGACCATCCAGACACCATTAAACGGCGCTTTACCAGTGTATCCGTCATTTGTGTGGTTATTCCAATTCTCCTGCAATGCTTTGGAACATCTTCAGATTCAGAAAATGTAAGATCTGTGCTCTACTTGCCACTCATTTTAGCTGAAATTGTCATTAGAAGTGTAACTCGCTGAAATTTTTTTTAATATGTGAGCAACAAATCCAGAATCCTTTTGCCAATATTTATCATATTTGTGTACTTAAGCAAATGACCTTAATGTATGTTAGTAATACTTAAAGGGATGCTCTCATAAAACCTTCCCCTTTTTTTTTTAATGAAATTATAGGTGAAGAATTTAATTTTTAATATATTTTATTTCTTGTGTATAAAATAATGAAAAGCAGTACAAGTTTTATCACCGTTCACTCTGACATGTACACTTTATTTTTAGCTCTACTGGTTCACTCTGACATTTTTCAAAACGCTACACTTTTGGTCTGATTTTTTAACTACACAAGTAGACTACACAAAGGTACATAAAATAGGCATCGGATTTTTATTTCATGACCGGTGTTGCCATGGTTACTAAAAATAGAATTTTCTGTGAAATTCCTTTAAAATGCTACTCCTCCTACAGTTTTGATCTGATTTCAATATAACTTGGCACAAAAGTAGACTATACAAAGATACATAAAACAGTGCATCGGATTTTCATTTCGATTACCGGTGTTGTCATGGTTACTAAAAATAGAATTTTCTGTAAAATTCCTTTAAAATGCTACTCCTCCTACAGTTTTGATCTATTTCAATATAACTTGGCACACAAGTAGAAACAAAGATAATTATCGCATAATGGTTACTCCTTTAAATGCTAAATTAACTTGGCACAAAAGTGCATCTGTTGAACGATGTTGTCATGGTTACTAAAAATAGAATTTTTTTGTGAAATTCCTTTATATATTTTGACATATACACACATTGTATCCTTTTTGATTTGAATGGTGTTGTCATGGTTAAAAATAGAATTTTCTAAATTCCTAAAATCATCCTCCTATAATTTTGATCTGATTTCAATATAACTTGGCATACAAGTAGTCTACACTATTATACATAGAATAGTGCATCAGATTTTGATTTCGATGAACGGTGTTGCCATGGTTACTAAAAAAAGAATTTCCTGTGAAATTCCTTTAAAACGCTACTCCTCCTACAGTTTTGGTCTTTGCAATATAACTTGGCACACAAGTGTACTGATATATAGAGTAGTTCGGTATTTTGATGAAAGTGTTGCCATTGTTACTAAAAATAGAAATGTGTGAAATTCCTTTAAAATGCTACTCCTTCTACAGTTTTGTTTAGCCTTCTTTTCTCATTGTTATTTTTTTCACAACCGTGGTTAGGAATACGCACATACTGAAATGAAATTTGGTATAAATAAATTCAATTATGACATATATTACATATAAACATTGTATCCTTTGCTTTGAAGTGTTGCTTTACAGCATATAAAATCTAGGTGAAGTTTTGTTTGGGTATGATCACATCATTTTTGACAGAGTTATGCCCCTTGGACTTAGAAAAATTCCAATTATTTGCAGTTTCCATTCATTTTCTTCGCAACCGTTGCTTATACTGAAATGATATTCAGTATACAGATTTATCAGATAAACAATTAGGTCAAGTTTTGTTTGGGGTAGGATCGCCACATTTTTGACAGAGTTTTGGCCATTGGACTTAGAAAAATTCCAATTATTTGCAGTTTCCATTCATTTTTTTTCGCAACCGTTGCACATACTGAAATGATATTTAATATTCAGATTTATCAGATGAATATCTAGGTCAAGTTCTGTTTTGGGTACGATTGTTCCATTTTTGGCAGAGATATGCCCCTTGGACTTAGAAAAAATTCCAATTATTTGCAGTTTCTATTCATTTTCTTTGCAGGGGTTGCACATACTAAAATGAAATTTAGTATACAGATTTATCAGATAAATATCTAGGTCAAGTTCTGTTTTGGATACAATCGCGCCATTTTTGACAGAGTTATGTCCTGTTGGACCTAGAAAAATTCCAATTTGGGAGAGGGGGCATAAGTGTTTTACAAACATCTCTTGTTACAATAAATCTTTTTATGAAAATTTTATATAGTAACAGCTGGAGTACAATTATGTAAAATAAAAATTGTGATTTTATCTTTTCCATGAATTTAATTTGGGAATAAAATTTTCATTTATGAAAGTAAATCTTAATGACATTTTTAAGGAAACATGGCTAAAACTTTATTATACTTGATATATTCTCTGATTTATAATTCAGAGTTATTTAAGTAAAAGATCCATTTTATTCATTATAAATGTTTATTTTTTTGTGATAAAATATTCAATAAAATTTCCTAATAAGTGAAAAACTGTTGTTGAATTCACAATTACAAGGGCCTATAAATAAAATATAACACACAAATGAACATAAATTCCTTATAGATTTTAGCACAAACCTATTCGTGCTGAGATCAAAACAAATAAATTCCATAATATATAGGGTACCACCCATTTGCAAGTCTCGCATAAAGAAGAATACACAAATATACACATAGAGAGCTTATTTTAGGCTTCTTCATGAAAATGGTAGTTTTTCTATGCATGCCTATATACATGTATTATACTTTACAGATTAAGTCAATAACGTTTTATTGTTTAGTACCATAAGCTGATTTTAAGAATCCTTATAACCAATGTTTTCTTTTATTTTCCTAGGTTCTCTTCTTGGGACCCTTAACACTTCACTATGTAGATGGTGTATTTAGAATATATTTAGGTAGAAGTCTTTATTCCTTTACTAAGGAAACTAATAAACTGCTGAATGTTTGAATATTAATGTAAAAAGAGAGTTGTATTCATTGAATTCAGTTAATTTGAAATCCAGCGTAAACAAATCTTGAAATTGTTCCATTTCAGAACCAAGATACTGGACCAATAGTTTGAAAAACCTTATCTGGATAAGAAACCACATAGTTGTAAGTTACTAATACTAATTATCTATTAGAAAACTACTGGATGTAATAAAATATCTACAAAAATTGTACAGATGGAGTGTTTTTCTAAAACGAAACAATACATTCTTATGGTACATGTATATTCACTATCTTGAAATTTGGTTAGTCTACTGGTACCACATACTGTAAAATCACATGTTTTCGTGGGTGCAAATTTTTAAGGTTTAAGATAAAAATTATTGATATGTTGAGATTTGATTTTGTGATTGGAGAAGTGTTGAGTAATAATGCATATGAAATTTTACATTTCGTGGTCGTCATGAATTCGTGGGTCTCTCCATACCTCGAAATCAATAAAAATTAAATCCCTATGAAAATTAATGTTTTCACAGTAATATATTTCTATTGAATATAGGATTTTTTTTTAGGCCCCGATACAAAAATTAGTTGCCTCTAATGCACCATACATGATTATCCATATTTCTATTGACTGTAAAGGACTGTTTTCTATATTTTGCTTTTGACTGTATATAATAAAGCCTGTATGTTGCCTCTGTTTTTTTTCTAGGCTCCCGATGTATGTTGCCTCTGTTATTTTTTCTAGGCCCCGATATCTGAGGAGATGATCTATAGAGCCTGTATGTTGCCTCTGTTAGTCCCATGCTTTGGGAGTGGAATGTCTGTCTTCTTATGTCCACTGTTCTTTGGTGTAGGTAAGAAAACTCACTTTAAATGTTAAACTACTGACTTGGATAGCTATATTGTGTTGAGTGTACATAATGGGCTTCAGGGGCCAGTTTTACAAATTAAACTGGACAATAGACGACTTTCACATTTACAAAAGTTATTCCCCTTTGCAGGGTCAACCATCATGAAACACTGTTTTCCCTCTGTAATACTACCAAGTACCAACTTCATGGGGCAATATCTTACACATAAAATCTGTATGAATATATAAGTTCAATAATCATTATGTTCTTCATGTTGCTGAGTGTTCTAGCAATACAGGTACAGATTGAAATTGTCCCATAGCACTTAAAGCACCTAAAAAATATTTATTGGTAACTTACAAAAGACAAAGTGAGAAAAATGAGTGTTCAGCCAACAATGAGAGAAAACTCTAAGGAATTTGAAATTTGTTTATCCTCATCATTATTCTTGGTTTTTATAGTTTTCAAATTTACCATAAACAATTATGAACCAGATATACATGTATGTTTGAAAACATGTTGCTTTTCATTTAAAATCTTGCAATTCTTTTTAAGATTAAAAAGGTGATTCCCGATTTTGATTAAAAATTTATAGCAATTTTTTTTTTGCAGCACATTTTCATCACATGATTGAGAAAGTTATACAAGGGAGACAAGCCCTATCAGAGGCATTTAAACAATCATGTAAGTCAAATTTACATCTTGATTGTTTTGAATGTAAAAAGAACTTATTATTCTGTCAGATTTAATCTTCTTGTTGTTTTTCTTCAGTCACTGATTCCTATGTTGTGCTCTTGTTCACTTTGTGAAATTGTTGTACATACATGTGTAAATGTTCAAGAACAAAATGTTCATTTTAAAGTATCCAGCTCTATTACAAAACATTTGACAGAATATTTACTATTTCAGTGTTCCAGCTCTGTTACACAACATTATTTGGTGCCTACTCTGCATTCTTATTCCTAAGAACAGGTACAGTATTCTTTTGCCTATGATGTCTTTAAATAAGTGTGGTAAGGAAGTCTGGCTTTCATGTTAATCATGTTTTTCATGGTGTATCACAAATTCTCACCTGTACAATACTGCTGACTTAATTGTAGGACATTTCATCGCCCCAGTGGTGGTACATGCGTTCTGTAATCACATGGGTTTCCCAGCCTTCCGTGAAGTCATGGCCCACCCTAACACAGAGACACGTCACAAGCTCATCGCCAGTTTTGTAATAGGACTTGTTCTTTGGATGGCTCTGCTATACCCTATTACCTCCCCTTTTATTTACAGCAATGACATATATGATTTATAAAGGAAAAGGAAGTATCAAGACTTGGTGACCATTTTAGATTTTAATTTTTGTTATTTATGATGTTAGCACGAAAAAATGAATGCCAGAGTGTATGTGTTGTGTCTGAATGAAGGAAAATTAAGAGAAAAATTAATGTATGAATTGTGTGATGCAGATATAAATATAGTGATTCATGACAGTAATATCCCAAACAATTGAATTTTCTCTTTAAAACTCTAATGAAATGCAAAATGTGCTTTCTGTTCAATCCAAGGCAATTCTAATCACAAGTCTGTAATAAATCACATGCATTAGCTTATTAAGCACTGTGTTTTAATATTTAAAGGTACGCACAGCATCCATTTCTTTTATATATTTTAATAGCACTATATATATATAAAAGTTATCAAAACTTCATTTTTTGACAACAATTTTAACCTCCCTTAGAAAAGTGGCAATTGAATTTTCTCTAATTTTAAAATTCAAAACTACATCATCAATACAAAATATGCTTTCTCTTCAATCCAAGGCAATTCTAATCACAAGTCAGTAATAAATTACATGCATTAGCTCATATTAATGAAGTCAAGATGAACTTTTTTACCTTGCTATTTAAGTCAGTATCCCAAGTGTTTTAAGGTTCTGAAAGCAAATAGGGCAGCAAATTTTCAGACAGGACAGGACCTGAGAATCTGAGGATGATTGTTTGTGAGCCTTTGTTGGAGGGGTTATAGTTTATGTTGGCGGTGTCTGGTGTAATAGGCAGTATTTTTAGTATCTTGTTTTCACAGTATTTTAAGTGTGGCATAATAGGGATGATGAATGTATTTCATGTAATGCTTTTTTATTTTATTTTTGAATGATTTATTTTATAAAAACCATATAATCATTAGTGCATTTGTTTTAGAAATTAAGAAAGTCACAAAACAGGGTTGAGAAAAGTGTAAGACTGAGGGACTTTGAATAATTACATATTTTTCCTTCACAATACATATATATAATACTTTGTCTTTGTGTTCAGCCAGGATATGATATACATGTACTATATAATGGGGATTTTTAGCGATTATCTAATTTTGGCATTATTAGACATTAGTGATGGTTTTGGTATTGCTAAAAATGTGTGCTGCTAATAATTCAATCACAAAAAAATACTTTATAGATATGCTTATCTTGTAAATTGGTTAAAAATGATATTCACTTATAATTGGCAACATCTGGTAAAAAATCACTAATTTTGCCTTTTGCTAAAATAGCTTGTTATATAGCACATTAAAACTTGTTTTATTCAAACAGGAATATAGCATATCCATAAATATAGTCATTTTTTTTGGGGGGGGGGGCAATGAAACATTTAGCAATTTCAAAATTTTACAGTGATGTCACATAGATATAATAAATCTGGAGGTACATTGAATTAATTTTGATCTCCATTGCATTAGGTTAAGAATAACAAAATATACATCTTTAATAATGAATTATTAGCATCCAAAGAAGATCGTTATAAAACATTTACATGTATTTTCATGAGAAATTTACAAATGTAATGCTGCTTTCTTTGTTCTCTCTGATATGTTTTACTTTTAATATTTTAATGAGCTTCTACATGATCATCAGAATAAATTAGTCATACCTCATCATCTCAAACTCAATGGGATCCAAAAAAAATCTTCGAATGTCTAAGGATTTGAGATGTTGAGGTTAACACCCCCCCCCCCCCCAAAAAAAAAAAAAAAAAGAAAGAGAGGGAAAAATTAAAAAGGAAGTTGGGACTTCCAAGCCATTACAACATATCCATGTTTTAGAAATTTCAGTGTTCATGATACCAAGTTCAACTTATATTTTTATGAATGAATGTAAAATATTATTGTTACTGCCAAGAAAAACAACATGTACCCAGGACTATCTAAAACTGAGTTTTACAATATTTAAGGCTTTTCAGTTTCATTGTCAATACTCTCATTTGTTTTATTTAGTAGTCTGAAGTAAACATAAAATATAATTTATGTGCAATATAATTTTGTACATAAAATATAATTTATGTGCAATATAATTTTTTATTTATAAACTTAAAAAAGTGCAACGCTGAACTCAGAAGTTTATGTTTATCATTGTAAGCATAATTTTTTTTATTCACCCTGGATTATATTGCCCCCTCAGACTCTTAAGATTCAATGAAGTGAAGTTTCAAATGATTAATTTTGTTTCAACCATTGGTTTTCAAACTTACTTTTTTGAGTGTATTGAGCTAGATCTACTACTGTATCAAAATGGTAACTGTTCATATATTGTGCAATGCTGATTTCTCTATTGTATGCATAATTTCCATTTCCTGACACGTACATGTACATGTAGTGGTCTTTTAAAAATTATAGAAATTTATAAGATTCTGTTATTATTTTTCCATGTTGTTCAAAATTTAGTGAACAAATTCCATAATTAGTGGGGGGGGGGATGTGGGTTGTGGGTTGTGGCGTGTCAATTTCATCAAACCTATAGGTAGCTAAGTAGTCCCAGATCTGTGTAAAATATCAACTGATCATATGTGTATGTCACAATTCTTACATAAGTACATTTAATAACCAACTACACATAAGATATTGAGGTTATTTGGTACGACAGTAATATGGGTACAAATTTAATGGGTACATTCTTTGTGTTGAACTGCTTCGTGTAAATAATCATGTCATTGCAGATTTTATCACACATAATGAGTTACATAATACAACAACTTTTTGAGATGATGTAGTTTTGTTTTGTCTTATTAGTCATTTCTTTGTTGTAACTTGTTAAAACAATAAATAACACAATGTGAAGCATCTGTTGTTTTGTCTGCAGACTTAAGTCTTTGTGAGTTGTCTTTTTGGAATAGAAATAAATTATGATACATTCAGAGGTGAACATACCTCAGCCAGTTATGGGAGCTTTTGTAATACTCTTGGCATCTGCATCCAGCATTCAAGTTTTGGGAGCAGATTTCTTTTCAAGTACTTCTATGCCCTACATGAAGAGGAGATACATGAAGAAGCTTTGAGTATTGTTCATTGTACCAGTTTGGATTTCAGCTGTATTTTTCAGCCAAAGAATGACCAGGTTGTTTCTGGAGCAGATTAAAATATTTAGAGCAGCTTCATTTCAAGTAACTTTAAGCCCTGTGTTGAACAAACTTGACTATTTTACATGGATGATACATTTAATGGTGTACACTACCAGACAAGCTTAAGGTGCTGCATATGTTATATATTTTTCAAATGAGTGCATGTATCTATGTTAAATTACTTTGGACACCTTCACTCTGAGGTATCTTTGAGTTCTATAACCCCTATGCTTTCCAGCCATGCATTAATTAAAGGAAGTGAACCTTGTTTTTGTTGACACACCCCACCAGACTTACTTTGGATGCTGATAATGACATTTATTTTCGGATGAGTGACCAAGTTGAAGGTTTAGAAGGAGGTACATCTAGGGGTGGATGCTATATTTCCATGTCCCGCTGCTGAGGGTTTCACTACAATATTGATGGATTAATTGTATGTTGTTAAATGTCCCTCTTGAGAATTTTTCACTCATATGGAGATGCCACCACTTGCCAGTGGAGAGCTACAAATTTTGTCCTATACTTGGCATTGAGGGCCATTGAGCAGGGAGGGATCTTTTTTCTGCCAGCACCTACTGTGACACGGGACCTCGGTTTATATGGAATCATCCGAAGGACCGGTCTCTACAGTCTGTAGTACTTTTGTAAATGTCTCTTGCATAACTTTTCTTGAGAATATAAATTCCTAAATGATTACTGTCTACAGAAATACCACTATATCCAGTTGACAAGTTTTGTAGATGGCTTTAGCTAGCCTCACTGAGTATGAGATTGTTTCAATACACAGTAACAAACTAATTTTAATTTTATGAAAACTATGAGAAATATACTCAACAAAAAAAGAAACGCATAATTTTAACTCATCAAATGAATTTTTAAAAACGTATATGGAACAATTATCTGTTTTATCATTAAATACCTGTGACCAATTTAATGTACACCATGGGCTTTGAAACCCCAATTGTTGAATTATTTCCCTTGATCAATAATGTTTATGAAAATAGTGCTTTGCATGATTTCTTGTAAATCGAGGGTCTATTTTCAATGAAATTTAGGATTTAGAGAAACAATATACGCTCCTATTGAACCCATATTTTTGCTTTAATTGCAATGTTGATGCTGCAATGCCACGCCTAAACGAAGATGAACGCAATAAGGCTCTAACAATGATTCTAACCGGAACTATGCAACTGGAAGTTGCAACTGCATTTGGTGGACATCAATCGGCTTTGCAGCAGTTAAATGCACTTCTCCACCAGCTAAGAACAGAGATGACAGACCTAGAACTCGCCGTTCGCGGGTTACCACCCCCCAGAAAGGACTGTCACATCCTCCATCATCACCTGCGCAAAAACTGATTGAAATCAGCATAAAGGCACAAATTTTCTGAAGGAGCTGGTATTCGTGACGATATATATATATATATATATATATATATATATATATATATATATATATATATATATATATATATAATATAATATATGCGTTTCTTTTTTTGTTGAGTTTATATATATATATATACAGTATTTACATTAGGATTTTTTTGTGCCTCCCTCTCCCTTTTAAGTTTGATTTGTATCATACATTTAGTTTTTATTGTCAACAACAACTGTGGCTTCTTCAAAGACACATTTTTTATTTGTTCTCTTGAATAAAAAAAAGGACATCTAAACACAAAACAATAGAAAATTTTACAATAAATTAAACATATATTTGTGTACAAGTTGGTATTGGATTGATTGTAAACTCACATTTTTAAATATTCTGCAACAACACTGTGAAAATTATCATTTAAATCTTATGTACACAATTCTGTCTTAAGTTTCAGTACACAGTCATAATTAATCTGCATTCTGAACTAATGTACCCTATAATGAAAGGATGTGTCCATTATTGACAGTATTGACAATTGACAATGAAACTCCATAATACATAACATGGATGATTTTTTTTTATCAATGATTTATATAAAAAAAAAATATGTGACCTGCATTTATTAAGTGAATTTTGTATCACAGTGTTGTATAAAGTATGGTTTCATGACTGAAAAATGATATGTCTTATAAATAAACTCTAGAGAGTGTATTCCTACTCTATACAAAAAGCAATAGGGATTCTTCATACACAGTATAATGAAATAGTTTCTGAGTTAAGGAGGAACCTGTAAACAATACATGTATATACTAGTGATGTACATGTATGTTATATATGCATGTATGTTTTTATACAAGTTTGAATATGTACCCCCAGGTAATACAGTGTATGATACATTAATGTAAACACTTGTTCATTGGCTTCTCTTGTGTGAATATATTATTAAAGCATGCATACATCTTGAATAAAATTCATTAAAACACAACAATATAAATATAGAAGTTATAATGCTACAATCACACTTGAACTTATCAACATTCAGACTAGGGGTGAAGTAACACAGCTGGGATGGAATGGTAGAGTATCCTATTTGTCTGTCTGACATCAAAGTTCATCTTTGTTTTTCTTCATCCAATCATCTACAGATTTGATGTCTTTATTGATCTCCTCAGGGTCATGGGAAGGGAGAGCACTGTTAAAGAATTATTAAACATCATTTATAAAAAATTAGCTTAATCCTCCAGAATGATTATTAAATAAATGAATTCTGATCTGAATAATTGAGAATGTTGGTACATGCATGTAATATTATCATTAGTAAGAGTGTGTTCATTATTTTCACGTCATTTTCAAATGTAAATCCTAATGGCATGTTTAAACAGATATGAGAAAAATAAAATTAGAAATCTGTTGACACTTACTTGACAATAGCAGCAGAAACCTTGTCTATAACACCACCTAAACATAAAGCTAAGTGTAAGACTTGGTTATAAAGTTAAGACGAGCTTAACATAAAGTTTTATAAGTCCTTGGATGTGTAGTCTGACTAATATATATTACAAGTAACTAAGAGCTTTTTAGTACATTAATTATAAACAACATAAGGATTCTCATACCTGGCTGACAAATTGTATCACACACTCCTGAACACAGGTAACAGAATTTGCAATACTGAAACAAAGAAAAAAATGTTTCATTTCATCAAATATTTATAATTATTAAAATACATGTATGTCATAATTTTTTTTTTTTAAATTGACCTGATTGTTTGCTATAAAAGGGCTATAATATTTACAAGAATTCTAACTTTCTATCAAAGTAGTGTGTTCTTTAAATTCATTTTTTTCACGTGAATTATTCATATATGGAATTTATTTATCACCTGGCTAGCTGCAGATCTGTAGCATTATGGTTTTATATATTTGTCTTTGACCATAACGCTAGTAATGCAAAAAAGGTGCAATTTATGGCGCAATATTTTTTGCGCACTTTTGGGGAGAATTTCTCCACTTTCCATCATCAGTCAATTACCTACCTTTCACTCCCAAATTCTAGGCACAATTTTAAAAATTTTAGACCGTAACGCTAGTAATGCAAAAAAGGTGCAATTTATGGCGCAATATTTTTTGCGCACTTTTGGGGAGAATTTCTCCACTTTCCATCATCAGTCAATTACCTACCTTTCACTCCCCAATTCTAGGCACATTTTTAAACTACCAATAATCTGTGTACCGTATAAGTAGAATTTTTAGCGAGGATTTAATTTTGGCATTATTAGAGAGGGTGCTGACATCGCTTAAACTGAATATAGCTAAAAATTTCTTTAGTTAGCATTTTAAAATCCAAAAAATTACTTCTCGCTAAAAATAAAATACCAGTTCTGAGGTAGAAATCGCTAAATTTGCGTCTCGCTAAAATTTCCACTGATACAGTATTTTATCCATCTACCTACCCTTTATAAATGTCTCTACAAGTAATAAACTCGCTAGATTAAAAGTATATGTTAGAATGCTTAAAATTCACTTTAAGCTAGTTTATTGCCTGTAGAGACAACTGTAAACGGTTGGGAGGTGGATAAAATATACATATTGGCTACAGAATGTGTTTAGAATTAGGGAGTGATAGGTAGTTGATTGACCATTGCTAGAAAGTAGAGAAATTCTCCCAAACAGTGCGCAAAAAATGTTGCACCGTGAATTGCGCTTTTTTGCATTATGGGATCTGTAGCATTATGGTCAAAGTCAAATATATAAAACCATAATGCTACAGATCTGCAGCTATCACCTGGCATGCATCACCTGAGGTGTCTTTTAATCTAATCTTTTAATCTTCAACAGTGTTCAATTTACCTTGCACATTTTACAGTTGGGCTTTGATGGGCTAGTTTCACAAGGACAGTCTTTTTCACACAGTTTGCAGAACTGAAAAAGAGCTTTCCTTTTTATTTTCTTATTTTATAAATCAACAATATATTGTTAACAGTCACTTTGCACTTTATGTTACTTAAATGTCAGATACTTAAATTACAACTTTCATTTTTCACTTTTAATAACATTAAATAGTTATTAATTAATTTCAATTCATTTCCTGGTTCGTTTTCATTTCCAAAACTCTGTCCTACCTTGCAGTATTCACAGTATCCACAAACTGAACCTTTGGCATAATCTACTTTTACTGGATCGACTTTCTCTTCCTCGCTCCCTGACTCTGCAGCCAGAGAAAGTGAAAATAGAGCAAGGAAACCCAACAAAAGGAAGTAGCGTGTGTTAAGCTCCATTCTTCTTTAATCAACTGTAGCGTCTTTGCCTCTGTCACTAGAGTCAATGTTGTTGTGTGACGTGTACCTCGTGCTTCCTTTTCCGGGATTAGTAAAAGGGGAAATTCGGAACAGGAATTATCATCGGGTTCGGGTTTTTATTTCGGCAAGCGGTATATCTAGTCTTCCCGACTCCCGACGCCCGACTCCCGACGGTCCCGGATTTGGGATTTTTATGCGATTTCTCTTTTCAAGGTGCACAGAAACTATTCAAACTTTTCAGGCACATTAACTAGGTTTAAATGAATTCACAAGTACTTAAAAACTTTTACAAAATTATGTATTTATTACTGAACCAGATGTTTCACCTGCCAAAAAGCGGTAAATCTAGTACTCTGTTATAAATGTTAAAACCCCAAACGGACACCGATGTTTTCGTGGAATCGCGATTAAAAACAACAAAATCAAGTATAATTTTTTCAACAAATAAGCGGAAAACCTCATTTACATTCCAGATAATTTGTATGCCCCAAAACATCCACATATTTTCTTTTTTTTTTTTTCCCGTGTATAGAACTCATTGCCACATTATGTTCACAGGCTCTACGACATTGACATGGTTCTACCTCGGAGCAACCCCCCCCCCCTTTATTTATTTTTTTCAAATTTGAATATTTTTGTTGATTGATTTTCAGTTTACTCTAAATTCTACTTATCGTAGGAAAACCTAAACAATGATAAAAACGTCATTTTTTTTAAGGACCTTGGTTTGTCCCCAGCTACAAGTTTTGAAATTATGTTAACTTGGTTAATAGCTTTGATTTAGCAGCAGTTTGCCATTATACATAATTACCTTTTTTTTAATTTGACAGAATATCTCTTCGGTTTCACTGTATCAGCTAGGTGATTAGGAAATTAATTATTTAACCCAAGCTAACACTACTTTAATAAAGCTTTTATAATAAGTATATTATTAATAATATTATAATAACTCTTGTTAAAAAAAATCTATGATTGAAATTCTAAAGGAATCTGACTTTAAAAGTCATTTTGATGTTATGGAATTTATAAAATTAAGTTGTTCATATTTTTTTAAACCACAAATTTTACTGAAATACTAATTCTATCTTTGTTATAGAAGAAATATCTTCCCAAATAATATCAATATTATAATCTAGGAAACTTCACGTTTCCGCTCATCAGTGCTCATCGCTATGTATCGATAATTGATGAGCATAGCTTAATTTTAATTTTAAAAAAGAAAATATGTAAGTTTTAGTGCGTAGAAATTATCTGGCATGTAACTGAGGTTTTCCAGTTATTTGTTTAAAAAAATTATACTTCATTTTGTTGTTTTAATCGCGATTTTACGAAAACATCGGTGTCCGTTTTGGGTTTTAATATTTATAACAGAGTACTAGATTTACCGCTTTTTGGCAGGTGATACTGCTGATTCAGTAATAGAAAAACAAGTTTCCTAAAGTTTTTATGCTTTAATGAATTCATATTTATCTAGAAAATATGCCTGAAAAGTTTGAATCAATTCTGTGCACCGGTAAAAAAAGAAATCGCTAAAAATCCCAAATCCGGGACCGTCGGGAGTCGGGCGTCGGGAGTCGGGAAGACTAGATATACCGCTTGCCTTTTATTTCTTTGTAGCTTATATCAAAAATCATGATTATGAAGAATTATTAAGAAAAAATAGTTTGAATATAAAAAGAAATATGTTTCCAAAGAAGAATTTTAAGAATTAAAAAAATATACGTGAAATCTTCCATATAAATTTATATGTATCTTGTATTGTATTTTCAGGACATTAGCCCTTTCAATTCCAACATGGCTGACCATGAATTGGATGCATTGGAGAGCAGATTAGATATAATTGAAAATAAGGTTTTTGGAAGCTCAGAGAAAGATGCATTTTACCCAAAGGTATGTCTCAACTTTAAGAAGCTTCAAAGTAATTTGATGCATTGTGGTTTTTAGTTGTATGCAGTTTTTTTAATTTGTTTATGCTTTGAGTTTGACATTTTTCCACACTTCATTTTTATTTATTAATAAGAAAGTGAAATAAATCTACTCAAGTAAAGCAAAGGCTAAGCCATTATATTAATCCATATCTATAACTTATGTGGATGTATTCTTTGGTAGTGTAGATTTAAGGTTGTTAACTTAAAATCGTGGCATTTTTGGGACAGTCTTAGCAAAGTAGTCCTATAGTCAGGTTGGGCACACACCTCCAAATGGTCATTTAACCCCTGTTTGGTGGTCAATCGGCAATATCGGCGTCTTTATTAACCACCAAATGGGAGAGAAAAATCGTTTTGTTCAGTTCTCTGGAATGACGTGAAATGGCGCATAATTTCAACTCACAAGGAATAAAATATAGATATTTTTCTAAACTTTGAACGAAAAAAATCTGAATTTCAATGCGGACTTTTTTGCGCAGTGTCGTTCAAATATTTGACAAAATCATCACCTATGTAAACAAGTGTAACGTTTCTGTGTTTTAAGTTAAGGCTGTTCAAAGTTAATTCTACGTTTAACGTCACATCTCAAGTTCAAAACCTACGAGGGAGGGAGGAAAAAAAATAAACAAACAAATTTTCAAACAATTGTGAATTTCTTCAAATTAACCTATTCACTACATTAAAAACATTACAATTAAGTAATAAGAGCATTTAATTGATATGACACTTAAGATTAATTTCCCTAGCAGAGTTTTTCCTTAGTATGTAAATCAGTTTGAGTCCTATTGTTAGCAAACAATGTAGTCTAAGACTGAATGTGCAGGAAAGTGGCTTGTAACTAGGCCTCAGTTGTCCTTTAGATTCATATTGCCACACATCCATGATATCCTGGAGGCAAATGCTTCTTCTTGTGGGAATAGTTGATCAATATCTACAATTAAAATTATTGATGACAATATTTAAAACTGATAATGTTGAAATATCTCAAATTGAATTATGTCGTATTTTTTCTTAGTACTAGATCTACTAGCATTAAGTTTTGAAAGTGTGAATACTAATATTTGGACCGTACTGATAGCTGTTAGATTATCTTTAATACCTTGAATTCCACACTAAAAACAGGATTCTTCACGTCTTGGTACCCCAACCACTTTCCTTACTCCCCTTCACTTGAGAGGCCCTGTCTTCGGTAAGGTTCTCCCTGCTCAAATGGTTATGACAAGTATTATCTTTTCCAAAAATTATAGCTATTTGTAGGTACATGAATTATGAAGAAAACAATTACTTTACTCATTACTGTTCCTTTCAATTTTTACAGAAATATTTTTTAATATGAAACATATTGAATAAGATTTGAATGATGCTTTTCACTGTATATAAATCTTGGTTTTTGACACACTTTCCACTCAGTAAAAAAGTTTTTCAATTCTCTCCAAAATACAATGAAAAGTTCAGCCAATAGTATTACGAACTGAGTCTGTCACTGTCAGTCTGAACATGTGATTCGAAGACTGACAAAAAAAATCAACAAACTAGACTTTGTCATTAACTTCAATCATAAAATTATCTATTTTTTTACTTACATTTATGGTCCCAAACTCTTTAATTCACTAGTTTTCTTTAATAAGACACCAACTGCCTTTAAGTTTACTGCGGCTATCAAAGCACATTTTCTGTCACTACGGGAAGCAGAATTCAGTCGCTGTAGAACCAAACCGGAACAGACATACGGAATTCCGAATTGTTTGTTTTTTTCAAAGACGAATTTCTCATAAACCTACGTGCGCAGGTGACGTTAAACATAGTTTTAATTTTAAACAGCCTAAAAAGAAAAATTCCCTCCATCTCGCTCATAGTTGCACCTATCAATCGTGTTTATCACTTCATATTTCTGTCATCCGGGCAACCGATCAATTATCTTAACCAATTAGAAATGACAATCTTTTCTGAACTTGGGTCAAAAGACTGATTTAACTACGGGGGCTCATTAGTGTTAATTTTCAAAATGTAAAATAAGAGGAAGGGTAAGAATTCGCTTTTATTTCGTTTATTTCGTATGCATTGGCTTTATTTTTTACAAAAATACGATATGCAGTGAATTCATAATAAAATAATCGCTCAGAAACTATAATCTTGGAATAAAAAGAAGAATAATTGCAAATGTCACTTTGTAAATCTTTTATTCAAACATATATAATAAATATGGTATATACTTCATAGATATGCATACTGAACCACGAAAGGTTGCACAGAAATCGTAACTTCATCCTAAAAGAAAATAAAGAATAAATGTTACATTCAAATGTAGAAAAAATGAATATTATAGCAATAAGTGCCCACCATACGAATAAGATACAAGGAGCTCGTGTTTAACGGGATTTTATAGAGATTTAAATAGACGCAGATTGAAAGATCATTTGAAAAGTTACTTCTCTAGACTAACACCTCTTGTCTAAATATATTTTTTACCAACTATGCACAACAAAATAATTTTTCGTATTGTTTGAGCAAATAGTTTGGCCGTCACGAATAACTGTGGGTTTCGTTTTTACGAAATTCCAAGGAAATTCCACATGGAAAATTGACTAAATTGTAATAAATGTGCGAGGAATATGTAAATTAAAATTCTCCAATGCCTAAGTAAATGCGCTTTTGCTTTATTTTAATAAAAATTGGATTTGAATAAAAAAGACCACCATTTGGTAGGTAAAAAAGACGCCAATATGGGCGATTGACCACCAAGCAGGGGTTAAATGACCATTTGGCAGTGTGTGCCCAACCTGATAGTAGTAAACCTCCTCTTTATAATTAAAATGTAATGAAAATCTGCTAAAATCTCCTAAAGAATAACAAAGCCATGATTAGTTATATTCAAATGGAGATCTGAGTTTTTTCTTCAATGAAATCATGGCCCGTTAGAGTTTGGGTTGGGCCACAATATGAGAAAGTTTTACATGAAAATATATACTATAGGAATTTTTTTTTTTTTTTTTGAAAGTGTGTAAATAGCACCTTTTGACTTGACTGTATGTATCAATGTTGAGTGTCGATTTTACTGTACCCATTCAGTAGTGTATGCATGATGAGCATGGTTGTTGTATATGTACTTTTTTCTTTTGATCTGTGCAGGATAAAAAGAGGCCAGACGAGGTAACGTTATCAATGTTTATTTGCTAGAAACATTTATACTACTATATTCACTATTTGTGTTTGGTTTCTACTTTTTTGAGATAACATGTATGGTACATTTATATGCACTTGCAACCTTTCATTTTTATCACTTTCTTTCATAACCAAAGGATATTAAAGATATTTATTTATTTTATCATCATAATCACTTTTGCAATGGTTTTTAGTCTAACATATCTATAATCTATAGATATACCGGTAAGCAGATTAGAGAGACACATTCACTGGTATATGTACAGTAAAACTTGCTAAGGAACCTGGCGACCGTTTCACTAACAGGTCGTAGCTCGTAAACGTAGACGTAAACTTGAACGTTGCACATAAGTGCGTTTCACAAAGAGATACGACTTGCGATTTACGATTAAACGTGATCGTAACTCTACGAGTGGTCAGGGGCACTCTTAAAATACTTATGTGCGAGTCATTTCATGAAAAACAGAAATAAAAAACGAAAATATGAGCAAGAAACTAAGTTATTTGTCACTTTCTTGCATTTCTGTCTGCTTCTTATTAACAACAATAGTATTTTGCGTAGACCGAGTCCGATCTTAAAATCACACTGTCAAAATAAAAAAAAGATAACATTACAATTTACAAAAAATCAATCAGACAACTTTTATAAGAAGTAGTTTAAATTTTCAATTTTATTTTAAAGCTCAATATATTCTGCTCTCATAAAAATCAAACAGTAAAAATACAGTTTAAATTAGATCGAATGCATTATGCACATGTATACGATCGCTTAGAAGAAATCTGCACATTCACCCCCTTTACAGAAATGAATAATGACACAGAAATCAATTTAAACTAAAAATACTCTATTTCTTAATGTTTCCTTTTTTTCTTTTCTAAATAAATGAATAATCACTGGAATATGCACATATATAATTATATACGCGAATTTGTGAAAATAACCAAATTTCTTTAAAATGAAAATTTAGTTACGTTGACGGTACTGGGTCAGTGAAAATAAAATCAAATAAACCTTTCTAACTTACGAAAACTAATAAACTTGTAAACTTATATAAATGTAAACAGAGGCCTGTAGAACACGGAATATATGTACACTCTTGGGGCATAAATTTTGCTACAAACAGGACATGTAGTAGATCTTTCTTAAGATGTCCCCCTCCCCGTTCCCACTTTTTGTTGCTGTAAGTTCGGGCACCGGCAAATTCTAGGATTTGGACAGTTTATAATTTTCCTTTGCTTTTCAAATTACTCTTGGGAGTTAGCCCCTCCTTTAAATTTTGTTCAATTTCAATTTACCTCTTGGGCCCCATTACATGAAACCACTACTACGGGCATAGTTCCATTATATACAAACTATAAAAGGAGCGCTTTGTCGGTTGTTGGATCAGTGTTTGTTAAAGACAATTTGAATTAACTTAGATTGAATAACTTTGATTGACAAGATTAATTTGCCATTAGTGAAAGTAAAATATTCTTTCTGAATTAGTTTCCTGATGTTTAAGATTAGAGCGAGATATTTCGATGGATAGTTTGCTAACATCTTTGCTTATTTATTTATATCTAAAAATATTTTGAAAAAAAACATGCATGCGTTTGAGTTTTGGCAATATTTGAAATAAACATGCCGAATTCTTTCACATGTATCAATTAATTGTAATTTCTAACAAAAACATGAATCGAAAAAAAAACTTTTATATATGTTTCGTTTCACCGCGAGTGCGTCATAATTTTTAGCAAGGAGGGAAATAAATTAAGATTTAAGTAAAATAAAACATTTTACACCATTGTGGACTATGCTTTATAATTAAGATACATAGAATGCAAGAATGAATAAAGATATTTGGTATGTAAAATTTGATCCTAGTTATAATTTTAGAAAGGAACTTTATAATAGTCACTGGCAAATTGTATGCATAATTGCAATTATATTTTTTTTAGTGATCTACATGTAATTTCCATTAACTTATTGTCTTTTATCTCTTTCTTTCTTTATTTTGAGGACTAAGACAAATAATGAAATATATTTTTATTTCATAATGATCTTTCTTTCTTTCTCTCTCCGCTTCTCTCGCTCTCAAACAAATAGAAATACACCTCCTTTGTCAGAAGAGTCCAATAAGTTGGTCGTAACTCGACAGTCATAAGTGCTACGTTTATGATAAGTTTTGTGAAACGCTCGTTTACATGCACCTCTAGCAATCGTAAACGTTATCGTACGTTTACGATTTGCGATTTGTTAGTGAAACGGTCGCCTGGTAACAAGTATTTTTATTTGTAATGAACAATTTATTTCCTTGGCTATTGAATCTATTCTACAAATGTGCAGTATGGAGATGTTCCCAGAAATCCTTTTATGCGAGTTTAATTGTACATGTACAATAAAAGACAGTTACAACAAACAATTTTAATGACTAGTCACTTACAATAAATCCATGGTTACAGTTAAGTATTTATTGGATGTAGTGAATGTTTATAACAATGCATACATGTATTTGTTCATTCCTGACATTTTTTATAAGCTTATTTGACTGTATGCAGATTTAGTGGTGATTGCGTTTTAACTTTTATAGGATGGTGAAACAGTCATTCAATAGACTTACCATATATGCTCACCTATAAGTCAGATTTTTAGAGAGTTTAATTTTGTCTAAAGTTTAAGTCTGACTTACTAGAGAGTTCTAAAAAAAATTTATATTTTTTTCTAGCAGATGAAATATAAAAAAATTGTGTAAAACTTTGTCAATATAATCATTTATTAGAACACTATTGTTGTGTCATGTGAATGTTTCCAGTTCTCTGCTAACAAGATATGGACTATAAAAGAATTTTGATATAATACATTTCTAACACAGTTGACCTTGACCCAGTTTGTAGTACAGGGTCAGGATATACCCTCTGTAGACCTTCAAGCAATGTTTATGCTAAATGACACCTAAATGTAAAGTTTCCCTACTGTTTTTCAATTTTTAGTGATGTTTATATAAAAAGTTACAAACATACACACCATAAAAAATGTAATAGTAGAGAAAGTGTCAACTACTGATAAAGCAATGTGCTGATTTCTTTTTCAAGGCATTTGATAAATCTCTATTATATACTCAGTTTCCACCATGTCTGTCTGTCAGATGACGTAAATTTCACCTCTGGAATTTTTGCCTCTGTACAACACTTTTATATAGACTTCTAAGATTCTCTGTTCAATTAATATATTATTAATAAGCAGATTTAGATCACAATTTTTTAAAAGTCTTTATATTAAATGTATCAGAAAGCTTTTATTATTAACTAAGACATCCTATTGCAATTGTTTTCATTAAAAAAAAAATTAAGTTAGACATGTTAGAAGGTAATAGGGATGTGCGATTTTATCGGTATACCGGTATATCGCGATTTTTTGTTGCGTGATACATATCGTGATAACGGAGACCTAAATACCGGTCTTTAGACACATATTATAAAGTCCAGAAATTATTCATTTATTTGTTCAATCTTTCAAATTACAATCACAGAAAGTATAAAAAATGTAAAAAGTGAAAAGAATGGCATCTTACCGCCCAAACATAATTGATTTTATATACATAAAAATTTCAAGAAAGTAAAATTTTGTTTTTCTAGCATATTTTTTAGAAAAATAATGACTTTTCATATAAAATCATTGTAAAACTGCTTTTAAAAATATCATGATATTATCGTGATATTGTGGGAAAAAATCGTGTTGTATCGTGATACGAAATTTTTGGCGATACCCATCCCTAGAAGGTAAAGACACAAAACTCTAGCCATCACCAAGTCATACCATTATCAACTTTCTTTTTTTTTTTTTATATATTAAAGATTCGATCTTTACAGTGAAGGGCCCAAACAGCAAAACTGTCAAATTAAATATGTTTTCAAATATCTGATGACAGCAAATATACTTAGGGATAAATATGCAGTCATTTGATAGTTTTATATTTCTGATTAGTTCATACTAATTTCAGCTTATTGAATGTTTTCAGTGCATAGAAAAGCTTGCCAACATTCAAGAAAAGATTTCTACTGCAACAAAAAATAAGAAGAGGATAGCTGAGATTTACAGAAAATGTAAGAAAATCAGCAATTTAATTATTTACAGTACAATTTTATTTGTTAATATGTAATACAAATGAATTCTTTTAGATAAGATATATTAATAAATCTTATCCATACAAATGTGATTCTTCTACATAGATTACAGTACAGGATGTACTATATATTAAAGTAAAGCATGAAAAGAAAAAAAAATACCTACTCAGATTTCAACATCATGCACAGGCCTTTTCTTGACATGAGTATATCTATAGATGGATCTCATAAAGTTCTATATTTGTTATATCTTTCATTTTCATACTTCCAGCTAGAGAAGTACAGAAGTACTTAGACCCTGCCTATACTGATGAAATGACCATGAGTGATGAAGCAAAGGAAGAAGTTATAATAGCAGGTAATGGCAAAGAAGTGTGTTCCTCTCACTGGCTGTATGTAATAAATCTGGGATTGGGTCACAAAAGTAGATTGAAATTTATTTTTGAATTAGAAGAAAAAAATTGAAGAACACTATAATTATTTTACCTCAAGGAATAGAAAAATCAAAATTCCAGGGCAAAGCAGAGAGCGAGAGAGAGAGAGAGGGGGGGGGGATAGAAGAGGGTTATTTCCTCATGCTATTTTCTAACTAGTTTTGTTCATAAAAATTTTTTTTTTTTAAAGTATCTTTTCTAGTTTTCGATTCAGATTTGTATATCATTGCCATTTAGACCAACGGGAATAACTATCTTCTAATTTGGTATTTGCAACTGTTAATGCTGATTTAATGGTCGCAAACTGAGTTTTACCGGTGACACGTAAGCAGATCCGGTAAAACGGATTTTTGCAACTGTTAAATCAGCAATAACGGTCGGAAATACCAAATTAGATGATTAGTTATTCACATTCTAATGCAATCCATGCATGTTTGTTATTTGCGTCTTATTTTGTTAAGTTTTGTTATATGAAATATGTCACGGAGCATTGTGTATTTGCATCGCTCCATTATGACGTCACAATGAAAAGCTTTCTCTCTCGTTAACATGGTTAATGCCCATTTTACGGCTTCAAACATCAGTGCGTTAGCCAGTCAAAACGTGTTTTACAAAACAATTGCTAAGAATGTCTTTTTTTATTATCATTGATTCAATACTAATATTTATAGAATATTTTTGAAATACTGAGTATTTTGTATGAATATTTATACCAAACTAAGGGTAAGGTTATAAGGTCTCCAAGTAAAGAGTTGAAAATACCCAGTTCACCAGCTAAGAGGCAGACTATGTTTGTTAAGCTGATGATTATGAATGATGTATGAAATTTAATGAAATGAATTTCTTTCATTTGACAGAAGAAGAATTTTTGAGGGACCAAGCAAAACATTTGGAAACGATGGAAGAATTGAAATCAACACTAGACAGTGAACATCTTAAATGTAGAGTAACATCTTAAATGCTGACTAGAGTAATCTTGATAGTTCCAATAACCTTAATTTTTAATATGCCTTTAATCATGATCTTGATATAATATTAATTAAAGACTGTGCATAATAATTTCTATAATTTATTTAACAGCTACTCCAAAGTTTACGGAAAAGTTTGAGGCCCTGAGTCAGATTCAGATAAAACAACAGGTAGGAAATGGGGGTGCTGAGAAGGTGTTGGTTATACATGTATGTCTAAGCCTCAGAGATATCAGGATACTTAAAAGGTGTCGCTTATGTGTCTAAACCTCAGAGATATCAGGATACTTAAAAGGTGTTGGTTATGTGTCTAAATCTCAGAGATATCAGGATACTTAAAAGGTGTTGGTTATGTGTCTAAACCTCAGAGATACCAGGATACTTAAAAGGTGTTGGTTATGTGTCTAAATCTCAGATATATCAGGATACTTAAAAGGTGTTGGTTATGTGTCTAAACCTCAGAGATATCAGGATACTTAAAAGGTGTTGTTTATGTGTCTAAATCTTAGAGATATCAGGATACTTAAAAGGAGTGTTGGTTATGTGTGTAAA